TGGATTCAAATTAATTCGCATAATGTCACCAAAAATGAAATGCAACACAACCATATATCCCATGTTGATTGTTCAATTAGATGGTTCAAATCATTGCAAGAAGAAAGAGATGGATGGTCATGATTCAACGACGTTGCATGATCTTAATAAAAAAAAGGCCCGAATTCTATGGGAGCAAATATTTCGGTGACCAATAAGAAGGTGACATGTGGAAAAAGGATATTCCTTAGGTCACATAAAGGATATTTGTTGAAATGTCACCTGAACTTATACCTTAGTTTCAATTTGTCACATGAAAAAATAATTTAAGTGAAATGTCACCTGAATTTTTCAAAATCCATGATTTGTCACTTGAGTTTAACATTATCTGATTTTCCATCTATTTTCAAGGGTATTTTAGTCTTTCCATTTTAAAGGATATTTTAAAAAAGGAAAAAATTATTATTAAAAAAATAAAGCTTAAATGTAAAAATGGTTGTGGATTAAATGTGAAAAGATATATAATTTTTATAATTTTCAAGGGTCTTTTCATAATTTTTTTATAATGATTTTTCCATTTTTAAAATACTCTTGAAAATAAAAAGACTAAAATACCCTTGAAAATAGTTGGAAAATTGGATGATGTTAAAGTGAGGTGACAAATAATGGATTTTGAAAAATTCAGGTGACATTTCACTTAAATTTTTTTTTAAGTGACAAATTGAGACTAAGGTATAAGTTCAGGTGACATTTCAATTTAACCTAATTAAATATTTAATTAGGGAATTATATTTGATTTAAGATAGGAATATCTCCTTAAATCAAGGAACCAATTTCCAGCAAATTTCTTTGATTAATTCATATAATCTTTTTGGGCAAGAATAATCCTAATTAAATAAGGATTATTCTCCAAACCTTAGCCAAGCAAGGAGTCTATATATACATGGTTACACAAAACACATGAGGTAATTCTAAACTCATGCTCAAAACCCTAGCCGAATCTCTCTCTCTCTCTCTCTCTCTCTCTCTCTCACACGACTACGGCCACCACCACACACGGCTCCGGCCACCCGGTTCTCTCGTACCATAGAAAGAACTCCGACCTTTCTATTACCTCCACATTTTTCTCAAGATCATTTAACTGACTTAAGCTTCGGAGGGCCTTTGGCCAACACCACTCAGGTGTGGTTTATTTACTCCAATCTTTTTTGCAAGAATCGAGGAATAAGATAGAGAATAAAGCTTGAAAGGTGAAGAATCTCTTGCGAATATTCTCCCGTGAGAAATTTGCACAAACAAACCCTTTGTCATTCCATCCGAACTTGTGTGACTAGAAAAGTTTCAAAAATGATCTTAAGCGTTGATCTCTCAATCAATTTAAACCATCTAACACACCAGATGATGCCATGAGTCAAGATCATGTACAACAAACTATAGTATGACGCCATTCTCCTAATACATCATCGACAAGTTAGCGCACATCACCCAATTGTGTCGCGTTGCATGGCTTAATGCCAAACTGTGTCATTGCCCTCATGCCATGAGATTCACTGTAAGGGCCAAATGGTGGGCCCGATCGACTCAACAATTTTTTTTTCCTTTTTGTGACCTTTATTTTCCAAAATGTTTTCCAACACTTCCAAACAAAATAAAATGCCCCGAAAATGATTGCAAATTTTTTAAAAAAGCACCACAACTTCTCACTATCACCACTTTGAGCTCAAAACTTTTTTTATCATATAAATGGCTCCAAATAAAATTAAAAATATTTTCAAGAGCTCACATTGTGGGTAGCTTTGTATCTAGATGTCTCTTACAAGGTGTTTGAGCCTAGTTAAGATATGGCTAGGTTAGGCCCAAGATTCGACAAATGGATCACATTTGGATCTAAGCTACGCCGAAGACCCCATAAGTCAACAGGTATGGCTAGAAGCCCACAATCTAAAAGCGATTGAATGTCTAAAAGCAGCCGAAAGCTTAGATACAGCCGAATACGTTAGACAACCAGCGTCAAGAAGTTATCTATGGACGAATGTCGAATATTAACCAAGGCTTAAATGAGGAAAGAACATCCTTATGAGGATTTCTACACATGCCAATGTGATGGTCAATACAAAGTTAATGTGGGAAAGCTTAAGATGGAATGTAGTTCAAATCAACATTATTGTTCGTATTAAACCACAAACATGAGTCAAGGGATTTAATGCATTTTGAGTCAACCAAGGCAATTGATGCAATCATCCAAAGTTAAGTTATTTATCAAGGAGGAAATTACGACCCGTTTTAAGGCATTGATTACTAGCCAAATTGGGTCGTACTGAAACCCCTATAAAGATCAAGCTGCAAAAAAGAGAAGGACACGCAACGCAACACACAACTTGTCATTTTACATTCTTTTCAATTCTTGTCCTAGGAGTAAAGTAATGTTGCCCATAGCCTAGTTATTATTTTTTCAACAGAGTTCCCGTAGATTTCAATTAAGTCTTTACATTTCAATGCACTAGTCTAGCTTACATTCTCGTTCTTGTTTTTCCATTCAAGTCTTAGTTTAATCTTTATCATTCTTGTTAATCTAGTTTACTTTACGCATTTTAATTCACGCACTCGCATTTCAATTATTTATTTTACGTAATTCACATTACTAATTTGTCTTTAAATTCTTTACTTTATGCACTTAATTTTCGTCATTTCCTAGACACTTTAATTAATTGCATTTCATTTCAATTCCTTTCACTTTCTCATTCAATATACATTTAGACACACTTCACATCACTTGGTTACTTACGTAAAGCCTTGACTACGAGGTAGTGAAATAACTAAGGTCTTGAGGAGGTTCATTGCTCGGTTGAACAATCGTTTGATTAGAATAAGATCTTGGACGCATCATTTATTCACTTTTCATTCATGCCAAATTTGTGGTTTGGTGGTGACAAATTCTATTTGTTCTTCGTCGCTAGGCTTTTGCAACTCAAATTTTCAACTCAAGTTGCCCTGAAGGATCCCTTTTATACAAGAGCCATAAGTCTTACTTTATTTATCTCTTTTATAGGCTTTATCATTTTGATTCGTAAGAGTTTAGGTAATACTTTCAAAATGACTCTCAACGGTAGCATCTAGGCATTTCTTGGACTTCCCATACCTTAAGAGGAGGTGAACCAGAAGGGAAGGCAACCTATTCAGTCTGTTTAAAGGGTTAAGATTGTATTTGGGCTAAGGGAATATACTTTTTCTACTGTGTGAAGATGGGGATGATGTCAAGTTTGCATGGCCCTTATGGGCTGGGCCACACATGTGCTATAATGGCAATTACAATGGGAAGCACGACTATTTGCACTTAACAAAAGGACCAACAACTCATTTTATTAGCCTACCTAGTAAAAAAGAAGGAAGATAAGGCTTGTATAAGGAATCAAATGAGAATCAAATGAGACAAATCAACTCAAGTGTGCTAGTGTTTCTTTATTCACTATGGAGTTCTGAATTATATGAGAGTGTAGAGTGATCACAGGTTTGAGAGAGGTTGTACAAGAGGTATGTCTTATTCTACCACTAGCAAATCGTTTGGTTGTGTAAGGGGTTATGTCGGTGACTTTGTCGACGAGGCTTGCAAAGTGTTGTTGAAGAATGCGTTGGAACTTTTTACTTGCTATTTGTTGGGGTGCTAGGTCACTTCAAAATGATTTTATTCATGGACAACTAGGGGGTTGGTTGGGGGAAATGGTAACAAAAAGATGGAGTTACATGGATAGTTTAAGTGGCATTATGCCAAAACCAAGCAAACAAGGGAGCCTCGTTATGTACAGTGGATAAAACAGCCCAGTTCAATTCTTGTTGCTAATATTGATGGGGCCTTAGATAAGAGGGGTGTATAAAGAGGATTTGGAGGGTAAGTTCACGGTCATTATGGACTATTTATTTGTGTATATGCTTGTGAAGAGCCATATGCGTTGGATGTGCTGGGTACGGAACTAATAGTTATTTGTGAGTGGCTAATACTAGTCTCATCGAGGGAACTACGAAATGCACGCATATTCGATTCATAGAAAGTGATGGCACTCCTTAAGGCTTTGATTGTAGTATAGAGTAATTTGGAAATCTAGTGGATAATATTAGAAGCCTTATGTTGTCGTTGAGTATAGTAGACGTGATCTTCCAATAAAAACAAGCAAATCATGTTGCCGACAGGGACGGACCCAGGATTTGATGTCATAGGGTCATAGTGTAAAAGTTCAATTTTTTTTTTAAAGATTAAAATAACATTGAAAATGAAACTACAGTACATTCATTCATAATTCATGTAAAAAACAACATTACAAATTACAATTGGCCACGACGAGGTTTCATATTTTGAAAACGAAGCATTATAGATTCATTTTCAATACAATCAAAAACATCATTCTCAACATAAACAAGTAAGCTATCACTCAACCATTGATCTCCCATTTTGTTCCGAAGTGGACCTTTGATAATATTCATGACGGAAAATGCCCTTTCAACTGAAGCAGTAGCAACCGGTAAAACTAGAGCCAATGTAATAAGCAAATACACATAATTGAATGCTCGATGCATCCTTGTCTCCACCATTTTTTTTGCAAGATCACCAATCCCTTGCAAGTCAAAGAAATCACTACTTGAACACACATAATGAATATAAAGTTCAAGTTGATCTTCAAGTGCCAAAAGATCCCAATCCGAAAAGTCTTGAGGATAAAATTGAGCAAGACGAAGTAGCTTTGTTTATCAAAAGCTACAAATGAATCATTCGGACTCAAACATGCCAAACAAATAAGCAACTCAATATTTACCTCATTAAAACGATCATCTAACTCCATAAGTTGCTCATCAATGACATAAATAAAGAGCTCCACACGATAATGATGACGATTTGTCTTTATTGGAGCATTACGCCTTGACCTCTCTGGAAATACGAAGGCATCATCCATGTTAGGAACATCAATATGATGTTTGTCACAAAATGAAGACACCTCTTCAACCAATGCATCAAACCCATTATTCCTCATCTAATGTAGCTTGTCCTTGCATGATTTCACCAAAGCCATTGCATTCACAATTTCTTGATCTTTCTTTTGCAATGCTTGTGACACATCATTTGTGAGTCCCAATATAGCTTTCATTAAGAATAGGTGAAACAAAAACTGAAAAGTAAGCATTTCCCTTTGAATCTTATTTGCTTCACCGGCACTATCATTGGGATTATCATCAATAATCATTTGAAGCACATGAATCACAGATGAAAACATAGAAATGATGCTAATAATGGTACCGTAATGTGGGCTCCATCGTGTGTCACCGGCACGTTTGAGACTTGTTTCTTGATGCAAACCTCGCCCCGTTATAAGACAATCATTTTCAAAAGCTATCACAAGCTCTTCTTGAAGTTGTGCTCTAAGTGCATCACGCCGCTTACAAGATGCTCCTACATGGTTAACCACACTATTAGTGGTTGTGAAGAAAGAGGCAATATCAATATTCTTCTTTGCTACGGCAACAAGTGCTAGTTGAATTTGATGAGCAAAGCAATGAACATAGTATGCACAAGGTTGTTCTCTCAAAATATTTGTTTTGAGGCCATTCAACTCACCTCTCATATTGCTAGCTCCATCATAACCTTGTCCTCGTAACTTAGAAAAGCTCAAACCATTGGAAGAAAAGAATATGTCAATGGCATCCTTTAGTGAACTTGAAGTGGTGTCGGTAACATGTTGAATCCCCATAAACCTTTCAATTACATGCCCTTTGTCGTCCACATAACGCAACACCATAGCCATTTGCTCATTCACAGAAATATCACGTGCTTCATCCACCTATATAGAAAATAATCTATCTTTTAAACCACTCATGATAACATCAAGTGTTTCCCCGGCACATTTATTGACAATATCTTTTTGAATCTTTGGAGCTACTAACTTGAGATTCCCCGGAGTATTTTCCAACACAACTTCTTTAACTTTCTCATCATTGTCTGCAAGGAATTGCAATAGCTCCAAGTAATTTCTCCTATTGCTTGAAGTGGCACTTTCATCATTTCGACGGAAAGAAAGACCTTGTCTCAATAGAAACTTAATGCACTTGATTGAAGTAATTAAGCATATTCGATATGCCACACGAGCTTGTTCGGAGTGTTTGCTCACAGCCGTTTCAATATGTGTATTTTGATTCATCAAATTTGTAGCAGCTTCTTCAGCTTTATTATGAACACTACCAACCGGTCCAACATGCACCTTCATTCTCTCTCCCTTTCTTCCAATTCTTAAACCCTGCTCCAGTGAAGGCTTCACTATCCACTTGCTCAAAATTGGATTTAAAGAGATAGCAATAAAGACAAAATGCAGCATCTTTAGATACACTATACTCCAACCAATCAAATTCATCAAACCATTGGGGAATGAAGCGTCGATTAATTCCTGAGATATTACTTTGTGGGAAAGAATGACCTCTAGGTTGACAATGTCCTTTTTGTAGATATGCTCTTCGAACCTCATCTCTAATATTAGTATCATACTCAATCATACGAATTCTTAGTCTCGGGTCTGCCTGAAGATTAGCCAAAACCCCATCTAACTCACTTTGTCTTGAACTTGAAGTTCTTGAATTACCCACACTATCCGAACTACCCAATGATGACTTCCTCTTAAAAAATCTTTCCATAATTCTACATAAATTAATCAAAATAATAAGTAAAATCAATTAAAGAGAACACCAAATTTATACCAATTAACCACAACAAAATCATAAATAAAACATCCAATATATCAAAACAATATAATATAATCATACATTCAATTTCAATTCAATTAAAGAGAACACCAAATTTATACCAATTAACCACAACAAATTCATAAATAAGACATCCAATATATCAAAACAATATAAAATAATCATACATTCAATTTCAATTCAAGTTATTTAGGTTTAGAGTTAGAATTTACCTTGAATTGTGAGGTGGTGGAAGAGGAGCAAAGCTTTTGGAAGCGGCGGCAATGGAGGAGTTGGGGCTTAAAGGCTTGGTGGGGGAGAGGGTTAAAGGTTTGTGGGGTGGAGATTGGGGATTTAGGTTTGAGGGTTTAGAAAATGGGGGTTTTGAAGTTGAAAAATCGAGAGAGATGGGGAGGGTCTGTGCATATCCAAGCTGACCTCTTTTTTTTTAAAAGACCTGGACCGAAACGACGTCATTTTGGCCAGGTCTTTTAAAAAAAATTCGATGTTGTGCTGCTGGACCAAAACGACGCCGTTTTGGCTAGCGCAGTTTTAAAAATAAAAAATTAGAAGCTAGGCCAAAACGACGCCGTTTTGGCCAGCTTCTTTTGAAAAAAGAACAGATTTCTGTTCATCTTATTCTTCCTCAATACCTCTGCAACTTATTCTCCAGCCTTTCATGGGATCACAAAGCAATTCAAAGGGGCCTTCTACCTTACTTTCTTGGAGTCCATAGAGTCGTTTGAACCCATTGACCCCACTGTGGGTCCGTCCCTGGTTGCCGATGCATTGGCAAAGTGGGATTTAAGGGATCAACATAACTCATGTTGGGTGAATGATTGTCCTAATTAGCTTATGCATTTGCTCATGCAAGATGAAGAGACTAAGTAGTTGGTTGTATTTTTTGTTTTAACTAGTGTTATAGTACTCTTTTCCCTTGACCAGATCTTTCTCCATTGGAAAGCAAGGTTTTAATGAGGTCATATTGAAACACTATGTTTGGTTCCAATATTTCTAGTTTTATGTTTTATGTTTCCTTGTTGAATGATAGTATATCTTTGATTAAAAAAAGAGGTGAAAACTCTTATTAGTGTTCTATTATTTGCTTACCATTGGTTCAATTGTTGTGACAAAGGGATTATAATAGACAAATGTTAGCCTCTAAGCCTCCTTAGAAGCTTTTCTTGTATCATCATTATCTCATGTGTAATCTCCATGTACTTATCTTGGTAGTGTTGTGTCATTATCTGGACTCTTGTAATTGTTATATAATATACTACTCATTCAATATAAATATAATACCACATCCATTGTTTCTTTGTGGCCTTCGAGCATACCTTTCATGGTAATATGATCCCTTGATTTAAAAAAAAAATTCTCGATAATTTGTGTTTCTCATGGCCTTTACCTCTTATACTGCTGATGATTTGCCCATTCCTTCCCTTTCCAATGTGGTTACTAGAAAGTTGGATAGAAACAATTACCTTTTTTGGGTTGCCCAAATCATCCATCCTCTTAAGAGTCGCATTCTCATCTATTTTATTAACGGTTCCTCTACTTGTCCTGTTGGTATCCTTCTTGATGACAAAGGCAAGCTAACCAACAACATCAACCCTTCTTATAACGACTAAATCCAAAAGGATCAGTTAGTTCTCATATGGACCAATGGTTCTCTTAGTCACTCTATACTCACAATCGTGGCTCATTCTGTGTCTGCTCGTGCTACTTAGGTAGCTCTTGAGAAGCGTTACGCCTCCCAACATCATAATCGCATCTTGCATCTTTGAAGTGAACTCCTACGCACCGTTCGTGGCAATTCCTCCGTAGATGATTTTTTGGATCATGTTAACACCATTGCCGACAATCTTGCTTTGTCTAGCTCTCTGGTCATTGAAGGTGATTTAGTGGTTATGGTGATGAACAATGTTGGTCCTCTCATTGAAACATGATCAATTTGGCACAAGTTCGCGAAACTACCATTTCCTATGGTGATCTTGAAGCTTTACTACTCAGCGTCGAACGTCGCATCTCTTCTCATTTTGCTCATGTGTCAAACTCGTCATCTACTACCCTTGTTGTTGCTCATTGGTGTGAGACATCTCGTGGTTGTGGCTCTTTTCCCTCCTTTTGTGGCAGTAGTTGCAGCTCTTCTCGTAGTTTATTTCCACCTAATTTTGGTAGTTGTGGAGCTAGTTTCTCTTAGGGTCACAGGCTAATGTTCTTGGCTCTTCTCAAGCTGCTTATGCATCTTCTTATCATGATGGTTCTTCTTCTGGTTATGTGTGGGTTCAGTGCCAAATTTGTGGTCGGCTTGGCCACTCTACGATTATTTGCTATAATCGTTTGAACCTGGCTTATGAAGGGCATGTTCCTCCACAGCTTCTCAATACCATGGCTGCTCATAATACCTCTTCCTCTGCTGCTTAACCTTGGCTTTTGGATACTGGTACAAACTTGCATGTTACTTATGATTTGAGTAATTTCTCTCTTTCCAATGAATATTGTGGGCACGATCAAGTTAGTGGTGTGCTTGATGGAACATGTTTACATATTAGTAATATTGGTCATTCCTCCATTTGTACACCTCATAAATTATTTTCTCTTAACAATATTTTACTTTGTTCTGATTCTTCTAGTCATCTGTTAATCGTCTTTCTCATGACAATCAATGTTTTCTTACCTTTTATCCTTCTTTCTTTTTAATCCAGGACTTGGAGACAGGGATGACTCTTTTTTGAGACAAGAGTGAGAACGGTCTCTATCCTTTTTCGGTTTCCTCCAATAAAAATCTTCCACATTCACGCTTAGGTCTCTATCATGTTTTGTTAGTTAGTACTCGTGTTTCTGGCACCATTTGGCATTCACGCTTTGATCATCCACCCTCATCTATTTTAATTTTTTTTAATTTGAAAAAATAAAGTGCATGTCTCTGGCTCTATTCATAAGCAAACTTTTTTTCATGGCAAAAGTATTAAATTACCATTTGTTTCTTCGTCTCCTCTACAATTAATTCATTATGATGTATGGTGTTCTTTTACTAAATATGTTTCCAGATTTGCTTATTATGTATTGTTCGTTGACATTTACTTACACTATTCTTGGATATATCCCATCAAATTAAAATATGAAGTCTTTTATCACTTTGTCAAATTTCAAACCTTTGTTGAAACATGTTCTCCTCTAAAATAGAAGAATTTCAATCGGATGGTGGCAGTGAATATTTAAATAAACATTTTCAACAAATTTTCACCAACATGGCATTCATCATCATTAAACAAACTCTTTTGGCTCATGCCTTTACCCTTACTTACTAGGCTGAGGCCATGCACACTGCTGTCTACCTTATTAATCGACTTCCATAAAAAAATTTAAATTATCAAAACTCATATCACATTTTATTTAATAAAGATACTCAATATAAAATTCTTTAATTTTGATATGTCAAATGTGTTTTCTTGGGCTATTCTCTCGATAAAAAAAAGGGTTATTGGTTCTTAAATTTATCTACACAAAGAGTCTTTCTTTCACAATATGTTCTTTTTTATGAAACCAATTTTCCTTCAATGGGATTGTTGCTCTACAAGATTCGGAAAAGTCCTTTAATGCTCCAGTCCAATTTCCACCACTTATGGTTACTAGGCCCTTAACTATTTTGGGCCCCACCCCAACATATCTCCAACCTACTCCATCAATAGTCTCCTCACCGCCCCGCCTTATTTCTCCCTAATCCTCTACCTCTTTACTAAGTTACCTAAATATTTCCTCTTAACTGCCAACATCTCCACAAACCGCACCTCCCATTTTGCCTACCTCTCGGCCTTGCAAACTCTTTATCAATCACAGAGATCCCCACCGCCACATCCTCAATTTTCAGCCTCATGTTGAACCTGTTTCTACTGCTATACTAGTTGTGTCTCACACATCATCCACATCTCTCCCTCATATGCCTTCTCTGTAAGGAATTCTAATACTCACTCCATGGTCACTTGGGCAAAGGTGTTCATAAACCTAATTCACGCTATGCTCATCATGCTTTACATGCAGATTTATCTACTGATATTGTTGAACATACCTATTTTAGTCAAGCAAATAAATAGGTTGAGTGGAGATGTGCTATGACTGAGGAGTTCAATGCCTTGTAGCTGGTTGGTACCTGGATTTCAGTGGCGCCCACCTCTTGTATAAATGTTCTACACAATAACTCATTAAGCGCAATTCGAATAGCTCTATTCAGCTATACAAATCCCATTTAGTGGCTAATGGCTTTCATTAACAGGAAGGACTGGACTATGGTGAAACCTTAAGCCCGGTTGTTAATCATTCTACTATGGTTTAATCTTGGCTTTATCTGTTCAGTTTAATTGGCATGTTTGCTAGTTGGATGTCCATAGGTATATTACAAAGGATGTTTATATGTATATTACCAAGGATGTTTATATGAAGCAGCCCGTGGGTTTTATGGACTCTCAATTTCCTCACAATGTTTGCAAGTTACAACGCTATTTTTATGGCGTCAAGAAAGCACACAGGGCTTGGTTTCATTGCTTTTCCACTTATTTGGAGCATTCGGGTTTGTTGCTTCTCTTATGGACTCCTCCCTCTTCATTTTGATTGATGGTTATGTTCGTATTTACTTTGTAATATATGTTGATGATTTGTTGATTACATGCAATGCTCTTAAGCCTATCACTAGCCTTATTACTGATTTGGGTCGTTTGTTTTCTATGAAAGATTTAGGCCATGTTCCTTATTTCTTGGGCATGGAAGTCAACCGAACTTCGGCTGGTCTCTTTCTCACACAAACTAAATATGTTATGGACCTTCTTTGTTGCACCAATTTACATGAGTCTAAACTCGTGTCCACTCCAGCTGTTAGCTGCTATCGTTTCAGTCTTCATGATGGTGAACCTTTGGGGGACTGTTGTGGGCGCCTTGCAATGTATCACTCTCACCCATCGTGAGATTGTCTTCACTGTTAATCAGGTGTGCCAATTTCTAGATCAGCCTACTACTGTTCATTGGCTCGCAGTGAAATGTATCTTACGCTACCTCTAAGGCACCATTTCTCACTGATTGTTGTACAAATTAGGTCATCTTTCTCTTACAACCTATTCATACGTTGATTATGCTAGTGACCAGGATGACCGTTGCTTTGTCGGTGGTTATTGTGTTTATATTGGATCCAATTTGGTTGCTTGAAGTTCCAAGAAACAAGGTGGTGTATCTCGTTCTAGCACTGAAGTTGAGTACCGACAATTGGCATATACTGATGTTGCCATCTCTTGGTTTCGTTCTCTCTTTCGTGATCTTCATCTTTCCATGGCTTATCCTAAACTTTGGTGTGAAAACATTAGTGCCATCTTTCTGGCCTCCAACCCTGTTTTTCACCTTTGAACTCATCATGTTGAAGTGGACTATCAATATGTTTATGAAAAAGTTTTGTGCAAGGAACTGAAAGTTAGTTATCTGTCTACTCATGATCAAGTTGCCGACATTTTCACTAAAGACCTCTCTTCAAATCATTTTCAGCTCCTCGTTGCCAAGCTTCTTGTCTTGTGTTGCCCCGTCAGCTTGCGGGGGTGTGATAGACAAACGTTAGTTGCTAAGCCTCCTTAGAAGCTTATCTTGTATCATCATTATGTCATGTGCAATCTCCATGTACATATCTTGGTAGTGTTGTGTCCTTATCTTGACTCTTATAATTGTTATCTGATGTACTACTCATTCAATATAAATATAATACCACAACCACTATTTCTTTGTGGCCTTTGAGCATATTATAACTCAAACATGATTTTCAAATTGATTCATTTGGGGAAAATCCTTTTTAAAATAGTCTAGCAAAATCAAGCTTACATAAAACCTCACTATTCGACTTCTCTTAGTAATTCTTACTAGTTTATCTTTACTTTTCAAAAATTTTGAGAATGCACTCTGAGAGAATAATGAATAAGTGAAGTGTATGAAAGCTATTTAGTAGAAAGAAAGTATATGAAACTTCTTTATTTTTTACATGAGTATACAAGTCTTACAAATTTTACGACTAATGCATAAAATATTACATGTGGCCTTTAAACAACTACTAACAGCATTTGGATAAGTAATATTTTTATTAAAACCACCAAAATCAAACTGAGAGTGGGAAGATCTTGATAAATGTGTTGCATCATATGCCAAATCTAGTATTTGTCCAAATGCCTCAAAGAAAATAATTACAATTATTTGGATTGATTGAAAGAAATGGAGAGAATATAAGAGCGATAGAGAAAAATTATAAAACTTCTTAAACTTTGGACTTGGATGATTAAAAGTGGAGAAAAGTATATAGAAGAAAATTTTCAATTGCAACTTCATTTTTCCATCAATAGATCCCACTTCTATTTTGGAAAAAGAAAAAAGTAAAAAAAAAGATCCCCTTTTGTTTTCTTACTAAAAGTAGTGATAATCTCCCAAAACAAAATGTAGTGATAAAAAAAGAAAAGAAGAGTTATGTGCATTCAAAACTATCCCCCATTAAAGTCATTGGAGCATGTGGTGATGAAAAAAAGTTGAAATATTATGTTATAATTAAGATGAATTAGTGGTTCAAAGGACTCACTAGTGTAGTCATTTTGAGCAGTTACTTCTCTAGGAAAGGTCCTGTTTTTGAGTCCTAGCATCCGTGTAATGGGTGTGAGTTTAGTACGTTATTGGCCCTCTCAATAAAAAAGGTCCTGAAAAAATAATGATTTAGGGATTTTTAATTGTCAAAAGATGAATTAGGGTTGAACCTATGTCAATGTAACAACAAATGGTATTCTCATATTGGACTTGTAGCTCAAGTGGTGAGTAGTTATCCCTGCACCCAAGATTCTGTGTTCGAATTCTCCCTCCTCCAATATTGCTTATATCAACAGCAAAAAAGTATCCTCGAGTATAAATTCATGCATCCTTTTCAATGTAACAAGGTAGTTCATTGAGTTGCTCAATTTGCCATGTCTAATGGTGATTTAGTTTGCAATGAATAGTTTTAGAATGTGAGCATGGAACCCAAAATCAGTTGATAGTGAATTGAGAGGTCTAAGATCTTTTAAGCACAGAGGCAAAGCTTCCATTCTTCAATGTGGGATACTCTCATCATGCCCCCTCACGAGCACATGTGACATCTTTTGTGCCTAACACATGGACAATCCTTATTGGGTGACGTGGGGAGGGGAAAGTAATGGATTATTTGTGCAAGTTTCCTTGAGATCAGAGGGTGGGGATTTAAGGAAGATTTTGGGGTTGGGAAGTAATCGAGCGTTGGGAGAGTGGGGTACGAGTGCCTTGATAAAATTTCAAAAGGAGGAGTTGTGGTGGTGAGGGCGAGGGAGAGGGTAAGAGAAGTAGATGTGGCATGGGGAAGTCAGTTGGTTGGTGACAATGGGCAAGGGGGAGATGAGGATGGGCATGGGAATGGGGTTTCAGGGTTTTTTTTTGTTTGTTAATAAAAATAAAAATAATGTATTTTTATAATTTTTGACATTTTTGACATTTTAAAACATTTTAATATTCTTTTTGCTATGTGGCATAAAATTTGATATCCACGTCAATGAAAATGAAGAGATCTCATTCGCCATGTGATCATTTACTAGTTGTGTTGACATACTATGAGACCGACATCTAACATTGCACCTAGTTCGTAACTTTGGGAATGACAATATGATCTTTTAAATATGGAGTCTAAAATGACAATTATTAACAAACATGAGGGACTAAAATGAAATTAATCTGAATGAGAGAGAAGATGAAAAAAATATTGTCTTACGGGGCATTTAGTAGGAACAGTGGGAGCCGGTCTTGGTGGGTCTCGGAGACCAACCCAAACACAAAATGTAAAATGAACCGAAAATCTCATCCATAAGATAATTTCTAACTCTTAGTTGATGCATGGGTCCAGCACCCGAACGACCTCAAGCCATGAATTGGATTCAAACATGACGTGTGGGTAGGAGTCAACGGTCCAACATGCCTAATTGTTCAACATCTGTAATGTTTTTGATGTAAATAAGAATGGAGGAGCCATGAAGGCTTGAGAGGATTTGGTAACAGCGGATGAATTCAATTATGCCTTTTGAGGCTACTTAACTATTTTGCTACTTCGTGTTTTCAATTTTAATGCAACTCTTTTAGAAGAGCTAATTGTCTTTTAGAATTTAGTTGTTTATACTTGTGTGACAGTCAGTTGTCAATTAAGTTTGTTTAAATTAGATATTGTAGAAAATGAAGTCATCTTTCAACTTAAAAAAGGTTGTAGATTAGTTCCAGTGTGCTTCATTCTCTTGCATTGAAGTTTAAATCTCTCTCCATGTAAAATTCTTTAAAAAATAGCTTTTCAAAATGCATGTTAATGTGTTAATGTCATAGTTAAATATCAATTTTTTATATTTGATTACCAACATGAAGTCTTACAGAGAGAGAATGGAAAAAAAAAATATATGAGAATTAATAAATTAATTTTTTTTTCTTTTTGGAATCAAAATATTGATTAGTATTTTCTGTACAGACTAGTGGCCTCCCATTTTAATTCTTTATTGAATATTTGCTTCAAAAGGTTTTAAATTATTTTTTTTTTATTTTTTGATTTGAAAGGATTTCATTAACACATTTCAAGACAAGCAATACAAGATGTGTAAATAGTGACCTCATTAAAACCTTTCTGAGGAAACCCAAAGGGGACAAAACCTCGGAGGAAGAAAGAGTGGCACACACTCCACATACTATATAAGAGTCAAAACATCACTAAAACTATCAGAACAATCTTCACAAAGACAATCCTGCAACCAAAGGGATGGCTCATTAAACTAAAAAGATAGATCTTCTTGACTAAGACTAAAACGTGCAATGCAATCAGCAACACCATTAGCAGTCAGGGGAACATAGCGAACAGAACATGACAACACTAAAGCTAAGAGGCACGAATGTCCTCCACGAAGACCTCTTCCGCCACATAACATACCTTATTCTTAAGAATCAATTGGGTTGCAGATAAAGAGTTAGTCTCAATAATCAAGAGGAAGAAGAAGGCATCAATCACAAAGGAAATCCCAAATTTCAGCGCATACAACTCAATGGCACGGATAGACAACAAACTAGGAGAATGCAAAGCAACCGCACAGCAAAAAATCTGGATTTTTCAAAGATAGTTTTACTACATGCTAAGCCAGTTCTTCTTCTCATTTTTTTTGGGTACAAAGCTAATAAATTTTATTGAACACAAAAGACGCAACACTCCTTGAAAACGTTGCACCTCTTAGGCCTTTAGTTTGCGGGGAAAAAGGGTTTGGAAGTGAGAAATAATTTCATTTTCTATGTTTTGTGAGTCTAGGTTTGGGAAAATGTAAAATGAAATCCTTCATATCTAGCTTGGGTTTCATTTTCCTTTCCTATGAGAAATCTAGTCAATTGTTAATTACATTATTTATGACCAATTTGCCCCTCTAAAATTAAACAAATCAAGAAAATGATTAATTATGTTTTTCTAACTTAGGGGTATAATTGAAAATTAAACAACTTTTATTACCAATTCCTGCACAAAACAAACATGGAAAAAAATTGATATTTCATGGTTGCTTTCCCAACATTATCAAACATGGGAAACAAATATCTATTTCTCATCAATTTGAAAAACATGGGAACAACTTATGTCCATGATTTATTTATTTATTTATTTTTTGCGCAAACCAAACATAGGTTTTTTACAAAGAAAATTACACACACAAAATTGCATTTATGAGTTACTAACTTATTTGGGATTGCTTTTAAAACGACTAAAAACGCCTTCAAATAACCAAAAGCGTTTCTCGTATCGTTTGACCAAAAAATTGAAAATTGTTTTTGGGTTACTTGGAAGTGCTTTTTGGAGAAACGCCAAATACTTACAATTGCTGTTCCAAGAAGCACTTTGATTGTTAAACAAACAAATTTCTTGTTGAAGAATATGTAGTCCCACATTGGAAACTTGACAAAATAAAATACAACATATAATGAATGGTTCCACTACTAATGACACCTAGGCCTTTTGTGAGAAAACCCTACACCCATTGGGCTATGTAGGTGGTTAGGTTGGGACAATATCAATGTTTCTAGTGAGGGGCCGTTGACCCGTCTATTTGAAATTTAACCACCTACATGTTCTGTCCCCAACCCACAACTCATTACTAGCAACATCGATACTGTCCCCAACTTAACCACCTACATGTTCTGCAAGTGTGAAATTATTACACAAAAAGCCTCAATATCATTAGTAGTGGAACCATTCATTTATGATGTAGCGTTTCTCACAAAAAATATTTTCAAATGACGGTAGTCCTCCATCCTATATCCCCACTAACCTCCCTTTATTTTTTGGAATAGCTTGTAATTTGCAACTTTCAAGTCCTATGAAAATTATCCCAAGTCATACTTATTTGTTCAGATTTTAAAAGAAAATATCAATAAGTAATTGTTTTCGAAAGCAAAATTCATAAGCTTATCATAATTCGCATATCAATATAAGTCCTATTTGCTTGCCAAAAGTTGAGTTCAACAACCCTTTAGTAAAGTGATCGATTTATAGTAAATCCGTCTCTCTCTTCATGGTGATGCCGACATATGCTTGTCTTTTTTGTTTTTCGCATACACAATTTAATTTAGAAGCTAATATGTTTCATACTAATAAAAAAATTCATATAATACCATTTAAAAACAAGGAAATTGACTTCTAGTCTTAACGCGGTCCATTTCATCGAGTTTTAGGAAATGAAGAGTAAATTATGTTGCTTTTTGGTAAACAAAACATAAAAAAATAAATGGGATTTTAATTTCTTTATATTTTATTTCCCTTTTTGAAACATATGCATGGCTCTTAAAGCATGGGAATGTTACACTATGAATTCCCAAAAGAGAAATATTGTTAGATAAACAAAATTTGAAGAAAACCTATATAATCTATGGGCTAAGTGGAAACCAAGTTTACATACTTTCCATTAAGGGAAAGTACAATCTCTCCCACAATTTCCCACTCTATGAAATAGTAGTTGGTCATCATCATCTTGGTAAAATGTCAAGCATATGCTATGACTTTTACTTTTAGTCCAAATACAATGATTAATCATTTGATTGAATAAGTTTAACTTTCTAGTTCCTATACATTCTTGAACGAAATTAACATAAACATATATATATATTTTTTTTTTTATCGAGAGAAACTTCATTAGATAAAATACAGTAATTTCAATATGACTATAAAGTAACATGCTAAAATCAAGACTAAAACGGACAAAAATTGCAACATATATATTTAATAAGTCGCTTATATTTAATGAATTTCCAAATTTATTATTTTGATTATTTTGACAAAAAGCCGCCTCACACATGACCCATCTACGTCTAGTTTAAAACAAAAATGTGAACAGTAGAAGTTGAAACGGATTATATGGTCAAGGCAATTTGGTCATTTCATATAAGGTTGAACGGACTAAGAGGAGGCTTGGTCCTCTTGGACAAGGAAGCCGTAAGCGGTTTTCCATATAAGAAATTATAAACAAACAAATAAAAAGCGGATTCTCCCCCAGGTCTTCTCTGGTTTTGATATCAAGAGAGAGAGAGAGAGTCAGAGTGGATATCTTAAGAACCGCTTTATCTGAATATTTGGTTTACAGCAGAAAATAAAGTCGTCTACTTCTTAAAGAGAGGAAGAGAGAGAAGAGAGAGAGAGAGGAAAAAAAGGCTTGTCTCTTTTGTTTCTTTACATTGAATTCCATTCTTTTGTTCTCACTCTCTATTTCTCTCTCCCTCTTTAATTATCAGCGCAACAGCTTGCAAGCTCTCTTCAACTCATAACCGACTTGCTCTCGCTCTCTCTCTCTCTCTCTCTCTCTCTCTCTCTCTATATGGGGAGTATGATCTTGTTAGCAGGAAACAGAAGGCGGTTTTGCCATTAATGGGGTTTTCAAGGGGTTTTAATTTTGCAGAAGACGAGGAAGAAGAGAAAGGAGAGCAAATATTATTGGAGACAAAGCTCTTGGCTTCTGCAAGAACTTCTTCTGCTTTCATGGCTTCCAGTATTCAGGGAAACAACCAACTTGAACACCAACAACAACAACAACAACATCATCATCATCAACAACAACACCATCAAATACAAGACCATCATCAACATCAACATCATCAGCAGCAGCAGATTCAGTATGGCATGATGCAGTCATCATCCTCCAATATTCCTGCTGGGAACTTCATGTAATAATATTCACCATCATCATCTTCCCATGATCTTATAATTTTATGTTTCTTGATTAATTATAATTTTGTGTGATCAGAAGCAAAGACAGTGGAGCTTATGATTTGGGAGAATTAGATCAAGCCCTTTTCCTCTACCTTGATGGACAGTCACAAGACCATCACAACTCATCCTCAACTGCTACTGTTACTACCACCCACCATCTTCATCAGGACACCCAACGACGTAAGCACCTCTGTCGTTTCATTTCTTCTTCTATCTCTCTCTCTCTCTCTACCCTTTGATTCAGGGAGAAAGAGAGAATCACAAAGAGAATAATATATTTTGCTTCTTTTCTTGGCCTGCGTCCTGCTCTCAGTCCTCAGTCCTTTTGAGATTTTACTTGGAAAATATTGTTTTGGGTCACAGCAAAAGCATGTTCAACAAAATTATCTGCCACCTCTCTTTCTCTCTCTCTCTCTGCCCAGTACCTTGTTTGACCAGATCCTAGCTACCAGAGAAAAAAGGCATAAACACAAGGAAATTCAGAAATTTCCATGAAATACCACCTGTCTCTCCTTTTCTTTTTTATTTTTTGTTTCTTCTTCTTTGGAGTTGCTTGGACCCTGACAAACATGTAACAAACCCCCTCTGCCTGATCATGACTTCCTTGCTACAAATCCCACATGTACTGAAAAAACCAAAAAGGGTACTGGCTAGATAGGACCATTGTGTGTATGGGTTTTCCATTTTCCTCAAAAATAAAAAAAAAATAAAAAAAAAGATAATAATATCACCATATTAATTCAAATTTCCAAACTCATTTTGGTCCTCCTTTAATCATTACTATAGAGACCTCTCTCTCTCTGGGTCCTTCCTCTCTCTCTCTAGCTATTTCTCTTATGTACACATTTAGATCAATATTAATGTCTACAATTTGGAATTTTTGTGTGCAGATCATCAAAATAACTCCTTATCTGGAATGAGGCCTCCAACTTTGAATATTTTCCCATCGCAGCCTATGCACGTAGAGCCACCATCAACCAAAGTATCTTGCTCTAACCGTTATTATAATTATTTGCATTATATAATACCATAGTATTTTAATTGATTTCTTGTTGGTCGGTTTAAGACTATATATTTTATTTATATTTATTTTATATAAAGCTAGCTAACTAGCACATTGAAATTAAGCTTTGAATATCTCTTCTAAAATGGGTTCGTTTGGGTTTGGTATATAGGCAGCTGGTACGGGATTAGTTTCTCCTGCAGCAACGAGTGGTTCAAAGAGACCATCAGAGCCGTCCATGGAGTTGGCCAACCCTCGCAATGATGCTTCTGCTCCTGCTCCTTCGTCTCGCCCTCAAGAACCTGCCAAAGCTATCAAGGTATATACATATAATTTTTAACAAAATAAATTATCATTTTTTCCTATGCAGACGTCTGGATGTTAGTAGAGCCATGTATTTTCTATCAAAATTATATGAATTTGTTTTGACTAATTTATCTATTGCGTTGTGTGTTACTTTGAATGTTGTGGCAGCGTGAGGGAAACCGCAAGGGTCCAACTACATCAAGTTCAGAGCAAGAAGGACCCAAAACACCAGACCCTAAGGTTCACTTTTTCATGGCAAAAGATTTGCACTTCCTCTCTCTTTCTTCTCTCTACGACAACAATTTCCAACGTTTGCTATGATTATTTGTGTGCAGACACTGAGAAGGCTTGCTCAGAATAGAGAGGCAGCCAGGAAAAGCAGGCTTAGAAAAAAGGTACTCAATCCACTGAAAGTTTGCAACTCATTTTAACTTCTCTTTTCTAAATCCTTACACCATTTTTTTTTGTTGGTGTGCTTTGATAGGCTTATGTTCAGCAGTTAGAGACAAGTAGGATTAAGCTTACTCAGCTGGAACAAGAGCTGCAGAGAGCTAGATCTCAGGTGATTATAACTTCTTTTTATTTTATTTTATGCATGATTAAAGGAACACTTGCTCTTAATTAATTGGGTATTTTCTGGTTTATTTTTTTCCTGAACCATTCTTTTAAGACTTGGGTTCTGTTTTATTAGGGCATGTTCTTTGGAGGAGGTATTGTAGGAGGAGATCAACAAGGCCTTCCTCTTGGTATGAACAGCATTAGCTCAGGTAATAATAACATTTAATAAAACAATTATTCTATATTCTTTTCTTTCTTAGATTCAGCCATCTCTCAAAATAAACCTTGAAAGCCTGAAACTTTTTTTTATTTTTTTCCTGTCTGTCTTTTTTACTAGACGCGGCAGTTTTCGACATAGAGTATGCAAGGTGGCAGGAGGAGCACCATCGTCTCATGTGTGAGCTTCGAGCAGCGGTGCAAGAGCATCTACCGGAGAATGAGCTGCGGCTGTTTGTGGACAATTGCTTAGCACACTACGATGAAGTGATGAACCTCAAAAGCATGGTTGCCAAGACAGATGTGTTTCACATTGTCTCTGGCATGTGGAAGACTCCAGCTGAGCGATGCTTCATGTGGATGGGTGGATTTCGGCCCTCTGAGGTCATCAAGGTGCATGCCTCTCTAATTAACCCTAGATTTATACACTTCTCCTTATAATTATTAGTTATTGTTATTTCATAATTTGCTTCTTAGAAAATAGTCAAATTTCATGGAAAAATAAGTAGAACACTAAATGTGTGACAAGCAAATGACAAAAATACATTACGAGAGCTTAGTAAAAAATCATTGTACGTGGCAGTTAAATATAATCTTTCTCTCAGAAGAGTACCATATTCAAAATTTTGTTTGGAAATTGAGCTAAATTACATTAAAAAAAAAGGTTAATTATTTGCTTAATCATATATGTTTTTGTGTTAGTAAGAATTCATCACAAGCTCCAAGAGAGGAAGAGAGAGAGATAACAATGATGTATACATGTGAAGGGATATGATGAGATACTATAGTACAAGGAGTATATATTATGATCAAAATGAGAAGTAAAATATATGCATGTGGGTCATGTCTTCATGGACTCATGGGTACATGTACATCTAAGTACTTGTGGGTGGCAGTAGCAAAGAATATTAATCGATCTCATTTCTTTCATTGTGAATATCATGAATGACGAAAGGCAACGTGAAGGGTTTCCACTAAAGGGTAGAGTTCGGTGTCAATCCCCCTAAAGTCATGTCTGTTAATGCAAATTTTGGCCTCTGAGAATGAGAGAGCCAAGAAAGAGAGTTACACGGGTGTCTTCCTCTTTTGATTTCTTTCTCTATCTTGTTTCTGTCTTCATCTTTATCTTTGGTTTCTTGCAAATAATTAAGCAAAAAACCACAGTCAAGAAAGTTGGGTATTTGCATGCATGATATTTACAACATTTAATCAATTAGTAGACGTGTGAGTTAGGTCAGTTGGGTAGGACAATGTGTCTGTTCCATCTTGCACCCAATGTCGAATTTCCCTTATCGTAGATTATGTTAATTTAGAGTATTTTAGACTATCGCTTATAAACTTAAGATGTTAAACGATTAATATTGGAGAGATTATTGACATTAATTATTGGGTTTTTGTTGTTGTTGATCAATCAGATTATTCTGAACCAAATTGAGCCATTAACGGAGCAGCAACTATTGGGTATTTGTGGGCTACGACAATCTACACAGGAAGCTGAAGAAGCTCTCTCCCAAGGGCTTGAAGCTCTCAACCAGTCTCTCTCAGACACCATAACCTCGGATTCATTGAGCTGCCCTCCTAACATGGCCAACTACATGGGACAGATGGCTATAGCCATGAACAAGCTGTCCACCCTTGAAGGCTTCGTTAGACAGGTACATACATATTTTCATCTTAAATTACAACATAAATTTCTTTTTATATAGTAATTTGCATGCTGATGAGGCATGCAGTTTTAGACCGTCCGATCTTGATGGTGGTCCCCTCACGATGATCTTGTAAGTGGGGCCCCCAAGAAAAGGAATATCTGGTCCTGTTTTGGTTGGGAAAACCTACCCCCAACACCACATGAACCACTCCATGTCTCACTCTCATGAGGTGGCTGGTGGGTACATGGAATCTATTTATCTGCATGCCTCTTTCTCATGAGAGGTTGTCGCTTCATGTATTATTATTTCTTGAAAGGGACCTTTTTGCATTCAATCCCTGCCTTCTATTGCTCCTTAGGTTTCCAATAAAACTAGCCCCATACCATTAAGTTCAAAAGTCAGAAACACATATTTAATACACGTACGTCTCCAAAAAATATATATATATATATATGTAATGCTTTTCTATCCGGCATAAAAAATTTTATGTTGTCAGACTGTAAATCCGTAGAATATAGAATGCATGTTAGGTTATCTAACAATATATAATATGATAATTTATACGAAAATATAGCATTTTTATGCACTAATTAGCTTTGAGTATAATTAGTTTGTAGTTGTAACTTGTATTTTTCAACGTTTTCACCAACTACGGGAGGCAAGAACCAAGGATCAAGGTCGACCAACCCTAATTTTTCAATTATTTTTTTATTATAAAAAAAGTACAGCTAGTGAGAGATCTAGCTAGCCAAAGTTTCCTCTACACCTGTGATCTCCAAACCGGACACGTGGCAGTAACCCACATTGCTGGTGTCCACTAACGTACATCTCCATCCAAAGAAGATCTCTAGGCCCATATCTGTGTGTGATGTCATGGTCGTAACCGTTTGACTTAGAAGCACCACGTAGTCCCCGCACCATAACTTCCTTTTGACCCAATGTTCTAGAGATAATAGCTAGCCAACATATACATTGCCTATTTCTTCCAAACCCGCGAAAATGAGAGCAATGCCATTATGATTTGAGCAACTAGCCTAGGCTCTTATTCAAATTGAACTCAACTTTTTGAAATTCAAAGGTCCTAGATTTGTGAAGGTGATATGATTTCAGAGTTGGAATCATTTTATTGGATATAGTCTTAGGCAACACTGCCAAATAGTTGACAACTTAATATGTTGATAATGATGTCGGTTCCTTTTAATTTGTTGGCTCTGTGATACAATCAAAAGTTAATACATCTTAGTTTTGACAACTAGTATCCGTCAAATTAGTTGACTTTGTGATAGAATCCAAAGTTAATAGATCTTAATTTTGTCGAATGGCACCCGTTAAATTAGCGTAATATATTGGTAATGACCAATATTATATAGCCTAATTAAATTCCTTGCTTTTGTCTGAAATCTGAATACATGAACCTCACTAATTCTAATGCTGTCATTTAAATATACATATTTATTTTCAAAATGCGGAGCATGTATGCATATGCAGTCTCAGATATATCGGTAGAAAACGCGGTCAGCATATTGAAAAGGCCAAGAAGTCAAGTCATTGACAAATTATATTACTTACTCAAGGAAGATGTATTTGGCTCTATCTATTTTCCCGGTCCCCTCTGCCACCCCTTATAGTCAAAATTCATTGCAAACTTTCTTACCCACATTTCATTAAATTTCTAAATAATGACTTTTTTTACGCTTTAGCTAGTTAACCAATTTGACAATCAATCCCTTATTACATACCACAAAGTCAAACTTATCTCCCTAGGTAAAACTAAACATCTTAGGGTTAATCTCATGGAGCCTGGGTTGAATCTTAGGGTTAATCTCATGGAGCCTAGGTTGAATTTTTTATACCGCACATGATATTATAATATTGTATAAATTATTTACGTGTTATAATATAAGTGGACGAGTTATATCACGTAGCGTTACTCTATATCACATTATAATAGGATCTAATTAAATAAAATGGAACTTACAGGCTGATAATCTGAGGCATCAGACGATTCACAGGCTGCAACAAATCCTGACCACCCGTCAAGCAGCTAGGTGTTTGCTGGCAATGGCTGAGTACTTCCATCGTCTCAGAGCTCTCAGCTCTCTCTGGATGGGTCGTCCTCGACAAGATCAGTCATAAGTTAGAATACTTGCCAAGCTACCCAATTCATATCAACGATCGTGGCTGGCTGGCTCCAATGTCTCTTTGTCTCTTAATTTAGCTATTATTAATTAACTAATGTCATCTTAATTTGAAATGATGTCCTTTTTACCTCTTTCGTAGCTCTCTAGAGAGATGTATAGATAGACAATTTAAAATAGATTAAATTCCAAGCAGTTGTAGAATTTACTCTCTCCCTCTTTGAGTCTCGTTGCTTAATTTTTCTTGGGTGTGGAAATTAATTCAGAAGAGAGATGTGGTTTTAGCAGCAAATTCTGACCAAGAATAGTGTCAAGAGAAAAAGAAAGAAGAAAATTTGACGACAGGAAGAAGAAGAATAAGAAGAAGAAGGTCTGGTTGGTGCTTATGTGTTTTGATGAGTTCGTGACAAGAAGACACATAAGAGAGGCAGGATGTGTTGAAATTGAAAGTTGAAACTCAATGGTCCAGGTGGACTTAGTGATGCTGCATGGATGCCTTGTGTTCTTGGGTTAAGCAAACAAGAAAAAACCTTTTTTTCTTTTTCTTTCTTTCTTATTTTTTTATTTTATAATACAAGCGATAATTTAAATTACAAAGGTTTAGAGGTATACATTACCAGGGAGCCATATGGGTTCGAGCTTGAGATCACTTATCTACAAGTCAAGTCTTTTTTTCACTGGGCTAAACCCATTTGACTATTAAAAGAAAAAGAAATAGATAAGAAGGAATCGAACTCTTATCTAATTTAATTCTTTTTCCCTACATTTTTAAAATAACCACCTTAGTAGATTGGATTGTTACTCTAAGATGATGAAAGTGCTGACCGAGTAGTTGTGTAGGTTGAAGATTTATATTGACATATAGGCTTCACTCAAAAAAATACGGCTTTTCATATGTAAGTCTATAAATAATAGGACTCAAAATATAAAAAATCTTATAATACTCAAGTTTTAGGAAAAATCTCTTTTGACTTTTAAGGACTAAATACATCATACAAGTCTTGAAAAACTTGAAAATTACACCAATGTCATCAGTAGTTTTTTTCTTTCTTTCTAAAAATAATAATGCAAGAATAATAATAGTATTTCACACATCAATTAAATTAAAAAATATTACGAGTGACAATTTTTGGATTTTTTTTCTTTAATTTATAGGTTTAATGTTTATATATACATTCAATGTACGAAATGATTTTTATTATAAATTTCTCAAAGAATATTGACACATAGGCAAGAAAATGTTAAAGTATGATGGGTCAAACTTGGTAGTGCGTGTGTGAGAAATCCCTTCATAGTTTAGACTATCGGTTATATTCAAAAGGAGAAAAAAAGACACAAGACCATAAAAGGCCCAAAAATTGGTCCTAAATGGCCTGCCCCGAAATTTCTCAGATCTGCTAACTTTAGGGCTTGTGAGATTGATACAGAGCCCAACCCAATCTATCTTTCAACCACCCAAGAAAAAACAATTCAAAAAATAAATAAAACCGCAATTAGGGTTTTCCTTCAACCCTGCTACACATTCTCCATCGCAACTTCGCAAGCCGTAGGTTTCAGACAGATACTGTGCGAGCTCGCAATGGCGGCAAAAGCAAGAAACCCCAGGAAGACCCGAAACCCAGATCTGGTTCGTGGGGTGGGTAAGTTCTCGAGGTCCAAGATGTACCACAAGCGTGGTCTTTGGGCCATCAAGGCCAAAAACGGCGGTGTTTTCCCACGCCATGACGCGAAGCCAGCGGCTGAGACCCAACCCCAGAAGCCGCCCAAGTTCTATCCTGCCGATGACGTCAGGAAGCCGCTTGTCAACAAGCGCAAGGCTAAGCCCACCAAGCTCAGGTTTTTTTTTCCTTACTCTCATTTTTTTCAAAGTAGAGAAAATGGGTTTGATTTGTTTTTAATTTTTTCTTTCTTTCTGATTTGGTTGTTTTTATACAGGGCTAGTATTACACCAGGGACTGTGTTGATTATATTGGCTGGAAGGTTTAAGGGCAAGAGAGTTGTTTTTCTTAAGCAGCTCCCATCTGGGTTGCTTCTTGTTACTGGTGAGCTTGCACTTCCAATTTCTCTTTTAAACATTTTCTGTTGTGTTTATGTTTTGGTTTGTTTTTGGTTTTAGTTGAATGGTTGTGGAAGTTTCAAATGAATTTTGTAACTTTTATTTATATTTGATGTTACTTTAATAGGTTAGTAATAGCATATTTTTTCATTTTCTCAATGACGAGTTTGATAAAATCAATCCTGATTTCTGCCAAATGCCAACAACCATGTTGTATAGCAGTACCAGTAAATTTGGCGCAACAAAGATGGTTCCTTTTGTTGTAAGTTATTGCGAAACCATCCCCCTCCAATGCACACTGAGCTTGTGCCCTCTCTTGTTGAATCGGATATTTTGTAGGTTGGGGGCTTTGAGTGGGGTATGTTCAAATAGGGTAGTGGGTAAGGTGGTGCTAATTTTTTGCTAATGAATTTGAAACTGTGTTGGAAGATGAAATTCTTCTTGGGAAATAATGATCGATTACATGGAAGGGGAATATTTTTGGGGAAAGAGAAAGGCATGAACATTAAAGGAATTTCCCTTCTGTAACAGCATAGAGAGATGTGAGTGTATCAATTTGTGAATTGTCATCTAATATCTAAGTTACATGGTACTTTTATGCGTTTAACTTTTATAAACATAGGTTTGGCATTGGTTTATCCAGTGATTTGTTAATTTTTTCTTATCAAAAGATTTGTTCATTTTTGTGTTTAAGTTGAGTGCTTTTGTGGATTTGCTCATTTTTAAACCATTATTTTCCTTTTAATTGCAGTGGTGGGGAATGGGTTTCTAGTTTCTGGTGCTTGCCTGCTCCTTGACAGAACATGTTTAAGTGTATTTCTAACTTGATAGCTGGTTTTATGCCATTGCAGGGCCCTTCAAAATTAATGGTGTTCCTTTGAGACGTGTGAATCAGGCCTATGTGATTGGCACCTCCACCAAGGTTGACATTTCTGGGGTGAATGTAGAAAAGTTTGATGACAAATATTTTGCAAAAGAAGTTGAAAAGAAGAAGAAGAAGGGGGAGGGAGAATTTTTTGAGGCAGAGAAAGAGGTTAGATTGATTGTTTCTTCACTTACTCCTCTTCCATTGTTACTACTGTCTGCATGGAATTTAAAGTCGTTCTGTTTGGCAGTGCCGTCATGGTTTTCTAATTTTGTGTATTATTTTTATCATGGCTCCAAATACCATGAAATAAAATACTATTCTCATACTGTTATTTATAGGTTCCCCTTGAAATTGTTTCGCTCCTCCCCATTATTGATACTTTTGGTTTCTCTCAACCATTTTCATTTGCTTTTATCCATGCAAAACACTCATCTGTTAGCTACTAGCTTGATTTCTTCTACTTGTTATGTTCAAGTTTGCTGTTGGGAAGTATGTAAATTAGTGGAGAATAATGTCCATCATTGTGCCAGCTTCTGTTGGAATTTTTCATTCTTTATAATTAATATTTTCCCAACAAATTGTAGGAAAAGAATGTGATCCCACAAGGAAAGAAGGATGATCAGAAGAGTGTTGATGCTTCATTGATAAAGTCCATTGAGGCTGTCCCAGACTTGAAGACGTACTTAGCGGCGAGATTCTCTCTTAAGTCAGGCATGAAGCCTCATGAGCTCGTGTTTTAGACCATTATCGCAGATTATCAGTGACTCTGTATTTTCATTTTACCAGAATATCCAAAATTTTGTGTTGATTGGTTTTACTTGCATTTGGCCATTTTGATTTATGGTAAGACTTTCGTGGTTCAGTTGATATAATCATAAACAGATCTTGGCCTTCGTCAATGTTTGTGGTCATTTCCCATCCACTCGAGTAATGTTAGCTCAGAATGAATGTTTTTTTTTGGTAAAACTTTAAATTAATTTTCCAAAATGAGTAACGAAAATCCTGAACATATCTTCATGTTATGTCTAACCATCGTCAAACCAATTTTCAGATACACGCCTAAAGCAATATGGAAGCCAACACCAGTTAGTTTCTTGTGAATATTTCTTGGCATGTTACATTGGTGCAAATTAAAACCGCAAATTTACATTTAGATTTTTGTTTTGGTTGGCAACACAGAACTGGAAATCCTGAGCATGGCAACTCAGGATAAACTTTGATTGCCTTATTTTAAAGGGAGTTTAATTTCTGAACACGCATGTTACAGAACAACAATAAAATCAAATGATAAATACTAGAAAGCCATGTTACTGAAATAGATACAAAGAGTCCGGATGTAGGAATTAGCATGCTCTACTATTTGGTTATCTACCCACCTTATATATGATTCTCAGAGCATGCTATCGGCACGAGATGGCAGCCTTCGGAAGAAATTGCTTGGTACTGAAGGTAGCTTGCTTCGGAATCTAGGATGCCTTAGCCAAACCATCCCAGCAACCAGAGCAATCAACTTAAAAGGTGTCACATAGAGCACCACAGCAGCAATAAGACACAAAAACACAAACAAGCTACTTGCTCTTGGATCTCTCCAACTGAGCACAGCCTGGAACCTCTCCCCCTGAGTTGCAATGTCTCCAACCACTGTCTGAATTCTTCCTGCCACGCTCCGTAGTCTGTCGTATCTCATCCGCGCCACATCTTGAGCCTTCGAAGTAGGGAAGGTGTCAAACTCTTCATCCATTTCATCCGGGTGAACTGCCTCTGCCCATGAAAGTTTAGTGTCCATGTGAGGTGGATGCCTTGGACGGAAACGAAAATTCCATAATCCGATGAGAAACATATAGAGGAAGATAGTTGGCAGGATCAGTTCCGGGTAGCAGATCAGTAGGAAAAACAGGAAATGGACTAAAACTGTAGTGATTGGGTTTTTCCAGTGACGAACTTCACCAAGCCACCTGCTCATGGAGATTAGGCCAGAGAATAGAGAGACAATTCTGAAAAAGTTAGCTTTGCTTCTTCTCATGCTCCACATGTGGGAATCTACATCTAGCATGTACTCCACAACCTCTTTCCTTAGTTGTGGTTCAGCTCTGCCAAGTCTCACAGCCACAATGTTCATTGCCTGATATCTCAAACTGTCTAACTGGTTTACAGTGAATGGATGCAGATAATGCATTTTTGGCAGTAAGGGGTGGCCATAGAGGTAAATTATATTAGCTAGTGAGAGACAGGTAAATCTTACTGCTAATTGGAGTTCCCCCATCTTTTTTAATCCGCTTGGTTGTAGAACAAGAAGGGGATAAGAGTTTGTGTAAATCCGATCCATTTCCAGGGTTGATAGCCGGATTCTTACCTTGCCAATTCTTGAATCATTTTTACCTCCACTGCCAGAAGTTGGTTTCTCATTTCCACCGAGGTGGCAGTTGTCGAAAACTCCCAATGTGATCACCGTGCAAGGGTCGTAGACCTCCCATGTATATTGTTCATTCCACTTGGGATTGAAGCTTTCAATGATTGTTCTGGTCCTCACCCATTTCTGCCCATACTTGGCTACACAGTAAGCATCTGTTGTTGCTTTACCATCCTTGTTCTTCATTGGAAGAAGCCCTTGAGCGCTTAAGATCCCAACTTCAAGAATCCCAATTGGCTGTTTCCACAGCTCCCTAGCAGTAGGCCTCACATCGCTTATGTACAAGGTCGATTCATCTAGTACGTGGTAAGCACCCTCAAGACAGACTCTGAGATGGACCCTGGTTGAAAACTTGAGTTCATGCCTCTTGTCTCCCTCCAGTGCACCGAAACCAAATTTTTCGAGGTTGAACCAACGAGAATGGACTGCCCTGTGATCCAAGCGCCTTTCAAAGATGGTCAGGGGAAGGCTTATTTTTCCCACTTTTTCATCTTTTGCGGCACTCACTTTATTTTCAACTGTAAGTACAAGATGTTCTTCAAAAGGTTCTGCTGCTACAAACATCAAATCTTCGTTCCACATGGGATTGGCTGTCCTTGTTGGACATATCTTTGTTTTAAGTGTTTGATTTCCAACATGAGCCTTGACATAAGCTTGTGGTGGTTGGCTTCTATCATGTGGCTGCACATCCTGAGCTTCAATGACATTAACTCTGAGATACCACAGCTTTGGTGAGACATAAACCTTGGACCGAATGCTGAAAACTCCCTCTCCATGAACTGAAGCAGCATCTGAGTGCCAGGCTTCTGGGAAAGCTTCATCAGCCTGTGTACCCATCCAAACTGCAAGCATAACCTCTCCTCTAACCTTAGTATCGCCTTGCCGGTCTTCTAATCTATACCATTGAGGTGCCAAAGGACTATCTGGTGGAACTCTAGTTGGCACTTCATTCATGTCAAACACCACCTTCCCCAAATAGTCATCTCTTGACACCATCGCTTTGTCTTTGACATAAACTTCAAGTATGGAAGCTTGAATCTTCTCTTTTGAAAAAGCAAACACTTGGTTCCATTCAGGGTTTGTTTTCTTCTCAAAATGCTGTGTTTTGCCCTTATAGTTCCCCAGCTTCACTCCTACAAATGGATCACAGATTCCTGTCACAGGGTTTGTTGGAAGATCTTTGGCTTTTACAACTCTAACATACAGATAAAACATCTGCTCAACAAGGTCATAAGTGCTTGTAGCTCTTTCGCTGCTAATCCACCCTCCTCCACCGCGTATTCCTCCATGTGGCCAGCGTTCCCCAAGATGGGGTTTCGTGTCCTTCAATTTGTAGTCCTCTTGGTTAGGTGCTGCTTGTGACTTCATTGGTCCAAGACTAAATGTTTCTCTTCTGGAAATGAAACGTCTGCTGTTATATATTCGGTAGCAGCAACGTTTTCAACAAGTCTTCTGTTCCCCTCTTGTATCTTGCTTAGTTGGAATATGATTGGAGTGGTGGTTAAGTATCCTTCAGAGCTTCAGAAGCGAGCCCCTGAAAAAAGTTTTGACATCAGTAATAATTATGGCAGGTATGCTGCAAAAGATGAACTCTATTATTCAAATATAGATTTTGAGGTTCCTCTCACCTTTAACATACAAGAAACACTTCAATGCCAAGGATTGCTGCCTCAGAAAGAAATTCCCAACCCTGAAAATGTGCTTTTACCGGCTTTATTTTTGTGATTATGAGGAACTTGAGATCTTTGAGATTAGAAAGGAGGTTCTGATTCTTAAGGCTTAAGGTACAGTGCTCTGAGTTCTGTTTCTCTGGTTTTAAGAGTCACCCTCTACAATAAAGTTAGATAAGATAATCCTTCATTTTTTGGGCATCTGCCACCTCCACTACCAGTTTGGCATTGCCTTTTTGGCTGCTGTCATGTAAATTAAGAAGGAATTTGTTATATTTAACGGCATGATTTGATTGAGAATAACTGATGCATGGAGCCAGGAAGTGTGAGAGTGAAGGTATTTGCTATTTCTTTATGCATTAACTTTTGTAATGGACCAAGTAATGCCATTGAAAAACTGTAAAGACAAACAAGAGGGTTGATTAGTTGTCCAAAATTCCATATTTCTGGAAAGAGATATAGATGCCCTACTTGAGAGGACAAAGATGGTCTTTTAGACTTCAAAGTTCAAAACGTAGTGACAGTGCAACTTCACTTTCCTAGATTCTTTCAGCTTTTTTTTTGTTCTTATATAAAATTGTCAAACTTCATAAAGAACAACCCAGATTGCCCTTTACTCTACCTTCCTTGTTTTGAAGATTTCAGCATTCATAACCAGGGCATTCTTGTAAGTTTGTTCAAAGTGCATCACTTGGACTGTTGTGGCAGTTCTCTTCTTCTTCCTGCAGAGCTAAGACAAAGCAAGAGAAAAAAAAAAAAAAAAAAAAAAAAAAAAAAAATAAAGAGATTAAAAGCAAAGTTGTGGTGGGCTTAAAAGAAGCGCAAAAGCATTGCAGAAAGAAAGCTTAAGGGCAAGTCACCTTGCACACAAAGATGCTTTTGCCCATTATTCTCTTTAATAAATGTATAAATCTCTGACTGAGAATGTTACTTTTCTTCCGTTGATTAAACAGAAATTTCAGGGACCCTTCTCAGTTGGTTTGCAAAAACTTTTTATATGCAACGGGTGTATACACACAACATCATTCTCATAATAACCCCATCCCATGATCAAAAGAGACTGGTTTTTGCGAGAAATATGTTACATACAAGAATTATTTCTTGGTTAGGTTAGGTCTGGAGATGACATAATTCATCTAAGCAGGGGCGGAGCCTCACGGTCGTGACCACGGTGGTATCCCGATATAGGGAAGTTTTTCTCCTATTGTTGCCCCCAATGTAATAAATTTATATCGTTGTCCCCACGAGAAATAAAGCTAGCTCCACGACTGCAGCTAAGACACTTTGTTATTAACTTGAAGCATATTGTGCTGAACCACTAATGCTTTGTACAGAAGAGTCTGAGCAATACCTTCATCTTCTGCTGCTTTTTGTTTTTCCTCAAAAAAGAAAAAGAACAGTGAAAGGTTCGATGGAGGTTTTCTTTTCCCGTAAAGCTAGACTGCTAGAAGATATAAAGAGGCCACTTTTAACTGGCAATATAAGTCTGCAGCACTTGTTGCCATCAGGAAGTCATTATTTGTCCTTCACGAATCTTTGGTAGCTAGAAAAGAATTAGATAGCTGCTCAACTTATACTAAAGTGTTCTATTAGTACCATATCATGTCCATAATAGCATTTCATTACTTTAATGTTAGAAAATTTGCAAAATAAAGAATAATAACCTCCTTTCGTTTGAAAAAATAAAGAACACTTTCCGCACTTCCAATAGAACACTTTATTTAGTTTATAAGTGGTCGCAAAATGTACTTGAGTCGGGTTTTGCACCGGTCGCACTAGGAGTAATTCTTGGATGAGACTGCGGCACAGGCTATGTAGCCCTATACTAGAATTTTTCTAGGACTAGAAAGTGGCTTGGACAGTGAATTATAGCATTTCTTGGCCTCAGGCTGACCATGAAGAAATAAAAATGTAGCATCGATCTAAGGTTCAGAGGTCAACAATGGACAATAAAGCAAACATAGATCACCAATTTCAACTCACAGAAACAAAGAAATTAAATTCTCTGCTTGATTGCCCAACAATCATAGGAACCGATTCAAAAGTTGAAAAAGCTTTAAAATGCAGTCATGCATGCATAGAATATATAGCTTTAACCAAACAAAGTATAGCAATATGAAATCATTTTGATCCAAACCCATAATGCGAAAGAATCCAAACCTGAAAGTTTTCTTCTCTAACCAAAGAATTGGATTGAAAGTTTGACGACATTGCGCAAAACTAAGAAAACCAAAGATCTAGATTTGGCAGAGAGCGAAGAAAAACAAAGAAAAACAATATTAACAATAAGGGTTAATGCTTGTAAATGCAATTATGCACGCATGGGTTTGGCAGAGAGCCATGGACGCTGCTCCATTAATTTCAAGTTTCTTAAGTCATTGGCCTCCACAAAAAGAAAAATCCTTTTTTGTTTTTAATAATTTGTTATTTTCAATTTCCTTTTTTTTTTTTGGTCTACGTAGGGACGCATATGCTTAAACTGTCATCCATCCGATGCGATTGAATGTAAAATTTCTTCCAACAAAGTAGAGACTAAATATCACTTGACTAAATATTCAATGATTTATCTCCTCTTCTTTAGCTATCATTTTTTTTCCTAACTTGTTCTTTCGGTTGAGAGGTGGACAGATGCCGAAACAAGCAGAGAAACAAGCTAACACAGCACAACCTGCCTAGGCCATTCCTTCTATCTATGCCATCATCAGCTATAAAAAAGAGACAAAAGCCTTACCGTTTCATCCTTCTAATCATCAGAGGGTTAATTAAGTCATCCTTTGTAGTCTTCTAGATTTCAATGTGGAGAGAGTAGATTGTAAAATGGTAAATTGGTGTCCAAAGACAATTAGTTTGAGCTGAGGGAGTAGACAGAAGGGCTTTGTTGGATGATTAGTAATTTCTTTTCTTTTTTTCTTTTTGTTGTTGTTGTTGGATGGAGTAAACAAATTAGTAATTTGGTTTTGGGGTTCGGAAAATGTTCCCAAATATCAAGTAGTGTCCAAAGAAACAAGGGTATCCAAAGACAAAATTGGGTGTGAAAAAGACGCAAGCCCAACTGAAAGCCATGCCCAAATTGGCCGAATGTTCAAGAGGTCCATTTTTCTCCGATACGACGACCTTCATAACAAGGGGATATATATGTTGATGAAGGGTTCGATCTGGCCATAATAATAGCTCTGTAATTGATTTGAGAGCTATTAACGACTCTCTCATTATAACCCTCAGCACAGTCTCTCTGCTCACTTGAGAACTCGAAGTTAGGCCCATGTGCTCTTGCAACTATTAACTTGTTCTGTCATATAAAATGACCCTGTTGTTATTGTTATGATGGTGTTGTACAGATTGAATAGAATTCAACATAGTTATATGAATCACTTTAGATGTAAGGAATATAAACCCCATCTTAAGTAATCAAACAAGATTTTATGAGATTTTAATATAAAGTATACATTGACTTATTGAGGTTTCAATATTGGTATATAAATTGTATCTTATATTGAACTGGATGTTCACATTTTGATTTGTTGGGAATTTGATTTTCTAGTATTTTTAATTGAATCCAAATGAGGGTACTTCCATATTTATATTGTAAATTTTAGTAAATTGAGTGACTTTAATTTATTTTTATATCACTCAATTTACTTAAATGTTTGGGATGGAAATAAGGCAATATATATGAAGCAATGGGCGAGCCGTCTAGGCCCGTGGGTAAACCAGCCTGATATGGAAAGCTCGCCTAAGCTCGGCCCGATGTGCGGGCCTGGGCTGATCCCTTTGAACCCTTGGCTCAGCAAGAAAAATAAAAAAAACCCATAAAAGCCTAGCTTGAACTGAAAATTTTTGAGTTGGGCCATATGATCCCTACTTGGAACTATTGACTTGTTCTTTCATATAAAATGACCATATTGTTGATTCATTATGATGTGACTTTGTGGGAGCAGTAAATTATTTTAGGCTGAAAACAAAAGTTAAGTGCCGTTTGGTAATGTTTTTAGAGCCCATTTCCCATTTATGTTTCCTGTTTTTGGGCAAATACATATTTAGTGGATTGTTTTCGTTTTCCCTCACAAAATATTTTTTGAAAACAAATCCAACTTTGTGAACAAAAATTGAAAATGATAAAATGTTGTTTTCAATTTCAACGTTTTCGTTTTTTGAAGGTATGAAAATTCATTTTGTCCTTATTTTTCTTTCTCCAATCAACTGAGGAGCACCACTGTGAAAAGAAAAAGAACATAGATAGGATAATTTTACCTTTAAAAAAATTAGAATTTTTTACTTAAATTATCTGAGATTTAGAGAGATACAATGAATTGAATTAGCCAGATCTCAGCGCACAATATATAAACATTAAAGTGAGAGCCCTCATTTTTGACTTGTTGAAGTTCTCAGCACCACATAAGTTGCAGCCACTGTCTTGAGTGGATATATATATTAGGCCCTCAGTTTTGGCGGCCACCCAAATCATGTTCCAATGGATTCCACATTTTTATTTTACTAATTGTACTTATATATAAGTGAATTGGTAACATCACGTGAGGATATTACGCTGAATCCAGCCTTTAGCTAATGAGAGAGACTCTGTTAAATTGGCCATTCAAACCATGTTCCATTGGATTACACATGTTTGAATGTACTACATGGGGCAAGGCATGGTACTTACGGTGATATCCATTACTGCCTCCTATAAGGCCTAGACCACGTGACCAAACTCCAAAACCTTTCGTCAATATTATAACTTATCAGCACAATCCAATACCTACAAATATCCAACACTTCACTGAATCACAATCACATTTCTCAATCCAAAACCCAAAAAATGGACCTCAAGCTCTCCACCCTCCTCTGCTTGACCCTACTCTTCTCCACCATCCTAAACCCAGCTCTCTCCGAGCTCTGCAACCCGAAAGACAAGAAAGTCCTCCTACAAATCAAGAAAGCCTTCAACAACCCCTACATCTTGTCCTCATGGATGCCAGAGAGAGACTGCTGTGACTGGTACTCTGTCACCTGTGACTCCACCACAAACCGCGTCAACTCCCTCACCCTCTTCTCCGGCGGACTCTCCGGTCAAATCCCGCCCCAAGTCGGCGACTTGCCATATCTTGAATTCCTTCAGTTCCACAAGCAACCCAATCTCACTGGCCCAATCCAACCCTCCATTGCCAAGCTCAAGAGCCTCAATGAACTGGACCTCAGCTGGACCAGCATCTCCGGCTCTGTCCCTGACTTCCTCAGCCAACTGAAGAACCTCACCTTTCTTGACCTCTCATTCAATAACCTCACAGGCTCCATCCCCAGCTCACTTTCTCAGCTTCCAAACCTCGACGTTCTTCATCTAGACCGTAACAAGCTCACAGGTTGGTTCTAAATTTTCGTATAATTAATCTTGATGTCGATTTTCCGTTAACATCCATATTTAAATCCTTGCTTGCTTACAGGTCCTATTCCGAAGTCATTCGGAGAATTCCATGGCAGTTTTTCAGCTCTCTATCTCTCCCACAACCAGCTCTCAGGCAAGATACCAACCTCATTAGCCAAACTGGACTTCAGCACCATAGACTTCTCCCGGAACAAGCTCGAAGGTGATGCATACATGCTCTTCGGATTGAACAAGACAACCCAGATTGTGGATCTGTCGAGGAACTTGCTGGAATTTGATCTGTCAAAGGTGAAGTTTTCGAAGAGCTTGACTTCCCTGGATCTCAACCATAACAAGATCACAGGCAGTATTCCGGTGGGGCTAACCCAAAATGATTTGCAGTACCTGAACGTGAGCTACAACAGGTTGTGTGGTCAGATTCCAGTGGGTGGGAAGTTGCAGAGCTTTGACTCCTCGACGTATTTCCATAACCGCTGCTTGTGCGGTGCTCCACTCCCAAGCTGCAAGTAATTCCCCCGGCCTTGGAAGATTAAATTTGGCCAGCAATTTCATTACCACTTTGCAGTTATATACTTCTGTTTGATAAAATAAGGGCTTCATGCAATAATCTATACTAATGCTAAACTGGCTACAGCTTTTTGTAACCAAGTGGTAAGGAATTAATAAGATTTGTGTGCCAACAAATCACTTGCTCAAAATGAAAAGAGAGTAATTCTTGGGTGAGACCACGACATAGGGCAGCCCTATACTAGAATTTCAATGGCACTAGAATCTGGCTTGGACAGTGAGTTAAAGAACATTACATTGAATTTGCCAATTAGCTTTGGTATCTAGGGTTTAGACGTCAAAACTGCATAATAAAGCAAACATAGATCACCAATAATTTCAACTCATGGAAGCAAAGAAATAAAATTCTCCCAACAATCATTTGAAATGCAGTTATACATAGAACATAGCTTTAAACAAGCAAAAGTAGAGCAACATGAATTGATTTTGACCCAAAGCCTAATGCCAAAGAATCCAAACCTGAAAGTTTTCTTCTCTAACCAAAGAATTGGATTGAAAGTTTGACGAATTGAGCAAAACTAAGAAAACCAAAGATCTAGATTTGGCAAAGAGCGAAGAAAAACAAAGAAAAAATAAAATTAACAATAAGGGTTAATGATTGTAAATGCAATGGGTTTGGCAGAGAGCCATTTGGCGCTGCTCCATTAATTTCAAGTTTCTTAAGTCATTGGCCTCCACAAAAAGAAAAGGCCTTTTTGTTGTTAATTTGTTATTTTCAATTTCCTTTTTTTTTTTGGGTTCTACGTAGACTTGCATAAGCTTAAACTTTCATCCACATGATGTGATTGAATATAAAATTTCTTCCCACAAAGTAGAGACTAAATATCACTTGACTAAATAGTCAATGATTTATCTCCTCTTCTTTAGCTATCATTTTTTTTTTCCTAACTTGTTCTTACGGATGAGAGGTGGACCAAAGCCGAAACAAGTAGAGAAACAAATTAACACAGCACAACCTTGTCTAGGCCATTCCTCCTATGCCATCATCAGCTGGGAAAAAAAAAATTACAAAAACCTTAGGCCCTGTTTGGTATCCTATTCATAAAAGTAAATTAAAAAACTATGATTTTTTTAAAAAAACATGAGTTTTCAAATAATGATTTTTATATCTAAAAACTTGTTTGGTATTGAAATCCAAACTCTTTTTAAGATCTATAAAAATTGAAATTAAAATATGAAAATCAGAAACCTAGATTCCCAAATTAAAATTCCTAAATCAAAATTAACAAAAGAAAATGAGAGAGGGAGGATAAAGAGAGATGGGAGAGGGAGGAGAGATAGAGACAAGAGAGGGAGGAAGAGAGAGAGAGATGGGAGCGGGAGGAGAGAGAGAGAGAGAGAGAGAGAGAGAGAGACGACACTATACCAAATTTTACTTTACACAACACCATATAGGCATTGACAAATCTGAAAACCGATGCTGTTAGTATGTTAGGCATCGGTTTTATAAATAATAAGACTAAAAGCGTATAAAGACATCAGCACAAATTTTTGGTTTTTCCTACCGATCATGTTGATTATATTTAGCATATATGATATAAGATATACATGATGTTTTACATGTCACGCACCCCCCCCCCACCAAAAAAAAAAAAAAAAAAAAAAAAAAAAAAAAAAAAGAAAGAAGCGGAAATTGGCACTGGCACTGCCCAAAAACATGATTGACCGCTACAATGATTTTTTGCTAAAATTTTTCTCTCCCTCAAAAATATTTCAGACTCCCTCTTGTATGTTTTTTGCCAAAAATTAAACTCCCTCTCTTCTCTCTCGCGATACCCATAGTCAGATTCACTCTCTCATCCCTCTCACCTTCAGCATCTCTCTTCTTCATCGATTTCTTCTCTGTCCTCCATCTCTGCTGCCATCTTCTCTATCTTCCATCTATGCCGCCATCTTCTCTGTCCTCCATCTCTACTATCATCTTCTCCTAAACCTTAAAAGAGAGAGCCATAGGCATCCTCCTTGTTGTCAAGAAGAGCCATCAGAGTCCCTTCATTAACCTTCGTCATCGGCGTCCTCTTCCTCAACAGGGTCTTCTTTCTCGTCGGCATCGTCCTCTAGGTGAGATTATTTCAATTAGGGTTTCAATTTATTGAGTAATTTCTCTAATATTACTCTGTATTTTTCTGTCTTCTGCTAGATCGTTGTCTCTCTCTGGTTCGTTGTCACTCATTGGCTCGTTAAATCTGCTTATTCACATTTCATGCTCAAAGAAAAAGCAGATATCTGGGATTTGGGTTGATACAGAGATGGCCAAAAGATTGAGCTCGCAGCTCTTCGTCAATAGTATTCTCTCTTTCCTTTTCTTTCTCTCAAATCTATTTCTAGGGTTTTTTTTTTGTTTAAACCGCTTGTTTTGATTCTTGGGTTTGTTGCTTAGGATTATCATCGTTCACTAATAATGAACAACCTAAGAGACTGTTTTCTCCTTTTGGATATGTTACATATGGTATTTCTACTTTTCTTATTAATTTGCTTTGATTATTTATTTATTTTTTGTTCACCCGTTTGATGTTTGTTCCTGTGATGGTAGGGTAAAGTTCCCCGTTGCCCTGAAAACCATTGACTAGTCAACATGTCAATTTTCTTTTAGTGTGCGAGCATGCCACTACTAACAATGAGAAATCCTAGCAGACTTTGAAATAGATAACTTGCGCCCCAAGTTATTGATTTCTAAAACAAATTATTGTGAATTTGGGTGAGGAATATCTCCCAAATAAGTTCTTTTCTTGCCCTAGACTAGTGAAGACTTCACAATTTTTCACAGTACAAGGTTGGTAGTTGTGGCCAGAATAAATGATAAGAAAACGAATTGTTTTTTAGGCAGAACTGCCTTTTACAAAACTCAAAAGGGAAAAACCTACTCTAGAAAGACAAAAAGAAGGCTGAAATTCCATTTCTGTCTGGATAGATGCTTCTGATCATGGCTGAACTGGGTATGCCTGTGCAAGACTGGACTGTCAACCACTTCAAATGCTAAGCTTTAGCTGTAAATCGATACCAACGTTCGAGTTTGGTAGGGCTTTAATCTACTTCAAGCCCTGGAAGGCTTTTTGAGCAGGCAGAATTGCGGTTTCTTTAATCTGAATGGGGGCATAAGTGGCTAGATTTGAGGATTACTGAGCTGGAATTGCACTATGGTACCTGTTCTGCTTGATTAGGGCTCTCCATAAATTTGTTGAGGTTTTCATATTTGTAAAAAACCCAGACTCTGCTTGATTTGGCTTTTGCTGAACTAAATTTGTAACGAGAGGAATCTCGTTTTGAATGACTTATTTCTCTAAGTCTGAAACTGGAAGTTTTGGTTTGCATCTGGCTTCTTTCTTGTGGCTCAATGAGCTTTTGGTTGTTTTAGTTTGTTTGAAGGTTCCTTGAGATCAAGTAATCATTTTGAGTTTTTGTGTTTGATTGATTTTTTTGGTTGTTTGATTGTCTGATTGTCTTTGCTCTGTTCACCATCGCCTATATTTATAAGAAATGTTTTGGAATGGGGGTTTCTAATTCTTTTAATAATGGGCAGCAAAAATTCTATAAAGATCTTTCATTAATATGTTTCCAATTAATATGTAGGGGTCATTGGATCCTTACAATCTTGACGAAGAGAAAGACAATGTGTATATCATGGATCCTCTTGGGGCTCGTCACCCTCATGATGTGTGGAAATGTATTGTAAACGCGTAAGTCGTTCTTTTTTAATTATTTCCTTAATATGTCAACTTTTTCATTTGTATTATAGCCTGAAATCTTCTGTTATTTTTGTGCTAAAGTGGAATTAAACAATTCAATGCTGAAATCTTCTGTTATTTTTTTGATTCCTTTGTTTGATGTTGTTCCTTTTCGGCTATGGCAATGTTTCCAGCTTTGAGGTGTTTTTTTTTTTTTTTTTTTTTTTTTTTTTTTTTTTTGTGTGTGGTGAATGTTAAATATAAAACCTTATTGTGCATCGCTTCTTGTTAAAGATTGTGCATAGTTTCTTGGTAAAGATTTTATATAGTTTTTTTTAATCTTATATGGTCTTTTCATTTCATTTCAGTATGTGAGAAGTGGGAAAAAGAAGGCATTTTACACCCAAATAGAATTGGACGAGGTTCAAGATGAATGGGCATGTCATGTGCTAGAGTGGATTTGAGTTTGAACATTCTCCTTGTTTTTGTAGTATTTTGCTTATTTATGTATGGATGATGTATGGATTTTGGTTTACTGGCAGAACTCATAAGTTTACATATATAGGGATTTTTTTTGATGTTGCAATGACAATATATATGAAATGGATGAGATGCCTCTATATTTTGAGATAGAAATTAAGTAAAATATGATGTGAAATGTGGAAAAACAACATCAGCATTCTCTGGGAACCAAAGCCTATAATCTGAAAGGTCAATAATATTTGTAGAAAGTCAAACTATTTGTTGGTTTTTCACTTCAGCATAAGTACAAAAAACAAATGCGCAAACCATAATTTGCAACAGCAATGACATATTTTCTGAAGTGGTAAGTCAGCACACACTTTAGTACGTATAAACAAAACCCTTGATGCTATAAAGAGTATTTAGCATCAGTGTTGATATATTCCCTGATGCTATTAAAGGTTTAGGCATCGGAGGTCCACACTCTTTTTGGCATATGATAACAACTTAAGCATCGGCGATTAAGTGAAGAGCGAAGTCGTAAATTATCTTTAGCGACGGGGAATGTCCGAAGCGTATAACTATATCATATGCATCGGTTCCCAATACTTTGGTTCTTGGGTACCTTTAGCAACGGAGATTCTCCGAAGCTAAAGGTCAATTTTCACATAGTGTGAGAGAGAGAAAGATGCGAGAGAGAGAGAGCGTGGAGAGAGAGAGAGAGAGAGAGAGAGAGAGAGAGAGAGAGAGAGAGAGAGAGAGAGAGAGAGAGAATTATAAAACCTCTTTTAAATTTTTTTATATAAATAATGGGGTGTTTTTTTAGTGTTTTCTTGATTGAGTTTTTAAAAATGGGTCTACCAAACGGTTTTTTGTGACTTTGGAATTAAAATATATTTTTGAGTTTATAAAATTGGATCCAAGTAGGATACCAAACATGCCCTTACCGTTTCATCCTTATTATAATCATCATAGGATGATTGAGTCATCCTTTGTAGTCTTCTAGATTTCAATGTAGGGAGAGTAGATTGTAAAATGGAAAATGGTGTCCAAAGACAATTAGATTGAGATGAGGGAGTAAACAGAGGCGTTGTTGGATGATTAGTAATTTTTTTGTTGTTGGATGGAGTAAACAAATTAGTAATTTGTTTTAGGTGTTCAGAAAATGTTTCCAAATATCAAGTAGTGTCCAAAGAAACAAGGGTATCCAAAGACAAAATTGGGTGTGAAAAAGACGCAAGCCCAACTGAAAGCTATGCCGGCAAGTTGGCCGAATGTTCAAGAGGTCCATTTTTCTCTGATATGACGAGCTTCATAATGAGGGAATATGTTAGCTGTGTTGAAGGGTTCCATCTAGCCATCTAATAATACTTCTGTAATTGATCTAAGAGCTATTCAAGACTTCCTCATTATAAACCTCATTACCTTTGAATTGTTCCTTTTTTCCTTTTTACTTTGATCTGTTTGGACCTGCGTGCCCTCGGGTTTCTGTTTGTAATTGAAAATTTTCCTTACAGAAAAAAAAACCCTCATTACAGTCTCTCTGCTCACTTGAGAACTCGACTCGAAGTTAGGCCCATTTGCTCTTGCAACCATTAACTTGTTCTGTCATATAAAATGACCCTATTGTTATGATGGTGTTGTACACAGATTGAATAGAATTCAACATGGTTATATGAGTCATTTTATAATGTGAGTTTGTGAGAGCCATAAATCATTTAGGCCGAAAACAAAACAAAGCAAATATCATTGACTTCCCACCCATTTAGACTTTAATTAAGTCATAAAAATCGCCCGCCACCAATTGGCATTTTCGTAAGGAAATAGGATCAAAAGGATACCAAGGTTTCATATACCACACTAGTTGAGGAAGACAAATTGGTGAAGCTCAATGTGGTGGAGGGTTATCTGAGATTTAGAGAGAGACAAGCAATTGAGTTAGCTAACTTTAGCATTCAAAGTCATCTCCATTTGCCAGATCTCAGCACACAAAAGATAAAGATTAAACAGAAGCCCTCATCTTTGACTTGTTCCAAGTTCTCTTCACAACAAAGTTATGCAGCTAGCAAACCTAAAGTTCTTCAGATTTGGCTCACAATCACAAATATCAGTCTTAGAATTAGGCCCTCTGCTTTCGGCACTCCACCTTTGGCCAATCATACCATGTTTCTCATGGATTCCACGTTCTTTACCCTTCTTCCTCTCCTCTTGTCTCAATTTTACTTCCCCAAATTATGTTACTTGAGCCTTATAGTGTATGAGAGGATTGATAACATCACGTGATGATATTACGCTTACACAGCCTTTAGCAAATATGAGAGAGACTGGCTATGAAATTAACAAACACATAACATGTTTGAATGGACTATGAAGACTTTCGCCACCTGTCCAAACTCCAAAATCTTTGGTCAGTATATGCGCATCATCCAAAATCACAAATACTTTTACTTATATGCACATGCAATACCTATAAATATCCAACACTTCATTGAATCACAATCACATTTCTCAATCCAAAACCCAAAAAATGGACCTCAAGCTCTCAACCCTCCTCTGCTTGACCCTACTCTTCTCCACCATCCTAAACCCAGCTCTCTCCGAGCTCTGCAACCCGAAAGACAAGAAAGTCCTCCTTCAAATCAAGAAAGCCTTCAACAACCCCTACGTCTTGACCTCATGGAAGCCAGAGACAGACTGCTGTGACTGGTACTGTGTCACCTGTGACTCCACCACAAACCGCATCAACTCCCTCACCATCTTCGCAGGCCAAGTCTCCGGTCAAATTCCGACTCAAGTCGGTGACTTGCCGTATCTTGAAACACTTGAGTTTCACAAGCAACCCAATCTTACCGGACCAATCCAACCCTCCATTGTAAAGCTCAAGAGCCTGAAGTTCCTGCGCCTCAGCTGGACCAACATCTCAGGCTCTGTGCCTGACTTCCTCAGCCAACTCAAGAACCTCACCTTTCTTGACCTCTCATTCAGTAACCTCACAGGCTCCATCCCCAGCTCGCTTTCTCAGCTTCCAAACTTAGATGCTCTTCATCTAGACCGTAACAAGCTCACAGGTCATATTCCGAAGTCATTCGGTGAATTCCATGGCAGTGTTCCAGATCTCTATCTCTCTCACAACCAGCTCTCAGGCACCATACCAACCTCATTAGCCAAACTGAACTTCAGCACCATAGACTTCTCCCGGAACAAGCTCGAAGGCGATGCATCCATGATCTTCGGATTGAACAAGACTACCCAGATTGTGGATCTGTCGAGGAACTTGCTGGAATTTAATCTATCAAAGGTGGAGTTTTCCAAGAGCTTGACTTCTTTGGATCTCAACCATAACATGATCACAGGCAGTATTCCGGTGGGGCTGACCCAAGTGGATTTGCAGTTCCTGAACGTGAGCTACAACAGGTTGTGTGGTCAGATTCCAGTGGGTGGGAAGTTGCAGAGCTTCGATTCTTCAACATATATCCATAACCGGTGCTTGTGCGGTGCTCCACTCCCAAGCTGCAAGTAATTCCGGCGGCGATGGAAGGTTTGGCCAGCAATCACTTTGCAGTTATATAGGTGTTTGATAAAATAAGGGCTTCATGCAATAAGCTACCAGTGCTACACAGGCTACAGCTTTGTGTAACCAAGCACTAAGGAATTAATAAGATTAGTTTTGTGCATTATGCCAACAATTCACTTGCTCAAATAGGAAACATAAAAAACTTTTCCAGTGTAAGGCCAACAGTTGCATGCTTTAATACTCCCTCACAGAATGCCACAACAGCAGAGTGTGGAGAGAGAAAAGGAAGGGTTGCAACAGGTGTAAGGTGCAGTGATCCAACCATTGCAGCATGCACTCCTCCTAGATTCCACAGAATATTTTGGGTAAGCCCCACTGAAAGCTATGTCCAAGTCGGCCCAATGGTCAAGACGTCCAATTTTCTCCGATATGACGATTTTCATAATGAGGGGATATGTTGAGGGGTGTGTTGAAAGCAGGACTGTCCCTGAGATTTTGAGGGCTCTGTGAAAAACTTAAATTGGGGCCTCAAATAATCTTATACGAAAATACTATAAATAAAAATTTATCATAACTTAATGTCATAAGCAATTTTTTTTATAACTAAAAGTCACCATCAATAAACATGTAATGACAATCAGAAATCCAACTCATAAAAAAATAAATGTTTTCATTTGATAAAGTTAAATATTAAAATGTTTGATACAAAAATAAGCTCCTTGTGCCCCTATAAGATCCATTGCTGCCTCCAATAGGCAATCTGTGTTTAATAGGAAAAATAATTGGCAATCACAAATTAAAGAGTAGTTGCACACAAATGTCATTAACAAATTAGATTATATTGCATTAAACACAAAAGCAAAATCAAAAACATACTAACTATCCAAAAATCAATCACAAAAACAAATTAGATTATAGTATAATACTAATGTCTAAAAATTGATCTTCTTAAATTTTTTTAAAAAGAAATCATTAATCAAATGTTCATAATCAAGTTTTTCAAGAAGGATATATATTCCTGGTGGTTAGCTTCGATGTTTCTCTTTTTTAGGGAAACATGCTGGAATGCCAACTCCACCACAGACGCTTTTATGCAGATATTTAGCACGCTATAGTATATATACAATTCTTATAAATATTATATATCTAATATAAAGAAATTTTTTTTTTCGGGGGCCTTCAAGAATTGGGGCCTTGTGCGGTGGCACCACTTGCACCACCCCAGGGCCGCCCCTGGTTGAAAGTTCAATCTGGCCATCCAATAATAGCTCTGCAATTAATCTAATAGTTATTAAAGACCCCTCATCCATTTTGTTAAAAGTTAAAACACACATCAGAGTCTGCAGCACTTGGTGCCATCATGAAGGTTTGCCCTTCAGGAATCTTCTGCAGAATAGCCTTGTCTAAACTTAGTATGATATCATGTTCTATGTAATCAAGTGTTTCATTTGTTTAATGTTAGAAAATTTACAAACACAGAATAACTGCCTTTCGGTGGAAAAAATAAAGAACACCCCACTTCCAATAGAACATTTTAATTAGTTTATGAGTGGTCACAAAAATGTAGTACTTAAGGATCTGAAACTTGATTCGGGTTTGGCACCATTCGTACTAGGAGTAATTCTTGGGTGAGACCGCGGCATAGGACAGCCCTATACTAGAACTTCTCTGGCACTAGAATGTGGCTTGGACAGTGAGTTAAAGCACGTTACATTGAATTTGCCAATTGGCTTGGGCAGCAGCAGCTCTTGGCCTCAGACTGACCATGAAGAAATAAAAATGTAGCATCTATCTAGGGTTTAGAGGTCAATAATACATAATAAAGCTAACATAGATAATCAATTTCAACTCATATATATAAACAAAGACATAAAATTCTCCCAACAATCATAGATAGAAACCAATTCAAATTTTGAAAAAGCTAATTTTGAAATGCAGTGATGCATAGAATATAAGTTTAACCAAGCAAAGCATAATATGATGACTTTGATCCAAACCCAAAATGCGAAAGAATCCAAAGCTGAAAGATTTCTTCTGTAACCGAAATTGAAAGTTTGACGACATTGAGTGAAACTAAGAAAACTAAAGATCTAGATTTGGCAAAGAGCGAAGAAAAACAATATTACAATAAGGCCCGTTTGGTTCATGAGAAAGGAGGCTTGGGGATGAGAAATCAATTTCTTTACTATGAATTGGCCTTTTTAGGGAAAATGAGCCAAAGTTGAATATAAAATTTTTGTTCGACAAAGTATAGACTAAATAGTCAATGACGAGCACCAAAATCTAGGGATAGTGCAAACTCACATATATCATGTTAAATTTTAGAAAGATGGGTTAGCGGCCCAATAATAGCAACACTGACATGGTTCCCAACTTAACCACCTACAAAGCCCAGTAGGTGTGATGTTTTATCACAAAAAACCTCGATGATATTAGTAGTGGAACCATTCATTATATCTTGTATTTTATTTAGTCAAGTTTCCGATGTGGGACTTATATTCTTCAACATGCTCAAGTTCGCTGAAAGGTCAAGAGCTCTATTTTTCCGATACTTGACAAAACTGAACAGCGGCTTTAGAATCACATTCTACCTCAAGGATAGTGTTCCTGAACAATTGTTTTTGTTCTTCTTTAATTTGAAAGTCTGAAAAAGAATTTTAAAATTGTTAGAAGGATGTTCATTAAAGAAGAAGATGATGGACTCATTGAATAAATGCATGATTTGTTAGAAAAATTACGCAAGAGAAAAGCATACATGGATTAGACTAGTTGACCAGGATTAAAAAATTATTAATTTTTACAACATGATATCATATAAAATGACCCTATTGTTATGATGGTGTTGTACAGATTGAGTAGAATTGAACATGGTTATATATGAATAAACTCGACGAAGGAAACCCGCCGCATAAGAAGATCGACCTATCCCGATGAAGAAGCATAATGTCCTCTTGAGTTTGTGAGACCAGTAGATCCTTGGGCTGAAAGCAGAAGCAAAGGATCCCCCTACAAACTAAACAAGCAAACAAACACCACTGACTTTCCACATGTTTATTCCCGCCATCAATTCAGCAGTTGAGGAAGACAACTTGGCAATTGAATTAGCTTTCAAAGTCACCTCCATTTGCCAGATCTCAGCACACAATAAATAAAGAAAAAGAGAGCCTTCATTTTTGACTTGTTGAAGTTCTCAGCACAACAAAGTTATGCAGCTAGCAAACCTAAAGTTTTCTAGATTTGGCTCCTCACAGTCGCAACTATCAGTCTTGTTTAGATATAGGTCCTCAGCTTTGGCACCCCACCTCCCCCTTTGGCCATCCAAACCATGTTCCCATGGATTCCACATTCTTTACCCTTCTTCCTCTCCTCGTCTCAATTTTACTTTTCCCAAATAATCCAGATTATGAAAGCAGATTATGAAACAACATCATGTGATAATATTACGCTCACGTCGAGAATTTACTGCAGATTATGAAAGCAGCCTTTAGCAACTGAGAGAGACTGGCTATTGAATTGCCAAATATATATCATGTTTGAATGGACTACATGGAGCAAAGCACGTTACTTTTGTGATATATATCCATTAAATGCCTCCAATAAGACCTTCACCACCTGTGCAAACTCCAAAATCTTTCGTCATTATATCCGTCATCCAAAATCACAAACACTTCGACTTAATGCGCATGCAATACCTATATATATATATATATATATATATCCAACTCTTCGTTCAATCGCAATCACATTTCTTATCCAAAACCCACAAAATGGACGTCAAGTTCCCCACCCTCCTCTGCTTGACCCTACTCTTCTCCACCATCCTAAACCCAGCGCTCTCTGAGCTCTGCAACCCGGAAGACAAGAAAGTTCTCCTACAAATCAAGAAAGCCTTCAACGACCCCTACGTCTTGACCTCATGGAAGCCAGAGACAGACTGCTGTGACTGGTACTGTGTCACCTGTGACTCCACCACAAACCGCATCAACTCCCTCACCATCTTCGCCGGCCAAGTCTCCGGTCAAATTCCGACCCAAGTCGGTGACTTGCCATATCTTGAAACACTTGAGTTTCACAAGCAACCCAATCTTACCGGACCAATCCAACCCTCCATTGCCAAGCTTAAGCTCCTCAAGGAGCTGCGCCTCAGCTGGACTAACATCTCAGGCTCTGTACCTGACTTCCTCAGCCAACTCAAGAACCTCACCTTTCTTGACCTCTCATTCAGTAACCTCACAGGCTCCATCCCCAGCTCGCTTTCTCAGCTTCCCAACCTCAACGCTCTTCGTCTAGACCGTAACAAGCTCACAGGTCTGTTCTTCCTTGATATATCTCTTTCTACCAAGTGCCCGGAAAGAAAGATACAACTTTGTTCAAAATTTTCATATAATTTATCTTGATACCGATAGTTAATATTTTCTGTTAACTTCCGTAGTTAATACCCTTGCTTGCTTACAGGTCATATTCCGAAGTCATTTGGAGAATTCCATGGCAGTGTTCCAGATCTCTATCTCTCTCACAACCAGCTCTCAGGCACCATACCAACCTCATTAGCCAAACTGAACTTCAGCACCATAGACTTCTCCCGGAACAAGCTCGAAGGCGATGCATCCATGATCTTTGGATTGAACAAGACAACCCAGATTGTGGATCTGTCGAGGAACTTGCTGGAAATTAATCTGTCAAATGTGGAGTTTTCCAAGAGCTTGACTTCGTTGGATCTTAACCATAACAAGATCACAGGCGGTATTCCGGTGGGGCTGACCCAAGTGGATTTGCAGTTCCTGAACGTGAGCTACAACAGGTTGTGTGGTCAGATTCCAGTGGGCGGGAAGTTGCAGAGCTTCGACTCCTCGACTTATTTCCATAACCGCTGCTTGTGTGGTGCTCCACTCCCAAGCTGCAAATAATTCCCACGGCCATGGAAAATTTGGGCAACAATTTCATTGACACCGTGCAGTTATATAGGTGTTTAATAAAATTGGGGCTTCATGCAAATAAGCAACCAGTGCTACAGTCTACAGCTTTGTGTAACCAAGAAGAAAGGAATTAATAAGATTTGCTTTGTGCATTTTGCCACCATATAATGAATAAAATACGAACAAGTCAACTTATGCCAACAAATCATTGCTCAAAATGAAAATAGAACAACTTTGCCAGTAAATGTTGTCTATACAATGTTAGGTACCTCGCAAATGAGAATACAACAGGAAATGGATGATATGAGAATACATCAGGAAATGGGTATTTCATGAAAGCGCCCCCTTTTCCCCATTCTTTTTGGGGGTGTTACAGATGTCAGCTGTATCTAGTTTTTTACAAGTTTGGTGTGAATTAGAGCTGAAGATTACCATATCAGAATCAGTACAGGGCCTTCGCACGTCATGCCAATGTCACAATGGAGACTCCTTCCATTGCAATCTGTCAAGTCCATCCACAATGGCCCTGCGGAACTCACCGTTGTGGAGAAGGAAAGATGAAACATGGCCACCAGTGACCCATCTTACTTCTGAACCTGGCCAAGCTTTTTGCAGCTCCAGCACAGAGTGTTTTGGAATGTACCCATCATCCTAAAACATGAAAACAGTTGAAGGCAAAAACTTGTAAAGCTAAGCAAGACACAAAAACCAGCAAACTAAAGAAAATCTGTGAAATTATTGCACACTACAGAGATCACTTATTTATCAACAGTGAAATAGAGAGGCCAGTTTATCTCCAACATCAAAATTTAGATGGAAAAAAACTTTGAACACTAGAAGCCTATTAAGTAATGCAGAACCTCTACATTCCACAATGACTTATATGGGAGGACAAAGAGAAACAGGAAGAAGAAGCTTCAAAAGCAGGAAGTGGTTCCTACTAAGAAATGGGGAAAAGGTAGCCTGATTTGATAAATTCTGAAATCTGATAAATACTTACAGTGGCAGAAACAAAAATCACAGCATTGGGACTTTTTGGAATCGGAAAGCGTGTGACATCTGTGAGGGACAGAACATTGCGCATCCTTTCTCTCACCTCCTCAAGAGTCATTGCAGCCTTCTGCACTGCAAGATCCTCTCTCAGTGCGTCCCAAGCAGTGGCATGCTTTAATATTCCCTCACAGAATGCCACAACAGCAGAGTGCGGAGAGAGAAAAGGAAGGGTTGCAACAGGTGTAGGGTGCAGTGATCCAACCATTGCAGCATGTACTCCTCCTAGATTCCACAGAATATTTGGGCCAAGAGAAGATTAATTAAATTGTGTGTGAGTGTTCCACTGCCAGGGGAAAACTCATTTGATTTATTTGAAGGGAATGAACGAATGCATTAATTTATAGCAGGTATAAATTAAGTAAACGAGTTTAAATTTAAAAGAAACAAATATTTAAACCAAGGAAAGCGAGGAACCAGTTGTTCTGACACTTCAACTATAGAAAGCAACTATAGAAAGAGATCTAGTTGATTCTTACCCATACTAAGTCCACAAACACCCATCTTTCCAAACCCTGCCTCAGAGTCTAACCAATGCAAGAGACTGCGAGCTTCTTCAATGGTTGCCTTTCCTAATAAAAGCAAGTCACTCACACACAAGAGTTTTGCCCCATGCTGCATCACAGGACGTCTTTGTCCATAGAAAGGGCTGCAATAACATATCTACCTTAATAGAAAAGCTGGAAGCTACGCATGGTAATCTTGTAGAACTCTGATTTCAATTAGAAAAAGTGTCAGACTGTGCAGTTTGATTTATACCTCTCGAGCACCATGGTTGCAATGTTTTCCTTCAACAATGGTCCACCAAGACGCAACCTTCTTTCAAATGTATGGTCCCCTGTTCCTGCAAAAAAGAAATTACAAATTGTTACCCCAAAGGCTATATAAGTAATTCCATGAGGTGCTACTGTAAAGGAATTCTATTAGCTTGTATTTCCAGGGCTTCTCATTAGGTTGTATGCAGAAGGACTAGGTCATACTGAAAAGTAATAAGTCATCAGTTATCACAGATTATTCTGAAGATATTTGAACAGATACATAGTCATCCAAGAAATCCCTCCCGATGTTCTCAACATTACCACCCAAAGAAGAACTAATTACATTTCCCAATCAATCATATAGTTTCCAGCAATGGCATACTTGAGATAAACAAAACAATTACATTTTGCAACCATATTCATCAATCTTTCAAGGACAACAAGAACAGTTCCAACATGGTTTCCTAAAACTGGTTAGCACTTTATACTAAATATTACTCTTTGAAAACAGTACACAAGTAGGACAAAGTCCTATTTGAATTGTACCCATTTTAAAATAAATAAACAAATCATACCAACAGTTCAAATTTTCTAGCAATTGATTTCTAAATTCTAAAATTTCAATGCTCAACAAATGAAACAGTGAAATCGCCCAATGAAATGATTTGCTATACTTCAATCTTAGTTATTGCGCAGATAAATAGAAAACCAGACGATACCTGCAAGATGAACCACACAGGCCATTTTCTGAGGGGGCACAGATTTTGGGAAGAGAAATGCAACTCTTGCATTGTGACTCTCAGGAGGCAATGCACTAAGAAGCTGCTCATCACAAGGTGTCCTGAAAACCCCTTCTCTAAGAGTAGCTGTCTGGCTCTCCCAAACTGTTTTCCAATTGGGTCGGATAACAGTGGGAGGCCAATTCTGACCTGCAACTTCTGGGAACAGCTGCTTGATCATTCTCTCAAGCAACTCAAGCTTTGTACCTCCCCACCCTCTTGAAAAAAATTGTGGGCTTATCTTTGTTCTGTGCATGAATGCACCATATACATGGTCCAGTACATAATGGAGCATTCCAAGATTCACTGTCACCATATTTGAGAGATCCCCAAAAATTCAAACACCAAAATTTTCCCAAAAAGTTTTTTTTTATTAATCAATTTGAACTAAACCCAAATGGTAATATTTGCAAATTCACTTTCTATAGCTCAAAATATCATATAGACCGATAAGAACCCAGAATCCAAAGTGTTGAGAAAAATTAGAATTTGTAAACTTCTTCATATAAAAATCATGATTTGGGATGAACAGATTAGAAATTACTTAACCAGAATAAGAAAATTTTGAATCTTAGAGAAAGCGCTAAACCTATAGGATTATAAATCAATAGACATTCATAATCCAAAAATCAAGGAGAAGACGTGAAGATGAAATTGGTGAGACCAAAGAGACGATAGGAGACGGAGGTGGTGAGAGAGAGAGAGAGAGAGAGAGAGAGGGAAGAGATCTACCAAAACGAAAACAAGCGAACAACAAAAACTATGGGCTGAGAATAGACCTGTCATTGACACGGTGGATTGGGTCCACGTGCCAACTCATGCTTTATCCATTCTTATTAGTTTATTTTGTGCTGCTTTCGATGATTCTAATAATACCTTTTTTATAAAAATAAAATTTTAAAAAAACTTAGGATAGCTTGGGGTATATTCCCTTGCTTGTTTTCGCGGCTGTTCTTTTGTGAAGCCAATTCGAAGCGTTGGGGCAAAGAAGTGAATAGGGAATGGATCTATATTTGGGAGGCACATTTGAAGTACCTAGGATATAGGAGTGGCAATTCGTTTTAATAGGGAGGAAACCTAGTTAACTCTAACCTTATTCATATATAATCGTGTCATGTTCGGATTGGCTCTTATTTCATATGAATAGAAAATTAAACGCTGGATTTCCATTATATCTTAATCAAAATTCATACTTATACATGTGTGTTTGAATAGGATGAATAGGATAATAAGTTGTCCTATGTTGAAAGATTATCACTTCATCTCACTACACTTTGATTGTGCCTTAAACTTGCTAAAAAGAATTGGGTTAGAAGTGGACTCTACTTCAAACTTCTCATTGTTTTGCTATATCCTTTTCGTTCTCCAATAATACATTCTTTATCCAATAAAAACTAATTTAATCCTAAATACTACGCATCAAAATAATAAAGAAATAATTCCATAATCATACCATTACTCATAAAATACATATTGAAAATAGGAAAATGAATCATATGTTTCATATAAATAATAGTTAAACGTGTTGGTAATCTCAAAAGAGAGTTACTCATGTTTGGTTCTAAGAGCATGTTTAATGGGACTAATGTGGCCTAGGTCCGGATCTGGCTCAAATGAAAAAAAAAAAAAAAAAAAAAAAAAAAAAAACACACTTCTAATTCTAATGTGTGTTGGCCCAATCTAGTTTGGCCTAGGCAAGATAAGGGGCTGATTTAGCCCAAATGCTGGCTTGGGCAAGAGTGGGCCCCACAGTCAGCTTTTGGAAAAAGGGCGCAGCTTTTCCAAATGCAATTGTCTATGAGGCTCTGCCACATGGCGCTCCAAAAGCTACTTTTTTAATGGCAAATTGTTGGGTTGTTCTTTTATTATTATTATTATTTATTTATTTATTTTTTAAAAGTTTGCAACAATTAGTTGCTTCCTAGGCTTGATGGGTTTTGTTCAGTTTGCAATGGCTAGTTGCTTGATGGGGTTTTTTTTGTTTTTTTGTTTTGTTTTTTGTTTTTTTTCAGGTTTCAACGGCTAGTTGAGCCTCGTTTTTACTTGTTTGTTCTTTTTATATTTCTACATTCGAACCTTAATAAATAGGCTTTTATCTTCATTTTTTTCTCAAGGCTTATTTGTAGCAATGGTCCCTCAATTATACACGGAGTTACATTTTGGTCATTCAACTCCAAAAATAGTTACAGAGGTCACTCAATTAGGTGTTGTGTTGCACCATTAGTTCTTCAGTCAAACTCAGTTAAATTTTCAGTCAAAACTTAGGGTAAATTCGAAAATTCATCCACAACCCACCCCTTTCTCCATAACCCTCCATTGCTGCAACCCAATCCTTGCCGACGCCAAAAAATTCAATTAAAAAGAAGCTGATACCTTTAGGCAGGCAAACATATTCAAGATCTTGCATTTTAAGCAGCTTACGAGAACCCAAGTCACGTTCTTGTCCCAATTTAGTACTCACCTGCTTCTCCCTAACAATCTAAAACAGCCCAAAAAAATAAATAAATAAGAAACAAGTGAAATGAACGAAAACTAGAGAAAAAATTCCCTCAAATGCAAACTAAGCGCATGAAAAAGTACCAACCTTTGAATCCGATATGAGTATCGAGACCAACCCTTTTCCTGAATCACATTGGTCTTCCATAATCTTTGAACCCAATTCAAATACACCAATTTAAAAACCGACCCTTTTGCAAGAACCACTAAATCTGACTCAATGGCGCTAAAATTTGTAAACTTTTGGAACAAAAACGAAAAGGGTAAGTGCTGAAATGATGAATCTTTGGACCTCCTCGAGGGAGCAAACAAGAATGGAAGGTTGAGGTTGAGAGGGAAGAGGGGTTAGTGGTTTGGGTTTTGAAGTTCTATGTAGCAGATCCGTGTGAATTTTTATTATTTGATATTCAATTTGAATTTCCAAATTTCCGAATTTACGAATTTTGAAGTTGTAGAGAATAGGGAGGGTTGTGGATGAATTTCTGAATTTAACCTCACTTTTGACATAAAATTTAACAGAGTTTGACGGAATAACTAATGGTGCAACACAACACCTAATTGAGTGACCTCTATAACTATTTTTGGAATTAAGTAACCAAAATGTAACTCCAAGTATAGTTGATGGACCATTGCTACAAATAAGCCTTTTTTCAAATAAACTTATCTCTATACTTCAAAATCCAACACTTGGATATCTTTTCTTATCATTTCATATTGAAGAGATTGTTCAAGAAGATGAACTAGGATCGTGAAGAAGATGATGAGAGTAGACATCAGAAAAATGCTTTTATCCTTGGGATCATGGTAAAATTTCAAAGCTCCTCCTTCAATCCGCTCACCAAACCAGGTTCTCAAAACGGTCATAAATACATCAACCGATATAGGGAAGACAATGACAAGATGCTTAGGCCATCTCCAGCCATAGGGCTAAATGTATTCCAGGGCTAAAAATTTAGCCCCTCGAAATATTAATTTTTTAAAGAATAGTGCAGGGCTAAATTTTTCTATCTCCAGCCATGCAAGGCTATATTTTAGGATCCTTCATATTTTATTATTTTGAGAATGCTTTAAATAAGGCAAGTGGGGGAGTGCTTTAATATTTGGTGATTGAAAAGCATATGGTGGGGTTCACTATGAATTTGGCCTAGGCCAAAGCTGGGCTACATTTGGCCCGGTTGGAGGGCTAAAGGGCCAAATGTTGCCTTTCAAATTTGGCCAAAATTTTATTTAGCTCATGGCTGGAGATGAGTTTTGCGTTAATTTAGGGATATATTTGGGATATAGCCCATGACTGGAGATGGCCTTAGGAGAGATTATTTTCATGCCAAGACCAGTGTACTCATCCACTTGGGAAAAACATTTCCAAAGCCCAATAATGAGAGGGAAAAAATGTTTTCCAAGTACCAAGAGGCATACCGTAAAGACGTTGAACAATGGTTTGGCATACTGCAAGCTTGATTTGGCATCATTCGGGGGGTTGCTCAAATGTGGAATAAGGCCACCCTTTGAACCATCATGATAGCTTGCGTAATCCTGCACAACATGATTGTGGAGGATGAGCGTGCCGAAGATGAAGATGAAGAAGATTTAGATGTAGAAGAAGTTGGCACAATGAACCCAAGGAATGTAAGAATATACGAGCGACCAGATTATAAAGAACTTGAACCAGTGGGTGAGACGGACAAAATATTGGCGGCTTTATGGATCGTTATGCACAAATTAGGCTTGATTATGTTCATGAAGGGTCTCTAAAATGATCTAGTTGAGCATGTGTACCAAAGGCATGTATATATGCTGTCTTAGTAACTACAAAATTAAATGAAAAAGAAAAAAAAAGTGTTTATCTTTTTTCATTTTGCTCAAAATTGTTGTTCCAAATTATGACTCAAAATTGTTTCAAAAAATAAATTTTTGTGTTTCTTTTCTTATGCTTTGAATATTTTTTTTTAATCATAAATAAAATAATAATAAACTAACATAAGAAATTTTTAGTTTTAGCCCCTGGCTCCTAGCCCCTCACTGCCACTAGAACCACACAAAATTTGAGAGGCTAGATTTTGTGAATAGTACCATTTTGAGGGACTAAAACAACACCTAGTCCCTTACCCCTTGCCTTTGCATTAGACATGCTCTAACCTAATTCATTCATTATTCGTGTTAGTTGACTGTGTCATATACATGTTGGATCTTTCAAGTGGTTGAAGTTACTCATGTTTATCCGCAAGTCAATACCCTTACCTACTGAACTAGACCCCATTCACAAGTTTATGTTGGTATTAAATTGCGTTTGCAAAGTCTACACAACATGATGGGAAAACCCCATAGATTTGTTAATGAAAAAGATCCCTTGTTTCAACCAAAATAAAGGAAAGATCCCTTGTTGCAACTTGTCATCATGATATATATTTTTTTTGGTCTGATCATCATGATCAAGTATTAGGTTGTGTGGCAAGTGGCATTACATTTTAGCCTTTGCATAATTGTCCCACAGACTACACAGATCTTAAGCTGCATCTTCATTTTTTTTTCCCCAAAGTTATTCCATTTATTGTGAATTCCATTTATTGTGAAAATATTTTTGCCATAACATTAATTGACCTTCGATCAACACGATAAAAAGGGATTGAGCCTAGCCACTGGAACACAAACTAAGGGATGAGCCCTTGGAAGTGTTAAGCCAGGTCCCTCTTCCATGTCAACAATACCACTACCATTTCCTCCATCAAGTTTCCATTCAAAGCACTGAATCATAGCTGCAAGTGTTGGCTGAACAACCGATAGTGCAAGTGAGGTTCCAGGGCACCCTCTTCTTCCACTACCAAATGGCAACATATGAAAATGTTGTCCCCTCATATCTAACTGGCTTTTCAGACTTCCCTCTTCAGTCATAAACCTCTCCGGCTCGAACTCCAATGGCTTCTCCCAGTGGTTCGGGTCTCTGTTGATAGCCCACACATTCACATACAATCTGGTTTTTGCTGGAATCTCATAGCCAACAATGTTGCAGGCTTCAGTTGACTCTCTGGCAATTAATGGGCTTGTAGGGTGAAGCCGTAGGGTCTCTTTCATTATGGCTTGTAGGTAAGGAAGGTTGGAAATGTCTGATTCTTGTACTAGTCTGTTTTTGCCAACTATGGAGTCAATTTCTTGTCTTGCTTTCTTCATCACTTCTGGGTGGTTGATTAGCTCTGCTAGTGCCCATTCTGTCGTAATCGCGGATGTATCCGTCCCAGCAGCAAATATATTCTGTGAAAATGTACCCAATACTAATTAATAACCAAGAATTTCTTGATTTGCATATGCTCATCATAGCACTTAGAAATAATCAAACTATTTCAATCAGTAAAAACAGTAATGCTTTGAGCATATACATTTTCAGGAGCAGAGAAGAAAAGGATTTCTTCAAGTACTATTTCATCTACAGATCTGGTGTTACATTAATTTGATAGTTTTGACAATGCCAATCATTAGGAGCTTAATGCAATGACCTCAGAGTTTTAGCATGACTGTTGTCCTTTAACAAATACTATATTATGAATGAAAATGCTTCATCAGCAAGAAATGAATAACAGATAGTGAAGTTTTGTGTCAAGATCAGAGGTATGTACCATGATGAAGGCCTTTATGTTTATTCTACTCAATCTAAACTCTGAGGTCTCATCTTCGGATATGTCGAGTAAAATGTCAAGCAAATCCTTAACTCCATCACCACCTTCACCAAGTTCCTTCCTTTTCTTCCTTGCCTCTTGGTGCTCCTCTATAACCCTCTCCATCATAGTATTGAACGTATCACGCAATTCCTTAACCCTTTTCCCAAATCCCTGCAAATCCAAGTTCTTGCAAAACCAAATTAAATCCGACAAGTTAAGCCTCCCTTTAAGCTCAGCAGTAGCTTTCACCACCTTCCTGACCACATCAGCATCTCTTTCATCTTTAGACCAGCTCTGCCCCATAGTCATTCTCGTTATGATATTATTCGTTATCGTCATAAGCGCTGCTCCAACATCAACAGCCTCAGCTGCCTTGGCCTTCTTTTGGATCAATTGTACAAAACTTGTCAACTCTTCACGCCGGACAGGAAGGAGCTGATCCAGTGTTCTTCCACCAAGAAGCTCAGAAACACATAGTTTCTTCATGAATCTCCAGTAAGGTCCATAAGGAGCAAATGCAAAATCAGACGATCCATATGCGAGGTAATCAACAACAGCCATAGAAGGCCTGCTGGAGAAGGAACCTTCATGAGTCTTGAGGAACTCTTTGGCCATGTCCGGTGAGGAAGCGACTAAACAAGGAACAGAACCAAGAAAGATGTGAATCAAAGAACCGTAGCGGCTAGACAGCTTGTGGAAAGCTTGGTGAGGAATTGGAGCAAGGAGGTGGAGGTGTCCAATTACTGGTAAGGCCATTGGACTTGGTGGAAGCCGAGGTTTGTTCTGAATTTTGGTGAGTATGGTTCGAACCAGAACTACGGAGACAAGGAAAAGTATAATGTAGCCTTGGAAATCTGCTTCCATGGTTGATTGATCTTTGCTTCAATCTTGGAACAAAGATGATGATATGAGGGTTGCTCATATGATAAGCTAAAACACTAATTCATTTGCAGTTAATTCCTGAGGAATTAGATTTCCCATATATTAATATTGAGACTTTGAGCCCTGTTATATATAGAATGAACTTTACTAAGTGGAAGGACCACTTTACTAAGTGGAATAGAGTGGGTAAGATAATATACGGATAAGAACGACTTGAGATTAAAATATAATCGAAGACCAAAAAAAAAAAAAAAAAAAAAAAATAATTAATAATATTTGTGCAGTAACATGTGATGAATTTATAAATTACTCAACTTGCATACCACTGCCATAGGAGGCTTCAATAACATATTTAGACTCCTTTGGCTCTTTGTACTCTTTTAAGAATGAGATATTGAGACTTGCAGACTAATAGTCTCAGATTCGAATCTTCAAGGCATAGTGGTAGTGAGCTGAGATGGACTCAGGAATTGAAAATGAAATGGGCTAAATTTACCTTAGGTACAAACCTACTAAGAAGATATGTGCGTGAAGGCGGGGGGTGGGGGTTATGTGTGAAGAGGGTCTTAAATTAAATATCGATGGTTTCGGAAATATTGGTGGTCCAAAAACATGAAAATATTGACAAATTTGATAAAAACAACGGAAATTGTGAGACAATATTGAAATTGTTAATGAAACTTTAGAAAATGTTACATATTATTTTAACACAAAAGAATTGAAAGAAATCTATTGCATAGTGAGTTTGAGTGATTTAAGTGAGTATTGATGAAGATTGTAACCTATATGATTTTAATATATATTAATTAATGAAAGAGTATTAAAACAATATACAGAAGCAATAAAAATGGGAGTGTGTGAAAACTAAAGTAGTCAATTCGGTATATTTATGTGAATCCAATAATTATTATGCTTTGTTTTCAATTTGAATTATAGATATCAAGAAGATGTGAAATCCTTTCTTAACAACCTGAAAAGTTTTTGAATTGGATATGACACCAGACAACATGTAAGTCCTTTCAAGCAAGGAAGATGAGAATGCAAGCTTCCTCTTAACTTCAACACTTGTCTAAACTCAGCTCCTTGAGATGAGGAAAGTCTGGACACCGGGCTTCAGTTGAACTTGCTCCCATTCCTCCCACTCTGGCAAATGAACAAACCAGCATTCCAAATGGGAAGGAAGGATGTATGCCTTTTCCCCTCTCTTTTTTTCTCGGATAAGGAAGCATGGAGGTTACGTATAACACCAATGGATAAGAAAAATGAGGATGGCGGCAATACTTGTACTTAATAACAGCTCCTCTGAAGCCTTTGCATCGATTAAATTATCATGTAAAGGGACTATAGCCAGGACAAAAAAACAGGAATAGTGAAATTAATTGTGTGACAGAGGTTCCCAATAAAATATGTTTCTTCTAAATAAACAACTAATTAATGAAGTGTGCAGCATTACAATCCATTTCATATGGAACAATTTTCCCGGAGGAGGATTTTACGGTATTGTTCAAGATCAAACAACTCATAATGTTACGTTTTCAAGTTATCAGTGAAAGGAATTTTATGATGAAAGAGTACCTAATCATGATTCAGATCCCTTCATTGTCCAAATGCTAGCTGGTCTGTTGCTAGAGCTCCACCAGTAGAGCATTTCCGTTTCTCCTCTTCGTCACAATGAGTTTGTAGAAAACAAAAACTATAAACAATGGTAAACTCTCCTTTGGCCGTGAGTTGAAAAGAAACCTGCAAATGAAAAACTGTTAATGAGAAGGCATGTCATCCTGCAAAGTGACTAATAACTCAGCATCTGAGACTTAAGAAAGACATAAGTTGTGATCAACACGCTCTTGGATACCAATAAAAGACCAGGCCCAGTGAGAAACAAAGTGAAAAAATCAAATTATGTTGTTTCAACTTTGCCTATGCAAGCATACAGATGAAACAAAGACTATAAATTCAATGCGTGCAAGTATAAAAATCTGGACATGTTCTCTCTTTGATAAATCCTCTATGTCTAGCAGTTCTTGTACGATAGAAAAAAACAAATACAAATTAGAGACGAGGGAACATAGGTGATGTTAGGTACCTGACTTTGACTCGAGAGTGAAATGTCAAAAAGCAATAACTTCTTGTAATAGAGAGCTCATATATGATATAGATTTCACCATTTATCTTGATGCAAGGAATGTGAGATAAGTTGGGCCAATCTTTTCCTGTCTTATTGTAATACCATTTCTGTCAAACAAAGTTGGTAAATATTCAATTATGCTCATATGTGCATATATATTTATTCTTCTCCAATATGGAGGTATTTATATAAGTATAAAGATGTGTGAACCTTAAATAAAATAGGAAATATATCTAAATTACAATGATAAATAAATCTCAATTACAATAAGACTAAATAAACTGGTAAGTAACAAAAATCTAACTAAGTAAGAAACCAAAATCTTAACTAAGGACTCGCCAACAATTTCTCCAAGGCACAACAATTGGAGATGCTCAGAAAAGAAAGAGATGGCGGCAAACCCTCTCCTGGCAGGAACTGGATGATCCAGGTGGATCTTTTCAAGATAATTAAATAATTTATCAACCATTCGACTCGAATGGTTTAAGAAGAAATGGTTCTGAACCATTTAAAAATTAATGGTTTGAATTACCTAAAGAATTTAAACCATTTAACATTTGTGGTTTAAATTCATTTATTATTTTTAGTTTTCTATTCTAGGCATTCAGGCTTGTATATAAACCATTGTAGTTGAATGAATTAAAACAGGCAGAACTCAAAGCAGTTCCTTAGCTTCTTCCTTTTGTTTCTCTAAATTGTCTTAAAATTCCTCTCGTTCCCTTATTCCTATAAACTAGGAATTCATAGTTCTATCGACTAGAAGTTTTGGATAAAGTGGTATCAGAGCACCAGATCCGAGAGGGTGACGGTGGTTTATGGTCTCAACTCGCAACCAACGCAAAGCTTCTGGAGAAGAACTTTTAGGTCCTTTGCTCGTACACCGAAAGCCAAGGTCCAAGAGAGACAATATGACTGGAGAAAACAAACAGGATACATCTAGTGATGGCGATCGCATCACTAAACTTGAGCAACAAGTTGAAAACTTGTCTGCATCAATCCTTAAACTCGTGGAGAGTTTGAAGACTGGAAAATCTTCACGTCCATCAACTTCATCTGAGCCTGATCAAAAGCTCAAGAAAAAGGTTGTTGAGGATAGCGAAGATGAAGACAACATACAAGCTGATCCAACGAAAAAGGAAGCTGAATCAGGTGACAATAAAAATTCTATTGATACCTTAAAGATTGATTTTAAGGTTGACATCCCTATTTATAAAGGAGATATTGATCCTGAAAAGCTAGATAACTGGATAGACACATTAGAAACTTATTTCACAGTTTATAAGTATTCTAATGTGCAAAAAATAAAATATGCGAGTTTGAAACTTTCAAGCCATGCCCTTACATGGTGGAAGTCCTATCAGAGACGTTATGATGTCTCAGAATTGACTTGGAAGAACTTCAAGAAGCTTTTGAGAAAACAATTTTATCCAGTTGGCTATGAAGATGAAAGATGGTATAAGTGGCAACACTTCAGACAAAGATTTGGGCAGCCTGTACAAGAGTATACAACAGAGTTCCACAACCAAGCTATGGTTCTGGACATTGACGTTGACGACTACGACGTTTTCATGAAGTATACCGGAGGTCTTGCCGACTACATACGGAAAGAACTAAAATTGTTCACCGTAGATACTATTGAAGATGCTACTGTGAAGGCCATAGCCATTGAGGCAAAAAATAAAAGAACTGACAAGAAGGATGACAGATCAAAACCTGTCAACAAAACTGACTGGCAGAAAAAGGGGAAGCAGAGCAAGGAAGGTCAGACACAGAATGTCTACTGTGATCACTGTCAAACCAGCAGACATGCCAAAGACAAGTGCTGGATACTCCATCCAGAGTTACGGCCAAAGCGCGAGAAAAACAACCAGGGGAGAAATGACAGAAAAGCCACCTTAACTGCACAACGGGCAGAAGAGCTTCCAAAGTTGAAGCAACCTGATGTTACACTTACCCTTATGACAAGACCAGCAGATACTGAAGACACGTACAACCGTGAAGAGCTGTTTCATGTGAATATCCAGGTGAAGCAAAGTGTTGTACAAGCTATTATTGACCCTGGAAGTCAGAAAAACCTAATTTCAGAGGCTTTAGTAAGAACAGTGGGTTTAAACACCACACCACATCCTAAGCCGTACCCGTTAGGATGGATTCAGAAGGATGTTGACTTACAGATCACGAAGCAATGTACCTTCAAATTTGCTATCACCAATCGATATATCGATGAGGTGACATGTGAGGTGGTTCCTTTGGATGTTTGCCAAGTCATATTAGGTAGTCCATATTTATGGGACCGAGATGCCATCCATTATCGAAGGCTTCGCAAGTATCGACTTGTGAAGGATGGGAAGGAGTTCCACATCAACGCTTGCAAGCCTCAAGCTACAAATAATTTGCTTACAGATAATTTGCTGACAGCTAACCAAGCCAAGAGGTTAGTCAATTCATGTGGGCGATTCGTTTTGTTGATGATTCGACCGCAAGATCAGAGTTCTAGAGCTGTGACATTGTCTACATTGTCTTTATCTCCTGCACAATGCTCAGACATAGGGAAATTACAGGAGAAGTTCAAGGACTTATTTCATGATGTGCAGGGTTTGCCACCACGGAGAGCTGTGGAGCATGAGATCCAGTTGGTAGGAGATTCACCTCTACCAAACTTGGGTTTGTATCGTACTTCTGTGACGGAATCTGACGAGATCAAGAAGCAAATTCAAGGACTTCTTGAACAAGGAGTCATCAAACCCAGCTGCTCACCATGTGGTTCGCCAGTGTTACTTGTGCCTAAGAAAGACGGAGACTGGCGTATGTGTGTAGATTATAGGGCACTCAACAAAATAACCATTAAGAATCGGTATCCATTGCCGAGGATTGATGACCTACTAGATCAACTACATGGTGCACGCTACTTCACTAAGCTTGATCTCAAATCTGGCTATCACCAAGTCCGCATCCATGACGAAGATACTTGGAAAACTGCATTCAAACAAAGCAGGGACTATTCGAGTGGTTAGTCATGCCATTCGGATTATGCAATGCTCCAGCTACCTTCATGCGATTGATGAATGAGGTACTCCGCCCTTTCATTGACGACTTCGTCATTGTATACTTAGATGACATTCTCATATTTAGTGTCACATGGGAGGAACATCTTCATCATATTGCTCAAGTTTTGGAGGTTCTACGAACAAATCAGTTACAGTTAAATGGTAAGAAGTGTGAATTTGGGAAACAACACCTTGTATACCTGGGATTCATTGTTGGTGCAGGAGAACTGAAAGTGGACCTAGAGAAAGTGCAGGTGATTTCTCAATGGCCTACTCCCCAAACAGTGACTGAAGTTCGGAGCTTTATAGGTGCATGTCAATATTTACGAAAGTTTATTCGGCACTTTTCACAAATTGCAGCACCCTTACATTCTCTAACAAAGGCCAATCAAAAATTTGAATGGTCGAGAAACCATGAGGAATCTTTCCAGTTATTGAAACGGAAGATTACAGAGGCCCCAGTATTAGCATTACCGAATTTGCAGAGACCATTTGAAGTGGAAGCAGATGCATCGAACTATGCTATGGGAGCCGTATTATTTCAAGATGGGAAACCAGTTGCATACCATTCTGAGATGTTTAGTGGACCGGTATTGAATTATCCGACTTATGACAAGGAGTTGTATGCAATGCATCAAGCAGTGAAGCATTGGAGAGCTTACTTGTTGGGAAAAGAAGTCGTAGTTCACTCAGATCATAAACCTCTTCAGTTTTTAACTACACAGTCTAAGTTACAGCAAGCTCGCCATATGAAATGGATGTCTTACCTACAACAATTCAGTATTGTGATAAAGTACAAGAAGGGAGCAACTAATAAGTTGGCAGATATGTTATCTAGACCACCTACACCAGTTAGTTCCGCATTGCTGGTGGCTATGAAAATCCAACCCATTGTTCCTTCTGAATATGCCCAAGGGTACGACACAGATGCTGATTTCAACTCAGCCTATGCCAAGCTGGAACAAGGAAAGACTAGTGAGTTTCAATTGAAAGATGGACTAATGTATAAGGGAACACAATTGTGCATTCCAGAAGATGGTGACAGATTGCAATGGATTCGTGAGGCTCATACTTCTAAAGTAGCAGGGCATTTTGGAGTTGAGAAGACTTTATTGAATCTTCGTCGCTATGTGTATTGGCCAAAGATGCATCTCGATGTTTCACGATACATTCGAGGTTGTGTTCTATGCAACACATCGAAGCCTTCCAACAGGAAGTTAGGACTGTATCTTCCATTACCAGTACCTACTCGACCTTGGGAGAGTATCTCGATGGATTTCTTGGGTGGCTTGCCTAAAACCAAGTCTGGAAATGACTACTTGTTTGTGGTGGTAGATCGTTTCAGTAAGATGGTGATTCTCATTCCATGCAAGAAGACCGTAACTGGAGAAGGAGCTGCTAAGTTATTTTTCCAATATGTTTGGAAGCATTTTGGCTTACCTACATCAATTATTTCTGACAGAGACAGTCGATTCTTAGGCCATTTCTGGAGGTCGTTATGGGGAATGATGGATACTAGATTGAAAAGAAGCACTGCATTTCATCCACAGACAGATGGGCAAACGGAGGTCGTAAACCGGACTATGGTACACTTGTTGAGGGGTTACAATTCCAAGCATTCGAAGACTTGGGATGAAAGTCTCCCTTACTTACAGTTTGCTTTCAACCGAGCAATTCATGGCTCTACACTCAAATCTCCATTTGAGGTTTGTTTGGGTTATTTACCCCAGAGTCCTTTTGATTTAGCATTCACTCTGAGTGACCAACCATTATGTGGGAAAGAAGAAGAAGAACATATTCGAGCACATAAATTTCTCGAACGAGTCAGAAAGATTCATACTGAAGTGGAGGCACAATTGAAACGTTCTCAGCAACGATATAAAGCTCGCCATGATAAGCATCGTGTGCCATGTAACTTCAAAGAAGGTGACCTAGTATGGTTACACCTTGGAAAGGAGCGGCTAACAGGTGAAGGCAAGACACTGAAGCCTATTCGTTATGGACCGTTCAAGATCATCAAACCAATTGGTGATAATGCCTTTCAACTTGAATTACCACCATACATGCATATGTACTCGGTCATCAATGCCGAGAATCTTAAGCTTTTTGAGCCATCTCTACTTGATGATGATCCCGACGAAGACATTCGGCTTCCATCAGTTGATGACTTAAAAATTGAACTAGAAGACCCTTTGCTGAAGGATTGTATCTTGGAGCAGAAGGTTCGTGAGACCCGACATGGAAAGTATGAGTATTTTCGTATTGGCAGTAAAGGGCAACTTCCCAGCAAATCGAAATGGTATATTCGAGACAAGGCTACCCAAGAATTTCCACATCTCACCATTTAACTTGAGCAGGAGCTCAAGTTCTTAAATGGGAGAGCCATGATCCAGGTGGATCTTTTCAAGATAATTAAATAATTTATCAACCATTCGACTCGAATGGTTTAAGAAGAAATGGTTCTGAACCATTTAAAAATTAATGGTTTGAATTACCTAAATAATTTAAACCATTTAACATTTGTGGTTTAAATTCATTTATTATTTTTAGTTTTCTATTCTAGGCATTCAGGCTTGTATATAAACCATTGTAGTTGAATGAATTAAAACAGGCAGAACTCAAAGCAGTTCCTTAGCTTCTTCCTTTTGTTTCTCTAAATTGTCTTAAAATTCCTCTCGTTCCCTTATTCCTATAAACTAGGAATTCATAGTTCTATCGACTAGAAGTTTTGGATCACTGGAGGTTGTCACACTTCTCAATTTTTAGTTGTTGAAGACAAGTGAGGTCTTGAAGTCCGTCTTCTGGCAGGAAATCAAGACTGTCACACCTCTCAATTTGTAGCATTTGAAGAGAAGTGAGGTGTCCTAGTCCCTTTCTGTCCAAAGATTTCAGAGTTGATAGAAAAGAGATCTTGAGAATGTGAAGAGTGGTAGCCTAGGAGCAGCTTTTGATTGAGCAACGTCTCCAAGATATCGTCACTTCCCCTGCCACCAATTCTAAATTCTTCAAGGGAGCCAAGTCCTTGGAAATGTTCAGAATAATCTAGACTTCATTAATAGTTGACTCTTAGTAGTTGTTTGTTAAAATAATGGTGTGGTAGGAGTTAGTTGAATTAACTATGTTTAGTATTAGTTGTGTTTTTTTGTGTTAGGTCGGTAGTGCTATTATATAAAGCCACCCTTTATCTTCATTTTGTATCAAATTAGGAATCATCATTATCTAAAATAGTGTTCCATTACCTTTTGTCTTTTGATCATCAGTAGAGAACACTAGAGAACAAGTTTCTTCTCTTACCAATTATTACTCCCACATAACCGTGTCCACCACCAAAAATATTAATACTGTACCCATCATAGTGGTATCAGAGCTGTTGTCTCAGATCCATATGGCTTCAAACAACAACATGTTGCAGCCCCATCTTCCAAAGTTTACAGGGAAGAATTATAGTCAATGAAGCATCGATCCAAATGAAGGTGCTGTATGATGCTCAAGATTTGTGGGAGTTGGTTGAAAATGGCTTTGTGGAGCTGAAGGAAATGATCAAGCAGACGTCACTCAACAACAACTCACAGAGCTGAAGGAAACTCGTAAGAAGGACAAGAAGGGTTTATTCTTTATCTTTCAAGCCGTGGACGAAGCTATTTTTGAAAGAATCTCATCATGCACTACATCAAACACAGGCGTGGGACACTCTCTTTGCATCATATAAAGGAGAAGAAAAAGTGAAGATGGCAAGACTAAAAACTCTAAGAATGAAGGAGTCAGAATCTGTTGAAGAATATTTCAATCATGTCATTTCTTTATTCAACCAACTGAGAATTAATGGAGATAAAATTGAAGATCAGAGAGTTGCTGAAAAAATTCTTCGAAGTATGTCCACAAAGTTTGAATATATTGTGGTGGCAATTGAAGAATCCAAAGATCTGTCTACTTTGTCTCTTGACAGTTTAATGGGTTCTTGTTGGGTTCATTTTTATACATGATTTATTCTGTCATTCACCCAATGTTTTGAGTTAGTTCTTGACAATTTATAGTTAATACTTCTTTTTTATGTTTTATAAGTTTTACTTTGGTTGGAAAGAAGAAATATGAGCTAAAAGTTCCTTATTGAATATAAAATCTGTTTTTTTTCTCATTTTCTTAGGTCAAAATATCCTTCTTGATGAGGCCCCAAGCTGGCTGGAAAATATCCATCTTGATGATATCCTTGGGATCGCTACACCCTGCATGATACCTGCTGCTGCTTAGTTTGTTTTGTTTGGGGGTTTTTCCCATGTCATGCAAAAATAACTCATGCAAAAGAAAAGCTTTTACATACATGTCATACTGTAATTTTTCTGCTGAATGAAATAGTAGGTTACAAGTATTTTTCTTATATTAATATTCGAGTAGACATTAATCTGCTTTAAATTTGATTCTTAATGTCTGATCAAGAAGATGGGAAGGGATTGAGCCTAGCCACTGGAACACAAACCAAAGGATGAGCCCTTGGTAGTGTTAATCCAGCTGCCTCTTCCATGTTAACATTATTGCTCCCTCCTTCAACTTTCCACTCAAAGCACTGGATCATAGCTGCAAGTGTTGTTTGCACAACCTGCAATGCAAGTGAGGTTCCTGGGCACCCTCTTCTTCCACTACCAAATGGCAACAGATGAAAATGCTGCCCCCTCACATCCAACTGGCTCTTCCCACTTCCCTCTTCAGTCACAAACCTCTCCGGCTTGAACTCCAATGGCTTCTCCCAGTGGTTGGGGTCTCTGTTGATAGCCCACACATTGACAAACAATCTGGTTTTTGCTGGAATCTCATAGCCACCAATGCTGCAGGCTTCTGTTGACTCTCTCATAATTAATGGGCCTGTGGGGTGAAGCCTTAAGGTCTCTTTCACTATGGCTTGTAGGTAGCGAAGGTTGGCAATGTCTGATTCTTCTACCAGTCTGTTCTTTCCAACTATGGAGTCAATTTCTTGTCTTGCTTTCTTCATCACTTCTGGGTGGTTGATCAGCTCTGCTAGTGCCCATTCTGTTGTGATTGCGGATGTGTCGGTTCCAGCTGTAAATATATCCTGTGAACATGTATCCAAGGCCTAATTAATAATCAAGAAGTGCTTCATTTGCTTATGCTCATAGCATTTAGAAATTTATTGTGATTTTAAGTTTCCTAAGCAAGCTAATGTCCGGCCTTATGGAAAAGAATTTGTGTAGGCCGGTTATGCATGTAACCTTCTTCTTGCATCATGCATATTGTAGCAGAGAGCTTGTACAGAGGGAAGCAAACTACGCTCCAAGTCAATTTAACAACATATAATCAGTGATTATTTATGCTTTAATGAACTCAGAGTTTCTTGAACTTGAAGCAGTGTTTCATCTACAGATTTGGTGTTACATTAGTTCCATGGATCGAATATTTCTGTCAATCATTAGGATATTATTACATCACTTACCATTTAACTAATTAATAAATGAATGCTTCAATCTTAAATAGAGGCATTAGCTATCAGGGAATGAGCAATATTAGGCAGTGAAAGTTGTGTGCAAAGATCAGAGTTATGTACCATGATGAAGGCCTTTATGTTTACCATACTCAACCTAAACTCTGAGGTCTCATCTTCTGATATGTCAAGTAAAATGTCAAGTAAACCCTTAACTGCCTCACCACCCTCACCAAGCTCCTTCTTCTTCTTCCTTGTCTCTTGATGCTCCTTTATAATCCTCTCCATCATAGTATCAAACCTATCGCGCTCTTCCTTAAGTCTTTTACCAAATCCCTGCAAATCCAAATTCTTACAAAACCAAATAAAGTCTGACAGATTAAACTTCCCCGAAAGCTCAACTGTAGCTTTCACCAGCTTCCTAATCTCATTAGCCTCTGTCTCATTTGCAGAGCAACTCTGCCCCATAGTCATTCTTGATATTACATTATTTGTTACCGTCATAAGCTCTGCTCCGACATCAACTGCCTCAGCTGCCTTGGCCTTCTTTAGAATCAACTGTATGAAACTTGTCAACTCTTCGCGCCTGACTGGAAGGAGTTGATCGAGTGTTCTTCCACCAAGAAGCTCAGACATGCAAAGTTTCTTCATGAATTTCCAGTAAGGTCCATAAGGAGCAAATGAAAAATCAGCTGATCCATATGTGAGATAATCAACAGCAGCAATATAAGGCCTGTTGGAAAAAGACCCTTCATGAGTCTTGAGGAACTCTTTTGCCATGTCGGGTGAGGAAGCGACTACACAAGGGATAGAACCAAGAAATATGTGAATCAAAGATCCATAGCGGTTAGACAGCTTGTGAAGAGCTTGGTGAGGTATCGGAGCAAGGAGGTGGAGGTGTCCAATGATTGGTAAGGCCATCGGACTTGGTGGAAGGCGAGGCTTGGTTCGAATTTTGGTGAGTACGATTCGAACAAGAATTGTGGAGACTAGCCACACAAGGAAAAGTATGATATAGCCTTGGAGATCTACTTCCATGGTTGATTGATCTTTGTAATAATCTTGCAAAAAGGCGTTGATCTAAGGGGTCTTATATAAGGAGATGAAGCACTGTTTTGTTCTCAGAAGTTTTTAGTTCTTGAGGAATTGAATTTCAGCTGATTTGAGAATCTGTTTATTCTTGTAAGACATGTTATAAAAATCCTATCGCTATCGCTAAGGGGAAGATTGCCATTAAATTAAGACAAGTTTAATCTATTTGTTTACATTTTAAATTGTTTGTTTCTGGTTACATTTGAGAGCAACTAATCGTTGGAAAGCTTGTGTAGTGTTCTAAGGGTGAGGAGCAGAGACTAGGTCAGCAGCCGTATTTGGTGCGAAATGGGAGTTTAAATAACAAGAAGTGTACATCTATGTATTAATTACAAAGTTGTTCTTGTCATAACTTCTTTGTTTCAAATTTTCAATTGGTTTAGAGCCGGCTATTTCCAAGTTTTTATATGCAAGCATTTGGCCATTCTTGCCAGTTGCTATCTGCGGCTGATTGGGTCAAAGACAAGTTTTCTCCTTTTCTTTATTTTTCCTTTTGGTGGTGGGTTGCAGGATTTCAACCCACATTCAACTTTTGGGTTTATTCTGCTCAAAGTTTCTTCGAACTCTAATATGATTTGATAGCCTAAGGCTAATTGGATCTGTATGTAAACACTAAAAGAATTCTAAATAGAATACTGTCTGGTCTTTCAAGGGGCTTGGTTATATAGACCTAGTATGCCCTACACTATGTGGTTGATATTGCAATATTCAGCATCTTCTATATCTTGAGGATTTATATGAAACCTGTATTCTATTGCTTCTTTTGGGTTTAACTTGAGGTTGATAGTTTCTGACTTCTTGACACTGAAGAAATACTATCCCAACAGTTCCAAGCAATTTTACTTGATGCTGCTATTCTTCTTTAATTTTCTTTTTTGGGCTCTAAGGAGGCACGAAGCCCAACAACTAGAAGACCCTGGGCCTCGAGACCCTGCAATATCGTGAAACAAAAACTTGCCTAAAATAATAGAGAGACTGTAGTGAGGGGTTTAAGCAATGGTAAACTCTCCTTCGGCCGTGAGTTGAAAATAAACCTGCAAATGAAAAACTGTTCATGAGAAGGCATGTCATCCTGCAAAGTGACTAATAACTCAGCATCTGAGACTTAAGAAAGACATAAGTTGTGATCACCATGCTCTTGGATACCAATAAAAGACCAGGCCCAGTGAGAAACAAAGTGAACAAAATCAATATTATGTTGTTTCAACTTTGCCTACGCAAGCATACAGATGAAACAAAGACTATAAATTATGCGTGCAACTTGCAAGTATAACAATCTGGACATGTTCTCTCTGTGATAAATCCTTTATGTCTCGCAGTTCTTGTACGATATAAAAAAACAAAAACAAATACAAATTAGAGACAAGGGAACATAGGTGATGTTAGGTACCTGACTTTGACTTGAGAATGATGTCAAAAAGCAAAAACTTCTTGTGATAGAGAGCTGATATATCATATGATGATTTCGCCATTTATCTGATGCAAGGAATGTGAGATAACTTGGGCCAATCTTTTCCCATCTTTTTCTGATACCATTTCTGTCAAATAAAGTAAGGCAAAAATGCAATTATGCTCATATATGCTCATGTAAATATTCTTCTCCTATATGATAGTATTTATACAAGTACAAAGACGTGTGAACTCTAAATAAAATATGAAATATATTTAAATTACAAAGGTAAATAAATCTCAATTATTATAAGACTAAATATTCTGGTAAGTAACAAAAAACCTAACTAAAGAACCAAAATCCTAACTAAAAACTCGCCAACAATTTCTCCAAGGCAGAACAATTGGAGATACTCAGAAAAGAAAGAGATGGCAGCAAACCCTCTCCTTGCTAGAACTGCAGGTTGTCACACTTCTCAATTTTTAGCTGTTGAAGAAAAGTGAGGTGTTGAAGTCCGTCTTCTCTTAGGAAATTGAGACTATCATACCACTCAATTTGTAGCATTTGAAGAGAAGTGAGGTGTCCTTAGTGGCAGATCCAGAAATTTTCATTCCGGGGGTCAATGTGTAAAAGGTTAAAAACATTTCTATGCAAAATAGACCCGTTGAAATGAAACGATAATACTCTAATTCATAGTTAATAGATAAAACCATACAAAATACTTATGTTCATTATCAAAAAGAACTGCATCAACTTTAAAAAATAGACACACATTGCAATACACCAAAAATATCTCTAAGAATGTGATAATAAACCAAAAAATTAGTGCAATCCTTATCGCCTTCCAAGGCATCTCGTCTTATTCGACATAAGAACTGGCATATCTTGGCGCAATCTTGTTCATTTTAGGGCATTTACGTCTTTTTTTTAGGTCCGTCGTAGTTTTGAATTGGGGCTTTATCTGCATTTCTTTTGGGTTCTAGCTCTCAAACTTTGGACCCTTGTGAGTACTGTCTTAGGGAGAGCTTATTCAAGCAAATATTTTTTCAATACGTAAGAGTTATGTTATTCTTGTAAGAAAAAATTGTAGATTGAATATCTAAGGCTTTTTACCTAGATTGACCTTAGGTTCCTTCATGCATTCATATCATACATGAAAAATTGTTTTAAGTAAAAATATTGGCTAAGTATGAAAAATGCTTTTTCAGAATAATCATTTTCTCAAGATAATTTTTGGCGGCTTTTATTCTTTACACATCAAATAAGAAACTTGATTTTATGGGATTTTAGTATGAAGTATATATTGACTTAATGAGTCATCATTTTTAGCCAAAATCTTATTTTGCACTAAAACCGAATTTTCATATTTTGATTTAGTGGGAATTTGATTTTCTAGTATTTTTATTTGAATCCAAATGGGGGGTAAAAGGACAGGACATTTACTTAAATATTGAAAATGTAAATAAGGTAATTTGCTTGCTGTGCTGCGCCCTCTAGAGCATTTCATCAAGCAGTTTAGGAGCAATTTGCAGGGGTCAACATCTTCACCTCTAATGGTGGATTTCGGGCTTGCAGGGGTCAATTGACCCCTCTTGCCCCTATGTGGATCTGCCCCTGGGTGTCCTAGTCCCTTTCCGTCCTAAGATTTCAGAGTTGATAGAAAAGAGATCTTGAGAACGTGAAGAGTGGTAGCCTAGGGAGCAGCTTTTGATTGAGCAACGTCTCCATGATATCTTTAAGGGAGACAAGTCCTTGGAAATGTTAAGAACAATCTAGACATTAATAGTTGATTGGTTTTTTTATATCATTCGTGGTCCTCAAGGTTAGTATGTGTGATCGCAAATGGTCCTGCCGTTAGGTTCCTTCAAAAACTTTGTTAGTTTGCTGACGTAGGATATATATATATATATATCATAAAACATCCATCAGGTTCACGCACCTATCACAAAGGGTTTTTTCATTTTTAAATTTTATAAATTTTAAATTATTTTAAAAAAATTTCATTAGTTTGTTGATGTGGCATATATGTGGAGCCTATATCTTCAAAAAAATAGTGTCACATGTATTTAAAATACAATATATATTTTTAAATAATTTAAAAAAGAAACCAAACTTTTATGAATTTTAAATTAATAATTAAAAAAATTCGCAGGGACCATTTGTGATAGGTGCGTGAACCTGAGGAATGTTTTATGACATATATATATATATATATATATATATCCCACGCCAGCAAACTAACAGAGTTTTTGACTGAATCTAATGGCAGGGACTATTTTTGATCACACAAACTAACCTTGAGGACAACGAATGACAAAAAAAATAATATTAAGGATGCAATCTGATAGTTTCATAAACCTTAAGATCGTTTTGAGATATTAAGCCTTATGTAAAATAGTGTTCCATTATCTTTTGTCTTTTGATCTTCACAACAAGAGAACAAGTTTCTTCTCTTACCAATTATTACTACCACATAACCGAGTCCACCACCAAAAATATTAATCTTGTACCCATAAGGAAATTCCAGTACTCTCAATGAAGCCCTCAGTCTCTCACAATTTTGGGTGCTAAAATAGCGATGGTTGGGAGGCAAACCCCCCTCCTGCAAATGACACAAGATTTGGAAGATCTCTTATCTGCAAATATCGAAGGACTCTGAGGGTATATATGAATGCGTATGGGCAATGACTTCAAATTATTGCATGTATTGATTATCAAGTTATCCAGGTTGGGAGCGCGCGCAATCCATCCTAGGGAAAAGACACTAGCTTTAGACAGCCCCTGAAATCAAAATGACTGAGATGACTAGATTCTCATAAATTGTTCTTCAATGAAGAAAATGGATTCCAGATTCTCACACTTCCAAATTTTAAGATCCGAGAGTAGGGAAAAAATGCCCAATAAGAAGGACCTCATTGAATCACAACTATTCTTTATAAGCAAATAGTGCGGCAATGTCAATTTGGCCAACATCTCATTGGGTAGGAATTCTCTCCTATAATCGGATATCTGAAGAGATGTCAACATCATGGGTAGGCCATCTTCAGGGAACGACGACAGGGTTGGACAATTATAGAGAAGAAAACGTTGAAGCCAATTGATGTTGGGCACGCACTGTATGTCCTAACATTTATGAATGTTAAGTAAGGACATGAGCTTTGTCTCTAGTAATGATTAACAGACCTGTTTGGCGTCCATCATATATTTCCAGTTCATCAAGAGATTTGTAGGAGTCCATGTTAAGACTAGTATTAGAACTAGTAGTGGCCCATTGATCATGTAAAGCCCCATACCTAGGCACTTTAAACTTCTTCAAGCAAGGCAGATGACGAGGCAAAGGCAAGCTTCCTCTCAGTTTCAGACAGTAGATTTTCCTTGTCTTGAGGAGCTGATTATAATCTACTTGCATTCGGTACCCATTCCTCCCACTGTACCATCGAACTAAACTCCAGCTTCTCTAACGTCATAAGAAATTCCATTCTAGATATGAAGAGCTCCTTAATAGTGGGTAACTGCCCCAGCAGTGGTAAACAAACAATAATGACAACTTTCGAGGTGCATAACTTTTATTTTATTGAAAGCAGAGTCTCCTAACTAGTTCGGGAAGCTGGTCTCACCATAAAGTGTCACGATCAATTTCTCTAAATTCATGCAAGGTAGGAGCTTGTCAAGTACATCTCTCATCTTTCTGAATGATTGGCGTTTCCGAAGGCCCATGCCAACTCTAAGTCTTTGAAATCTTTCTTGTTCTTCAATTTGGCTTGCAAGGCATCCCTACCATAAACGAACGACATTAGTAAGCCTCAAAATTGAAAGTTTTCCTCCAAGATGCGACAACTCCCTCAATTCTCCAATAGTCGACCTGGTAGATTTCCCCACAACAAAAGTAGTAAATGTTCTCAACCTTTTTAGTCTACCCATGTGCACCGGCATCTCTTTAATTTTTGTTCCACTACAATTAAGATGCCTTAAGTTAATCAATTTTCTCATGTCCGCATGCAATTCGGTTTGAGAGGTACAACCTAACAATAGTAATGTAGGTAGACTGTAGAGAGTGCAAACTCTGGCAGGCAACTCTTGATTCTTGTTCTATAGAGATCCAAGTAGCGCAAATGAATACGGTTACCAATAGAATTGGGTAACTCAACAATATTGAAATATTTTGACAATGTTAGCACTCGTAAACATATTAGAGATGGCACTAACTCATGTAAAACTGTTTTACTTACATACTTTGTCATATTCCACTAGTAAAGAACGACTTGAGATCAACACATAAACAAAGAAAAAAAAAAAAAAAATCAGTAACATGTGCAAAACATGATGAATTTATAAATTACACAACTTGCATACTATACTACCATAGTTGGCTTCAATAACAGATTAAGACTCCTTTGGTTCTTTATTTTTAAGAAAGACTATGTACTCTTGTAAGAAAGAGATATTGAGTCAACGGGGTCTAATCTAGTGAAAAAAGCACTAGACTTGCAGACCAATGGTTTTAGGTTCAAACATTCGAGGCACATTGGTAGTGTGTGTGTGTGTGTGAGAAACTCTCATCCCCGTAATGAGACGTGATCCTTAAGGGATTTTGTTTCATGTTTATTTGTATTTATTTCCTAGATTTGTTGTATATATTCATTGACTCTCAATGACTTGATTCTTGCCTAGAATAGGAAATACTTTGTTTAGATACAGAACTGTATATAATTATTATACTGTTGTTCAATGAAAAGCATCAATAATATTCAAAACCTTTCATGGTATTAAGAGCCTAAGACTCACCTTCCTCAATCTTGAGTTTTCTTGTTCCTATTCTTTCAACACCCATGGCTTCTTTCTCCTCTATTGATTTACCTAGTATTCATCATATTATCTCCATTCATCTGGAGCATGATAATTATCGAACGTGGCTTGCTCAAATTGTTCATGCCTTTCACAGTCGCCACTTGCTCGGCTTTGTTGACGGTACTTCTTCGTGTCGTCCTCCGACCATCCTCGACCCCAAGGCTAAGGCCGATGAGTCTACTTTTTCGTTTCTCCTCCCCAACCCCAAGAATGATGACTGGGTCCATAAATATCATCTTGTTATCTCTCTCTCTCATCAACGGTTCCTTTCACCATAAGGTTCTCACCACCGTAACTACCAAAACCACCACCTCTGACACTTAGGTGGCGCTTTGAAACTCATTTTGCTTATCTCAATCAAAATCGCCTTCTTCAACTTTGTAGTGACTTGCTTTGCACAACCCGTGGTGACTCTTCCATCACTAATTTCCTTGATTGTATTAACTCAACTGCCGATAACTTGGCGTTGGCAGGTGCTCATGTAGCTGACTCTAATCTGCTTGTTGTAGTTACGAACAACGTTGGTCCTCCTTATGAAAATATTGTTGCCGTTGCTCAAGCTTGTGAGAAACCCATCAGTATGCCTGATCTTAAGGCTCTCCTCTTGTCTACTAACCGTCGCTTGCTATCCTCTTCTTCTTTGGCTATGTCTTCTAGTGCGATGGCTATAGTGGCTTCCCGTGGTGGTCGTTGTGGGTTTGTTGGTTGTGGTCATGATTGTTGCAACTCCTCTCCTTCATGACCTGGATTTTCTTCTGGCTGTGGTACCCCTAGCGCTACTTACTGCATCTCTCATCCTTCCTCACATCAACATCGCTTTGGCAACAATTTTGGGTCGAATATTCTTGGGCAGCCTTCTTCAGGCTCTACTGCTTCTTCTTTTGGGTTTCCCTCTACCCGTGGACCCATTCAATGTTTCAATTATCATGGTTTTGGCCACATCACTGTTGTTTGTCCCTCCAAGGCTTCTTATGTGCCTCATTCTCTATCTCGTCTTCAAGGCATGACTGCTCAACATCCTTTGCATAGTGGCCATCAACAATGGGTTGCTGATACCGGTGCTAACACTCATATTACCAACGATTACAACCATTTATCCTTTTTTAGATAGTATCATGGTTTCATTAATGTTAGAGGTGTGCTTGGTGGAACAGGTTGGCCTATTAAAAATACTGGTCACTCTCGTTTCTCTCACCTATTAAAAATATAGGTTTGCCTAAACCCATCTTAATGATGTTCTTCACTATCCCGATCCTACTCTTCCTTTTTTATTTGTTCATAAATTTGCTATTGACAACCATTGTTTCTTCTCTTTTTTTCCTTGTCTTTTACATTGAATGAGCCTTTTTAAGTTTTTCCTGATTGTGTTGCTTTACTAGGTGTCCATGTTGACCACTCCGTGTGGCACTATCAGTTTGGTCATCCTTCTTCGCTTACTTTGCAATTTTTGTTATCTCATAATAAGCTTCCATCTTCTGGCTCTAAGTCTAGTTCTTTTTGTCAATCATGTATATGTACATGCCCACCTCCATATAGTACGAGGCCTTTTGGGAGTTTACTGGCTTTGGAGTTACGGGAATTTTGAAGTTAAGCAAGTTTAGGCTAGAGCAACCCCAGGATGGGTGACCCACTGGGAAGTTGCACATGAGTTCCCAGAAACAAAATCGTGAGGACAGAGAGGAGGGCCCAAAATGGACAATATCGTGCTACGGCGGAGCTGATCCAGGGTGTGACAATTTGGTATCAGAGCCACTCTACTGTGTGGTGCGAGTGTGCCGACGAGGACGTCAAGCTCTTAAGGGGGTGGATTGTAACATCCCACACGACCAACGGAAAGGGGGTGATGTGTCTTATATGTACATACCCACCTCCATCTAGCATGAGGACTTTTGGGAGTTCATTGGCTTTGGAGGCACGGGAATTCCGAAGTTAAGTGAGTTTGGGCTAGAATAATCCTAGGATGGGTGACCTACTGGGAAGTTGCTCGTGAGTTCCTAGAAACAAAACCGTAAGGGCAGAGAAGACGGCCCAAAGCAGACAATATTGTGCTACGGCGGAGCCGATTTGGAGTGTGACATCTTTGGTCCTTTTTTTTCCGTCTCTTATTCTCCGTTGGACTTTATCCATTCCGATGTGTGGAGTTCTTCAAATAAATCTATTTCTAGTTTTAGTTATTATGTTTTTTTTTGTTAACGATTTTTCTCTTTATTCTTGGATTTTTCCGATGAAATTGAAATTGAAAGTTTTCTCTAACTTTGTTAAATTTAAAGCTTTGGTTGAAATCTTTTTTCTACTAAGATTTAGGCCTTCCAATCTCTTTTATGCACTAGTCATCAATTTAAGGATTTTTAAAATTTTTTATTTTTATTTATCTCATCATGGTATTCATCATCATTTTTCTTGTCCACATTATCCTGTGCAAAATGGCTTAGCCGAATGTAAGCATCGTCACATTGTTGACACTTGGCTCACTCTTTGCCCATGCCTCTATGCCTCATTCATATTGGGCCGATGCCATGCACACTGTTATTTATTTAATTAATTGTCTTCCTTCTAAGTTGCTTATCAAACAAAGAAAATATGTTTATTAAAAAACGAAAATTTGCTTTAGAGAGGGAAAAGTGAGATTTTGGGGTTTTAAACCTAGGGTTTGAGCATATGATCAAGAGAGGGAAAGTGCTGTGAGTTGATTTTGAAATCTTGAAGGCAAAAAAGAAGCGACGCAATCGGTGATGACCCTTTGGAGAAAAACAGGAAAAATGCAACTTGTGTATAGTAAGTTATGCTTTTGAAAAAGAATCTTAACCTATTTTCTGAAAAAGAATCTTGTCCTGTTATCTAAAAAAGAAACTTGACCTTTTAGGCATATGCAGTGTGTAGAAATGGATAGTGTTTAGCTGTTGTTGTGTTATATGCCCTTTGGGACATGTAAAAGAATTAAGTATACCTTTCCTTTTAGGAATGTGGTCCTTTTTTTGTTTTCTTGTAGTTGTCTTTCAATACTTTAATCATACCGTTTGTTGTCTTGCTTTGAATGATTTGAATACTATTTGTCAATTCTTTAGTCTGGTTAATTATTATGTTTGTGTGCAAATGACAAACAGTTTTGGACTTTTGAAGTGCATCATGGTTGTAGAATGGTGAAACACAAACACAACAAGTGGTGTTATATTGGAGGGTCTATAAGATATTTGGATTGGTGTCCTGTAAAGTATATAAAGATGTTAGAGATGTAGGAGCAAGTGAAACTACTCGGCCACTTAGGGAAAGTATAACTTAAAGTAGTAAATGATGAGTTACCAGATGTAGACACAGATGCTCAACTCTTAGGTTTGTGTGATAAGGTACCACTTTCTTATCAGAGAGTTGTACTAATTTATGTACAACACATTAAAGAGGAAGTTGCGGATTTGAATGAGGATAGTGAGAGGAAGTGTTGGCTTTGAATGAGGATAATGAAGAAGAAGTTGTGGCTTGGAATAAGGATAATGAAGAAGAAGTTGTGGCTTTGAATGAGGATAATGAAGAGGAAGTTGGGCCTTTCACTAAGGACAATGAAGAGAAAGTGAGGGATTTCACTTAGGATAATCAGCTTCATAACCATGAGCAAGATGGGCCTTTTACTGAGGATAACGGGCCACATAACAATGATCAAGATGGGCCTTTTACTAAGGGAAGTGGGCCACTGAACAACGATCAAGATGGACTTTTTATTGAGGATCATGGGCCTACTTACACTGTTGAAGACTAGGATTCAAGTGATGATGATGGGACCTTGAACAATGAGGATAATAGGGCTGATATAGGTGAGACTATTGTGGAAGACATAAATGAAGACACTGAAGAAGAAGATAAAGAAAGTGACCTTGATTTTGTTGACAGTGATTATAAGAAGAGTGAAAATGAAGGTGAGTTGTTGCAAAAGGATGATAAAGCATTTGAAAATTATGTAGACCACCATGATCTAGATGAAGACCCCAATGCCCCTATAGTTGAAGATGAGGATTCAATTGATGTAGCTAAAAGTGATGTAGATGGCTTGGATAGTAGCTCAGATGATGGGGTTAAGAAAAGGAAGAGGAAATTGCCTAAATTTGAGATTTTAGGCCAGAAACACACATGGTCATCCATGTCTTTAAGCTGGGTTTAATATTTGCAACCACTAACCTATTTAGGAAAGCAATTAGGAAATATTCAATTTTAAACATGAGGTTGATTAAATTCACATGCAATGATCATGATAGGGTGAGTAACATATGAAACCCTGGTCAAAAGGGCAAAGTGGGTCACTTTAACTTTAAAGGGGTAAAGTGGGATTTGACCAATGTTTCAAGGCGCACTGTAGCACTTAAGCCTAATAATAAATTACAATTTCGGTCTTCCAAATGTATGTTTTTTGGTTATTCTTTCAACCATCAGGGTTACAGGTGCTTAGATTTGTTTCTAATCGTGTTTTTTTTTATCGCGTCATGTGCTATTTGATGAATTTTCTTTTCCGTTTGACAAGGCCTAGGTTGCTCCTGCTCCTAACCATTCTCCGTCGTTGGACCCGCCTCTCATCCTCTTTGCCTCGAGTTTCTCTTCTTGCAGCCTATGCCTTCCAACATCGCAGGCTCTGCTTAGTCCCCCTTCTCCAGCGCCTGACCCTCCCGCCTCCACAGTAACCCATTCTTCTAGCCCTGCCCTATCCATATTTGCCAACACCTATGCTATATCTGCTCATGAGCCCAACTCCCTAGTTGTGCCGCCAATTGATCCCTCATGCCCTTCTCACCCGCCAGTTAGTCCCCCTACGCCTACAGCTTCCCGTTTCTCTCATACCTACATTAGGAACCTAAACCGCAAACTTTTCTTCTCGCCTCTAGCCCCTATTTCATCTGGTCCATCTTCTCCTCCTATTTTTGATACATCTCTGGTAAGTGTCTTCTATTGCTCATTCGATGGTTACTCGTGCTAAAACCGATATCTGTAAACCCAATCCTAAATATGCTAATCATAAGTTTGTTTTATCTTATACTGGTAGTACAGTTAAGCCTATATATTTTTCACAGGCTAATAAGCATAAGGAATGGCTTCTTGCTATGACAGATGAGTTTAATGCTCTTATTTGTGCTAGGACTTAGAATTTGGTCTCTCGTACTCCACTATGAATGTGTTGTTGAACAAGTGGGTTTTTCGTGTCAAGCAGAATTCTGATGGCTCTATTCAGCATTAAAAGGCTCGCTTAGTGACTAATGGTTTTCATCAATAGCCAGGCCTGGACTATAGTGAAACCTTTAGTCCCGTTTCTAATCATTCTACTATTCAACTTATCTTGACTATCTCTGTGCAGTTTGGTTGGATTGTTCGTCAATTGGATGTTCAGAATACTTTTTTGCATGGTTATCTAGATGAGGAGGTTTATATGACAGCCCGTTGGCTTTGTGGATCCCGCCTATCCTGATCATGTATGTTGTTTGCGTCGCTTTATTGATGATCTCAAGTAGGCTCCTCGTGCTTGGTTTCAGTGTTTCTCGTCTCATCTTCAACTGGGGTTCATTGCCTCTAAGTCTGATTCTTCATTCTACATCTACATTCATGGTTCCTTTCGTATTTATTTGTTCATTTATGTCGATGATATCCTTGTCACTAGCTTTGATCCCTCTCGCATCACCACACTTATTTCTAAATTGGGTTGTCAATTTTCGATGAGGATCTTGGGTTACTCTATTCACCAAGAACTCTTCATCTCCGTGTCTATTCTGATGCTGATTATGCGGGGGATCCCAACGATCGTTGCTCTACTAGTTGCTGTTGAGCTTATTTGGGTACTAACTTAATTTCTTGGAACTCTAAGAAGCAACGTGGTGTCTCCCGCTCCAGTACCGCCAGCTTGCCTACACTGCCGCCATTCTGTCTTGGTTATGGGCTTTTGTTTCTTGATCTTCATCTTCCAGTTCCTTGTCCTAAGCTTTGGTGTGATAATATTAGTGCTCTCTCTCTTGCCTTTAATCTGGTGTTTCACTCTCGCACTCGCCATGTCGAGGTTGATTATCATTTTGTTCATGAAAAGGTGGTGCTCAATGACTTGCTTATTGCTTATTGTTCTGCCGTTTATCATATATATCTTCACTAAGGGTCTATCTCCTGCTCGGTTTTCCATACTTCAGTCCAAGCTGCATGTGCTCCCCCACTCTGTCAACTTGCTCGGGGTGTAATGAGACGTGATCCTTAAAGAATTTAGTTTCCTGTTTATTTGTATTTATTTCCTAGATTTGTTGTATATATATTCCTTGTCTCTCAAGGATTTGATTCTTGCCTAGAATAGGAAATCCTTTGTGTAGATACCAAGCAAAACTTCGTATATAATTATCATACTATTGTTCAATGAAAAGCATCGAGAATATTCAAAACCTTTCACCCTGTATAGTTTAGACTATCACTTGTATTATATATATATATATATATATGAATTTTCAGACACCACATTTGATCAAACTAGCCTATTCTCTCTCACGCGGTATGAATTTTCAGACACTGCATTTGATATCAAATTAACCTCACTCAATGAGCCCCGGCATGTGAGAGGACTTTATTTTTATGAAGCGTGATAGTTTTTTATTTCATTTATTACGATTGTTGTGTTTGCCAATTGACATGTTTATCTTGCATGTGAAAACATCATTACAATTGTGCAATATGCCTTTTTCGGGAGCGCAACATTTTTCACCAAAATTGAACTGAACCACACTGGTTGAATAGTACCAATTCCTATTCTAGTGTGAAGTAGTAACCATACCGGACCAAAGCGCCCCCCACAACTTGTGCTTGAGGTTTGTCTTGAACTTTCTCTCTTTGTTGGACTTTTTATTTATTTTTGTTCTCGAGTGATTTGCAGATTGTGATTCGTGAGATTGGGTGGGGGTTTTTCAATGTGAGCCAAAATTACATAGAAAGTAGCACAAGTTGATAGAGTAGATGATTTATATATGACATTGCTTGGCTCCCGGGGAGCCATTTCTCCTCACATATAAATTACAGTCTGACACGGCACGTATACAAAAATTCGAGTAGACATTAATCTGCTTTAAATTTGATTCTTAATGCCTGATCAAGAAGATGGGAAGGGATTGAGCCTAGCCACTGGAACACAAACCAAAGGATGAGCCCTTGGTAGTGTTAATCCAGCTGCCTCTTCCATGTTAACATTATTGCTCCCTCCTTCAACTTTCCACTCAAAGCACTGGACCATAGCTGCAAGTGTTGTCTGCACAACCTGCAATGCAAGTGAGGTTCCAGGGCACCCTCTTCTTCCACTACCAAATGGCAACAGATGAAAATGCTGCCCCCTCACATCCAACTGGCTCTTCCCACTTCCCTCTTCAGTCACAAACCTCTCCGGCTTGAACTCCAATGGCTTCTTCCAGTGGTTGGGGTCTCTGTTGATAGCCCACACATTGACAAACAATCTGGTTTTTGCTGGAATCTCATAGCCACCAATGCTAAAGGCTTCTGTTGACTCTCTCACAATTAATGGGGCTGCGGGGTGAAGCCTTAGGGTCTCCTTCACTATAGCTTGTAGGTACGGAAGGTTGGCAATGTCTGATTCTTGTACTAGTCTGTTCTTTCCAACTATGGAGTCAATTTCTTGTATTGCTTTCTTCATCACTTCTGGGTGGTTGATTAGCTCTGCTAGTGCCCATTCTGTTGTAATCGCGGATGTATCCGTCCCGGCAGCAAATATATTCTGTAATATGTACGCAATGCTAATAAACGAGAATTGCTTGATTTGCATATGCTCATCATTAGCACTTAGAAATAATCAATCTATTGCAATTTCAAATTATATTCCCAAGCACATAACCCTCTTCTTACATAATTGATGCATATTGGGAGAGGGAGCTTATATGCAATCTGCAAATCTGCAAATGGAGGCTATCAAAGGTATGCTCCAACTCAATTTCAAGGATATATAAACAGTAATGCTTTGAGCATATACATTTTTAGGAGTAGAGAAGAAAAGGATTTGACAATGCCAATCATTAGGAGCTCAATCAAAAGTACTATTTCATCTACAGATCTGGTGTTACATTAATTTGATAGTTTTGACAATGTCAATCATTAGGAGCTTAATGCAATTACCTCAGAGTTTTAGCATGACTGTTGTCCTTTAACAAATACTATAGTATGAATGAAAATGCTTCATCAGCAAGAAATGAATAACAGATAGTGAAGTTTTGTGCCAAGATCAGAGGTATGTACCATGATGAAGGCCTTTATGTTTATTCTACTCAATCTAAACTCTGAGGTCTCGTCTTCGGATATGTCGAGTAAAATGTCAAGCAAATCCTTAACTGCATCACAACCTTCACCAAGTTCCTTCCTTTTCTTCCTTGTCTCTTGGTGCTCCTCTATAACCCTCTCCATCATAGTATCAAACGTATCGCGTAGTTCCTTAACTCTTTTCCCAAAGCCCTGCAAATCCAAGTTCTTACAAAACCAAAATAAATCCGATAAGTTAAGTCTCCCTTTAAGCTCAGCAGTAGCTTTCACCACCTTCCTGACCACATCAGCATCTCTTTCATTTTTAGACCAACTCTGTCCCATAGTCATTCTTGTTATGATATTATTTGTTATCGTAATAAGTGCCGCTCCAACATCAAAAGCCTCAGTTGCCTTGGCCTTCTTTCGGATCAATTGTACAAAATTTGTCAACTCTTCCTGCCGGACGGGAAGGAGCTGATCCAATGTTCTTCCACCAAGAAGCTCAGAAACACATAGTTTCTTCATGAATTTCCAGTAAGGTCCATAAGGAGCAAATACAAAATCAGACGATCCATATGCGAGGTAATCAACAACAGCCATAGAGGGCCTGCTGGAGAAGGAACCTTCATGAATCTTGAGGAACTCTTTTGCCATGTCCGGTGAAGAAGCGACTAAACAAGGAACAGAACCAAGAAAGATGTGAATCAAAGAACCATAGCGGCTAGACAGCTTGTGAAAAGCTTGGTGAGGAATTGGAGCAAGGAGGTGGAGGTGTCCAATGACTGGTAAGGCCATTGGACTTGGTGGAGGCCGAGGTTTGTTCTGAATTTTGGTGAGTATGGTTCGAACCAGAACTATGGAGACAAGGAAAAGTATAATGTAGCCTTGGAATTCTGCTTCCATGGTTGATTGATCTTTGCTTCAATCTTGGAACAAGGATGATGATCTGAGGGTTGCTCATATAAGAAGCTAAAACACTAATTCATTTGCAGGGTTTTAATTCCTGAAGAATTAGATTTCCTATATATTAATATTGAGACTTTGAGCCCTCAATTACACATGTTATATAAAATATGAACGTGGAATAGAGTGGGTAATATAATATATGGATAAGAACGACTTGAGATCAGAACATAAACAAAGAGCTCGTGTTTGGAGAAACAAAAAACAATAATTTCAGTAACATGTGCAAAACAAGATGAATTTATAAATTACATAACTTGCATACTACTGCCATTGGAGGCTTCAATAACAGATTAAGACTCCTTTAGCTCTTTATTTTTAAGAAAGAATTTGTACTCTTTTAAGAAAAAGATATTGAGTCAATGGGGTCTAATATAGTAGAAAAGGTCATTGACTTGCCGGTGATCGTAGGTTTTAACCTTCAAGGCATATTGGTAGTGTGTGCATGAGAAACCTCATTCTTGTATAATTTAAACTATCACTTATATTATAAAATAAATAAATAAATTTATATATATATATATGAATTTTCAGACAACACATTTGATATCAAACTAGCCTATTCTCTTGCGCGGTATAAATTTTCTGACACTACATTTGATATCAAATTAGCCTCTCTCAACGAGCTCCCACGTGCGAGAGGCCTTTATTTTATGAAGCGCATGCGCATTAGTTTTTTATTTCGTTTATACCATTGTTGTGTTGGTCAAATGACCTGTCTATCTTGCATATGAAAACATCATTACAATGAGCTCATGGCCCAGATTGGAGACTGCTCCATTCACCACATATACAGAAAGAGAAATTATGTTGCAGATACTATTGCAAATTGGAGTTATAACTTAGCGCTAGGTGGATGTCTCCTTGATGAGGCCCCAAGCTAGCTGGAAAATATCCTTCTTGATGATATCCTTGGGATCGCTACACCCCGCATGATACCTGCTGCTGCTTAGTTTGTTTTGTTTGGGGGTTTTGCCCCTCCTTTCTCACCCAAAAAAAAACAGCAGTACAATTGTGCGAGATGCCTCTTTCTAATCATAAACTCGGGAGCACAACATTTTATTAATTTTGTAACACAAAAATGTTACTCATTTTTATTAAAGCTATACTCGATTACAATCAACCTTTTCACTATGAAAATTAATACTTGGTCAATCTAAGTTCCAAACAGGCTTTCTAGTGTGCTCCAAAAAAATATAATTTAAAAAAAACAATATAAAAAAAAAGAAAAAAAAAGAGAAATCATTAGCAATGGAAACAATTGCCAAAGAAAAGATTAAAGCAAAAGAAATTAACAGAGAAGGCACATGATGTCGTTCATCCGTAGAGCCTTGTGATTGAGCTTTGTCTTGAACTTTCTCTCTTTGTTGGACCTTTTTTTTATTTTTGTTCTTGAGTGATTTGCAGATCGTGATTTGTGAGATTGGGTGGGGGATTTTTCAATTTGATAGAGTAGATTAATTATATACGACATTGCTCCTGGAGAGCCAACATATAAATTATAGTCTGATAGGTACACAAAAATAACTCTTATAATTATAAGGCTTAAGTGTTTCAGCGCCCTATGAAATATTGATCAATTTTCACAGCACCTCCTTAAAGTTAAAGTGACCCACTTTGCCCCCTTGACTGATATTTTGTGTCTTACTTTGCCATTCACCTTCAAGTTTGTTAAAAATTCAGTTAAAAATATTGACGTGGCACCAATAGGACCCACTATTTTGCTAAACTAAGTGCCATGTGTGAAGAAAAAAAAACAATACAAAATGGAAAAATTAATTAATAAAAAATATATCTTCTTCTCCCCTCCCTAGAAGCCTTCGTCACTCTATGTTGTATATCTCCCTCTTCATTTCTCCAAAATCTGATAGCACCATATCCCCCGCCCCACCCCTACCCCTAGCCGTGACCCGCCCCCAACCCCATCCCTACCGACAACCCAACACTAGCGCACCGACCCTCTCTCTCTCTCTCTCTCTCTCTCTCTCTCTCTCTCTCTCTCTGTGATTTGGCCCTCCACCTCACCCCACCACAGCAGCTAATCATCCCTCCATCAATCGATTTTTAGTAACTTGGAGATAGCTATAGATTTTACTGTTCCCAACTTCAAGTTATGTTTCTCGCAAATATCATCAAATAAGCCATAATAAGTGAAAATAAAATTGAATTAGGTCTTGGTTGGTGGGCTGGGTTGGAGCGATTTTTTATTTATTATTTTTTTGCAGATCTATTGGCCATATTATAATAAATTATGAGCAATGTGGTCTTTTGCTTGCACTGAATTTTAGGGGCTGGACTTGAGATAGAGAGAGATAGAGAGTTAGAGAGATAGGTGGGGTGTCTTGAGAAGTTTTGTGGTAGGAGGGTGGTAAGGGTTGGTTGTTGGGTGGGTGATATTGGGCAATGGCTTGTTAGATGGTGGTTATGGTGGGAGGGGGATGGTATGGGAGAGATACGGGGAGGGGACGAGAGTTAAAAAGGAATGAATTTTTGTTATTTATTATTAATTTTTTCATTTTGTATTTGTCATTTTTAAAAGGAAAGAATTTTTTAATTTTTAATTTTTTTTCTTCACACATAGCACTTAGTTTAGCAAAATATTGGGTCCCATTGGTCCACGTCAGCATTTTTAACGGAATTTTTAACAAACTTGACGGTGAGGGTAAAGTGAAACACAAAACATCGGTCAATGGGGCAAAGTGAGTCACTTTAACTTCAAGGGGGTACTGTGGGAATTGACCAATGTTTCAGGGGCACTGTAGCAATTAAGCCTAATTATAAAAAGAAAAGCTTTTACATACATGTCATACTGTAATTTTCCTGCAAAAAGAAATAATTGGTTACAAGCATTTTTCTTATATTAATATTCGAGTAGACATTAATCTGCTTTAAATTTGATTCTTAATGCCTGATCAAGAAGATGGGAAGGGATTGAGCCTAGCCACGGGAACACAAACCAAAGGATGAGCCCTTGGTAGTGTTAATGCAGCTGCCTCTTCCATGTCAACATTATTGCTCCCTCCTTCAACTTTCCACTCAAAGCACTGGATCATACCTGCAAGTGTTGTCTGCACAACCTGCAATGCAAGTGAGGTTCCAGGGCACCCTCTTCTTCCACTACCAAATGGCAACAGATGAAAATGCTGCCCCCTCACATCCAACTGGCTCTTCCCGCTTCCCTCTTCAATCACAAACCTCTCCGGCTTGAACTCCAATGGCTTCTCCCAGTGGTTGGGGTCTCTGTTGATAGCCCACACATTGACAAACAATCTGGTTTTTGCTGGAATCTCATAGCCACCAATGCTGCAGGCTTCTGTTGACTCTCTCATAATTAATGGGCCTGTGGGGTGAAGCCTTAAGGTCTCTTTCACCAGAGCCGGTCCATTGATTTTGGAGGCCCTGTGCAAATATGGATGTCGAGGCCCTATATATACAAGTAGGAAAAAAAAATTTCCATATAGAAACAAAAATTTCTGACACGGGAAGAACACATTCAGAAAGAATTTCCCAGAAAAATTTCTTTAGTCACCCTTCCAAATCACAGAGCTGATAAATTGATTTTCCAATTTCAATGCTTGGTGAATTCTCATGTGAATGAGGGAGGGAGAAAAGAACTGTGATTTTGGGGAAATGGCTAAAGCTTGGGTTTTTACAATCCAAAATTTGATTGAAAAGGGTGGTACATTGGTACTGAAGAGAAATGGCTTTATTTTGATGGAGGAGAGTGAGAAAGACTTACTGAAAGATAAAAGAATATTAGAATGGTTTTGCAGCTTGAGAGTTGGAAAGAGAAAAACACAGGTTTCAAACCATAATAAATAAATAAAAAGAAGAGTTGCAGCGTGAGAGTTGGGAAGAGGAAAATGAATTAAATTAGGGCCTCTACTCTCTAAGTTGTAGAATTTGTTGATAATTAATATTCAATTCAATTTTGGTTTTGGTGCCTTGCATGTGATGTTGTGGGGTGATATTTAATATTTAATTTTTATTTTCATGTTTTAGTTAATTTAATGGGTTGACTTGGAAAAATTTGGAGGCCCCTAAATTTTGGGGGCCCTGTGCGGTCGCACACCTCGCACACCCCATGGGCCGCCTCTGTCTTTCACTATGGCTTGTAGGTAGCGAAGGTTGGCAATGTCTGATTCTTCTACCAGTCTGTTCTTTCCAACTATGGAGTCAATTTCTTGTCTTGCTTTCTTCATCACTTCTGGGTGGTTGATCAGCTCTGCTAGTGCCCATTCTATCGTGGTTGCGGATGTGTCGGTTCCAGCTGTAAATATATCCTGTGAACATGTATCCAAGGCCTAATTAATAATCAAGAAGTGCTTCATTTGCTTATGCTCATAGCATTTAGAAATTTATTGCGATTTTAAGTTTTCCTAAGCAAGCTAACGTCCGGCCATATGGAAAAGAATTTGTTTAGGCCGGTTATGCATGTAACCTTCTTCTTGCATCATGCATATTGTAACAGAGAGCTTGTACAGAGGGAAGCAAACTACGCTCCAAGTCAATTTAACAACATATAATCAGTGATTATTTATGCTTTAATGAACTCAGAGTTTCTTGAACTTGACGCAGTGTTTCATCTACAGATGTGGTGTTACATTAGTTCCATGGATCGAATATTTCTGTCAATCATTAGGATATTATTACATCACTTACCATTTAACTAATTAATAAATGAATGCTTCAATCTTAAATAGAGGCATTAGCTATCAGGGAATGAGCAATATTAGGCAGTGAAAGTTGTGTGCAAAGATCAGATTTATGTACCATGATGAAGGCCTTTATGTTTACCATACTCAACCTAAACTCTGAGGTCTCATCTTCTGATATGTCAAGTAAAATGTCAAGGAAACCCTTAACTGCCTCACCACCCTCAACAAGCTCCTTCTTCTTCCTTTCCTCTTGATGCTCCTTTATAATCCTCTCCATCATATTATCAAACCTATCGTGCACTTCCTTAAGTCTTTTACCAAATCCCTGCAAATCCAAATTCTTACAAAACCAAATAAAGTCTGACAGATTAAACTTCCCCGAAAGCTCAGCTGTAGCTTTCACCAGCTTCCTAATCTCATTAGCTTTTGTCTCATTTGCAGAGCAACTCTGCCCCATAGTCATTCTTGATATAACATTATTTGTTACCGTCATAAGCTCTGCTCCAACATCAACTGCCTCAGCTGCCTTGGCCTTCTTTAGAATCAACTGTACGAAACTTGTCAACTCTATGCGCCTGACGGGAAGGAGTTGATCAAGTGTTCTTCCACCAAGAAGCTCAGACATGCAAAGTTTCTTCATGAATTTCCAGTAAGGTCCATAAGGAGCAAATGCAAAATCAGCTGATCCGTATGTGAGATAATCAACAGCAGCAATATAAGGCCTGTTGGAAAAGACCCTTCATGAGTCTTGAGGAACTCTTTCGCCATGTCAGGTGAGGAAGCGACTACACAAGGGACAGAACCAAGAAAGATGTGAATCAAAGATCCGTAGCGGTTAGACAGCTTGTGAAGAGCTTGGTGAGGTATCGGAGCAAGAAGGTGGAGGTGTCCAATAATTGGTAAGGCCATTGGACTTGGTGGAAGGCGAGGCTTGGTTTGAATTTTGGTGAGTACGATTCGAACAAGAATTGTGGAGACTAGCCACACAAGGAAAAGTATGATATAGCCTTGGAAATGTACTTCCATGGTTGATTGATCTTTGTAATAATCTTGCAAAAAGGCGTTGATCTAAGGGGTTCTTATATAGGGAGATGAAGCACTGTTTTGTTCTCCGAAGTTTTTAGTTCTTGAGGATCTGAGAATCTGCCACTCAGAACTGAATTTCCCATGATTTGAGAATCTGTTTATTCTTGTAAGAGTACATGTTATAAAAATCATATTGCTATCGCTAAGGGGAAGATGGCCATTAGATTAAGACAAGTTTAATCTATTTGTTTACATTTTAAATTGTTTGTTTCTGGTTACATTTGAAAGCAACTAATCATTGGAAAGCCTGTTGTGTGCTGTTCTAAGGGTGAGGAGCAGAGACTGGGTCGGCAGCCGTATTTGGTGCGAAATGGGAGTTTAAATAACAAGTGTGCATCTATGTATTAATTACAACGTTGTTCTTGTGATAACTTCTTTGTTTCAAATTTTCAATTGGTTTAGAGCCGGCTATTTCCAAGTTCTTTATTTTTCCTTTCGGTGGGGGGTTGCAAGATTTCAACCCACATTCAACTTTTGGGTTTATTATGCTCGAAGTTGCTTCGAACTCTAACATGATTTGATAGCCTAAGGTTAAGTGGATCTGTATGTAAACACTACAAGAATTCTAAATAGAATACTGTCTGGTCTTTCAAAAGGCTTGTTTATATAGAGCTAGTATGCCCTACACCCTATGTGGTTGATATTGCAATATTCAGCAACTTCTATATCTTGAGGATTTATATGAAACCTGTATTCTATTGCTTCTTTTGGGTTTAACTTGAGGTTGTTAGTATCTGACTTCTTGACACTGAAGAAATACTATCCCAACAGTTCCAAGCAATTTTACTTTGATGCTTTGAGGAGGCACGAAGCCCAACAACTAGAAGACCCTGGGCCTCGAGACCCTGCAATATCTTGAAACAAAAACTTGGCTTAAATAATAGAGAGACTGTAGTGAGGGGTTTTAACGAGGGGCTATAAAATCCAAAATTTTCATACGGGATTATTGGGGATAAGTTCAGAATTAGCCTAAAAATCACGATACCACACTTGTGAATTCCAGAAGCTCGTCGTTGTTCTCTATCTTTCACATACTAAAATCTTTCTTTTTAATCCCTCTCTCTAGAATTCACGATCTAGCAGATCCAACAATAAAGTTGGACCAAAATGTAATTCGTGAGTAAGTTCAAGGAATATTGCTCCTAAAAAATTGACCAATCTTATGTTATTATATATATTTTTTTTAAGGTTTAATATCACAAAACGTCCCTAAAGTTTAAGAAACTATCATATTGCATCCTTAATTTTTCTTTTGTCATTCGTAGTCCTCAAGATTAGTATGTATGATCACAAATGGTCTCTGCCGTTAGGTTCCCTCAAAAACTTTGTTAGTTTACTGACGTGACACGGGGGGGGTTTGGTTTATGGGAAATGAGGCTTGGGAATTATGTGCCATGTTTGGTAAGTACAAGTGTGGGAATGGTTGCCTAGCATATGGGAAAATAGGAGGGAAAATATCCTTTTTCTCCTTGGGTTTCATTTTCCCTTCGAGTGCTGCTATTTCCACTCACCTGTCCAATTTTCCCACCCATCTTGTCTTTAAAAATTTAAAGACAAATTTATCCCTATGTAAAATGACTTCTAAGGACTTAAAGAAAAAATCTCAACACACCTATAACCTCCGCTTCAACGTCTTATCAACGTTCTCATGTGCTTTTGGGAAAAAATGTGTACTATCCAATATTCAAACAAACCCAATAAGAAAACATGAACAAATGCTTAAAATTGTGAAAGAAATTCAAAATCCCAACATTTCCTGAGAGATCCACAATTTGGTCACTAAGAAATTAAAAGGAAAAAAAAATCAAAAAGCTCTAAGACCCATATTTGGTTCTATTAAGAAAAGTAAGGCCAAGTCAAACTCAAAGTGATCCAAAACTAGTGGCTCTATATTCTTATTGAATTAGATTTTATGGCGACCCAAAAATAAGTTAGGAGAAGACCCACAGGGGTAGGACGCATGGAGGTTTCAAGTGCGGAGAAGCGGTGGTCAAAGGAGCTGAGAATGGAGACGACCTTGTTAGAGATGGTTTGGCTCTTTCACAATGACTCGCTCATCATGGCTGCTAGAACGCTCAATGAATCGCTGCCCATTGTTGTTGGCAAAACACCCATCTTCTTCTTCCTCCTTCCCTCTTCTTCTGCATTGTTGTTTGAGAGTTGGAGAGAGAGGGATTGAATTTAATTGCATTATTAATTAATTAAAGGGTATTTTATGAATAATGGTGGGTGGAATGATAAGATTATGTTTTTTCAAATTTACATGGTGGGTGTGAAGATAATTAAGGTGGGTGAGGAAATAGGACAGATGGGTGGAAATAGCAGCACTTTTTCCCTTCCCATGGAAAATTAAGGCCAGCACTAAATGCACATTTTTAATGATCATTTTGTCCCCTTAACAATTTAGAATTACAATATAGCATTAAATGTTTTAAAAAAATATTATATGGGTATATATAATTGAAAAATTAAACGAACTTTGTTTTACATTCCTACACAAACCAAACATGGGAAAATACATAAAGTGGTATTTCCTGATTACTTTCTTAACATTACTAAATTTGAGAAAAAACATTGATAGACACAGGGCCTTAGAAACGTTTCTCTTATGAGCTACCGGAGATTCAATATAAAGCCCATGCGTTAAGTCTTATATTGGATTTTGTGGATCTCATGACAATGTCAATGTTGATTATAAAGTAGTGATTCTTCTTCTAACAATCCTCTAATAGTCTCCATAACCGTATGTGCATAAAACTTGTAAATAATACCTTTATTTTTAGTACATATAACATATAAATACAAGAGACTTCAAACTCACGATTGTAAGTTTAAATAGCTATAGATTTTGATTAAATAGCTATCCAAATGCATATGGGAAAATTGGTGCTGTAGTAATAATACAACCAACTAACTAACCGTATTTTAAACAAACCACACGGAAGTGGTAATTTCAAGTGTAATATGTTAAACATTTTTACTTGTGAGAAAATCATTGTTATGGAAATAAGTTAATTATTTTTCTAAGTTTGAAAATTAAATTTTCATACATTTTATATTCACTGATTAGCATTTAATTTGTCAACCTTGATATAGAAACTATTTGGTAAAATTTTTGCTAGAAGGATATGGATACAATGCCAGTCTGTTATGCATAACCACTAGAATTTTCTTCTCAACGTTATAAACAAGGACTTGAGACTACACTCCTCATCCTCCATAGAAATATTGTAGGTCTCTTCTTGTGTATTCGCATTTCTTTTTCCTTCTATCTCGTGCTTCTCCTGGATTTCATGCTATAGGGGAATCAAAAGTGAGTTAGAAAGTAATGGAGGAAAATGTCTCCATCCTTAGGTTTTCAAATAAAAAAACAAACAAAAGATGACTTTGTATCTCGAAATCTGTTGAGAGCTTATCGAATTGTTGATTTACCAGACGAAATTATTGTGTTCCCCCATAAGGTAATTAATTCCTTTTTTTCTACTCTCCTTTCCCTACTATTGAGTGTGCTTTCTAGTTTGGCAATGTTTCTGTTTCACATGCTACGATTCCTTTGGTTGATTTAAAACTTGCTCAGAGTTGATGAAGAAAAGAAACCCATAATTTTAACCCTTCTGTTTGGTGAGAAATAGAGGAAAAAAAATTCTGATAAACAAATCGAGAGATCTTTTTGCTCTTTTCAAGGTTTGAAATTTTTGTAGCTTTGGGTTCTCAGTGTTGATTCTCATTTTCTGATGTCATTTTCTCTCTGGTTTTGTATGAGTCTCATGCATTAATTTAATCATATTTCAATTTTGGGTCCCTAGAAAATCAAGCAAACGCTGACAAGCGATGTTGGACAGAACTCAATCGAGCAGGTTAGCAGGCTTTAAGGAACATGTTGAAGCCAAAAATGGGTATCAATTTAGATAAATGTGGAGTGGTGAATGATGTGTGAAGACGTGGGCCTTTAGCATGTGTATGTGCTTTCGGCAAGCTATTGCCTTCGGTAGTCAATGACATTCAGCGTAAGTAAAATAAATAAGCGTGTAGAAGACAAGGTATACGTGATTCACCCGAATGATGAGCTACGTCCACGGAGAAGGATGTTCTCATTATGATAACATTTGTTTACATTTGTACAAGGGGATTAGACCCAAAGATAAAGGGAAGAAGGCCCGAGGCCTAAGGTACAAAGCCCAAGAATCCAAGACCCAAGACTCAAGACCCTTTTATAGGTGAGGGGGAGTTTTCACCTCTTGTAGTCTTCCAATGTGGGACTCTTGACATTACCCCTAGTTGTGACTTGTGGCAATGCTTCTTTGGCTACGGTGATGACCTCTCAAAACATCGCACGTGGCTGATCTTTCTTAGCTAGTTGCTTGATTAGTCACGGTGTCAATAGTAGTCTCCCAAGTTCACGAGTAAGAAGATACTTCTTGCTTGGGGATTTGTAATTTTTAAGTGCACTAGCCGAGCAACACCGTAGTTCATTTTCCAAGGTGTATAGTGCACTACCCACCCCTAAGTCCCCAGATAAGAAGATCATTGGAGGGAGGGAACTTGCAACAAAAACCCAAGTGGTTTGCAAGTCCCCAATATTTTATGCAAGGGCGCTGAAGGGCATCATAGTACATCGAAGGGCAGAGGATGTCGAAGGTACAAGACTTCCATGTCGCAAGAAAAGATGCTGAAAAGCACGTAGGTGCCGAAAGCTAAAGGCTTGCATGTCGCAAGACAATGTGCGTATGTGCAAGGGTGTTGAAGATGCAAAGCTTGCATGTCACAAGATAAAATGCCAAAGGCACAAAGTTTGCATGTCACAAGGCAACGTGCCGAAGGCCAAAAGCTTGCATATCGCAAGGCAATGTGCCTAGGCACTCAGGTGCCAAAGGCGCAAAGCTTGCATGTTACAATATAAAATGCTGAAGGGCATGAGATGCTGAAGGCGCTTACATAAAACTTGTGTATCGCAAATAAAATTGCCAAAAGGCATCAAACTTGGCAAGGTGCCAAAGACATTTGCATAAAACTTGCTTGTCGCAGGAAAAATTACCAAAGGACATGAAACTTGGCAAGGTACAGAAGGGCACGGGTTGCCGAAGGTATGTTGATATATATGCCAAAGGCCATATTGAGACTAATTGAAAGGAAAAGTGGATCATGCTGAAGGCATGTCGCATTCCTTGGAATGTGAGAGCAGGAACCCATCGGTTTGCCCCTATGCTCTTCCTTTTCTATCTTTATTTTTAATTTTTTTAATTCAGCAAATGCTCAGTCAGTGGGGGCCCACAAGATAAGTGAGCATTAATTTATTTGGTTGAGTTCCAGAACCATTTGCAAATTCAAGTGGGCCCATAATTGCCTACTAGAAACTTGAGAGAAAACTTGGGTTGAAGAAGTCCTCCATGCTTTCTTTTTTAAAAATGCATCTTCTGAATTTTTAATTTTGGTAGGCCCATGAATATTGGTTTATGGGTTTGAGAAGGTGGACATTTTTCTGAAGCCTATTGCCGTAGAGTGAATGTAGGAAGATTCGCACACCTCGTTTGGTATTCTACCTCATAAATAAGTGGAGCTACACACGTGAAGTCCCCCTGTTGGAAAATGCCTAGCCCATCGGTAGATGATTGGTGCATAATGACAAGGACGAAGAAATTGTCGTTCGTCACCGATCGCAGGAGGTTTTTTGGGTGCCCTACTTCACGATCTGTCATTGTCTTCCCGATCGGTATACTTGGTACAAAGCAACGAGGGTGCTGTGTTGCTGAGGGAGATAGCCGTTGTGTTAGTGATGTGGGACTTCATATTGTTTCAGCAATGAAGATGCCGATTGGTAAGGTGGATTGCTGATCTATTAGGGATTTGTTTGGGCCTGGTTGAAATTTGACCGAGTCAGGCCCGAGATCCACAATTAAACTAATAGTGAGCCCAAGCTATATTTCGGAGGGCCTAATCAATAAGGTCGGATAGAAGCCCAAAATCATAAATGTAGCAGAATATGTACATGTGGTGGAATACACCAATCTGGCTGAACACATCAATATGATTGGGAGCATAAAAGTGGTTGAAAGACTATATGCGGCCGAAAGTGTAGATACGGTTGAAAGACTAGAAGTGGCCGAAAAAGTAGATTTGGTCAAAAGACTAAAAGCAGCCGAAGACATAAAATCAGCCAATACTTAAATAAATAGAGAGATAATCCGTAGGATGATTTTCTCATAGGTTACAATTCAAATATATAAGGAATTATGCTAGCTTGATAGTCACTGAAGTTATTGTGGGAGAGCTCAAGATGGAAGGAAAATCAAACGAAATATTATTATTCACATTAAATCACATGCATGAGACAAGAGATTGAAGATATTCTGGAGCAATTATGATTGATTTGAAGGCCAATTAATGACTGACCAAATTGAGACACACCGAAGCCCCTATAAATACCAAGCTTATGGAAGAGAGAAAGGATTATTCTTCATACATTCTTAAATTGTTAATTTTTTTTATTGTTCTAATTTGTGTTCTTTGTTGCCAACCCATTATGGAATAATCACTGCAGCCACTGCAAGCGCAATTGCTATGTAGCTTAAGGTAATTGCAATTGCTTCAAAGAGGGCTCGACTGGAGGAACAACTGAAAAGGCAATAACCATCTCTATTGGTTTGTTACTAACTTAAGTTTATTATTTTATTTATCAAATTAAATAGCTATATTCTTTTGGATTGAATGATGACAACACTGAAATTTTAAAAACAGTTCAAGATTAAGTTTACCATTGTTTATTTTCTGACCACAAACTATTTATAACCGATTAGATGCGTCCTCCTCCACTGCTAATTTCTTCTCAAAAGTGTGGGCAGCTTTAGGAGGTTCAAGGCCCTTGCCTAGCTGCAAGGACGGATCTAGGCATGGGCTAGAGTGGGCTCTAGCCTAGTGCTAAACTTGGAGGTGAAAAAAATTTAATATTAATTTTATAAGTTAAAGCCAAGTTAATTAAAAAGAGCCACCCCTTTTTGTTGAAATTAGCCTATCACAACCGCAAAATTTCATCTCTAGAGGCACCCACACACATCAAAAATCATGTTTTTCTATTACCCACCCATGTAAGCTATAACTTTATATTTGAACTTGAGAGCTTAGAAGTAGTAGGTCTCCTCCTCTTTAAAATTGTGTCAACCTATATCCAATGGGTTCTTTAATATTAGTAAGTTTCTCTCTTACTTTTTGTTTAATTTCCAATTTCAATTGTTATTGTTAGCCTTTTATGATTTAGAGTTTGGGTGTTAAATTTTGTGGATTTTTTTCTTATGCAATTTGCTATGATTTTATTGATGACTTGTTATTTTTCTAATTTAATCAATTCATTACTTGATCTATGCTTTTATATAGTCTAGTTGCCTCTTGATTTTGTTGAATGCTTGTAGCTTGTGATTGTGCAATTGTAGATCTATATGATTGCACTCCCTACGTCTATGTGTACTCCCATCAAATTTAAAATTGTTAATTGAAGAATAGTTGCTACCACTCATTTTCTTTACATATAAAAAAAAACCTATAGCCTATAGCCAATTAACCATGTAAACCCCTCATCAAAAAAAAACGTAAAAAAAAAAAAAAAAAAAAAAAAAAAAAAAAAAAAATAATAATGGAATCTCCCATTAAAAAATACTAGTCCACCCCTATAAAATTTCTTGGGTCCGCCCTTGCCTAGCTGCTTCCTCTCTCAGCTGCAAGCTATTGTGAACTGTTGTTTTTCTTATTTTAACACAAATGACAGGTTACTGACACGATTGTTATCGTTAATGGAAAGTTAGGGTTTAGGGTTTATTGAACCCTAATAGAAAGTTAGGGTATTTTTACTACAAAACCTTTGTTCATTCGAAAATTATATATTACTAAGTATCTTCACTACATGCATACAATTTATCTCGATGACCAGTGGTTCTATAGTTGTCTAACTACGAGAAAATCTCATGTGCTTGCTTGTAAGTTGCATGCAAGGAATTGCTGCCGTCCCCTTTGTAAGCACCTTGTCACGCAGGTTACATGTCTGCCAATTGGCTTTCTGATTATATAACAAGTACATTATGCATACCTACCTTCATCTCATCATAGTCATACAATTATGTAACAAAATTGCGATTTCATGCACTTAAAATGTTCAAATATTTTGTACAAAGTATTTCCTTTATCTTATAGATAGTTATTTATATTTTTTTACTTTGGTACTGTTTTAAGGGCAAACCATTCGTGATCAGTGCCGAAGGTAGACTGTAACATTTTTTTTTTATGGGGGGGCGCGGATTTTCTAATTTTTTTTGGACTACTACATATATTTAGATGGCAAATAATAAGGAGTATATGGGAGTTTTGGGGGCCATGGAAACCTGAGGCCTGCACCCAGTTCCACCCCTGTTCGTGGTGGTTGCAAGTAAATTTATGAGATATTTAGTGATATACCCATTTTTAGCACTAATATTAGGGTAACCTGTCATTAAATTTAATATTGAAATTCTATAAACAAACCCAAACAAAACCCAAAAAATGACAGCTGGTCTTATTAAATTTAATATTGATTATTAAGTTACTTTAATGCCCTATTGAGTGTTTTGGGTATTTTTATAAGATTTTGTGGTTGGGCTTGTTTTAAGAAATTTATGGTAGTTTTGTAATTTATAAGAAGTTAAAGCCTATTTGTTATGTTATAAATAGGTTTTGGGTGTGTTTATAAAGTCCATTTTATATGGGGTATTTTTATAATTTGAGCCCCAATATTGGGTATAATAGTGAATCTCCCTAAATTTATATCTCTATGGATCAAATACAATTGTCCCAACTCGGACAAGTGCATGTCCAAAATCTAGTGCAACCTAGACGCGGAAAGATGGACGGAGACCCTAACAAGATGTATCAGAGCCTATGGGTTGGCAATAGTCTTGATATGGGTTTGGAGAGTAAAAAAAAAAGAAAAGAACAAGGGAACAAACAGAAAGATAAAATAATATTTTTAATGTTCTTTGCTTCACCTGAATAAACCAACAGAAGTATGTTTTGTGAAACACATATCAAGAATGAGAAAAAATTAAAAATCCTAAGCATACAATAGTAGGGAAAGAGACTAAAGGAATAGAGAATATACCTCAGGCTAGGACACAATAATTTTTTCTGGTAAATCATCGATTCGATAAGATCTTAATTGGCGTTAAAGCCAACAATTGTCCTTTGACTCTCTTTCTATTTGAAAAGCTAAGAATGGAGGTGTTTTCATTCATTCTTTTCTAAGGAGACCAAAAATTCAATAACTCTGATTTGCAGGACCCTAGCTATGAGAGGAGAATGAGAAAAAGATAAAACGACCTACTATACGACTTAGCTGCTATGTCTATGATAGATGACGAGTGCACCCTTGGGTCTCTATTTATAACATCGTGAGGTATGCCCTTGCGTCGAAATGCCAAAGCAGCCAACAAATTTTAGGTAATAATTTCCATAGAAAGATCAGTATAAAAGGTAATTGAGAAAAACAGAAATCATGAAAATTAAAATTTCAGAATTAGCAAAATATTCAAATTTATTGCTATAAAATGCTTTTCTTTAATTGAAAAGAAAAAAAGACATTTAAGATCTATGAATATCGTAGCTCGATCAATAAAATAAGCCCTGAGTTCATCAATATTCTTGTTAGGGTTTTTTTTATCACGAATGGTCCTTATGAACTTTTCAAAAGTCTTTGTTTGAGTTCTCAAACTTTTAAATCAATCAATGTAATTTGTAAACTTTTGGTGTGCACATCACTTTGACACTCCGATAAGAGATCTCAATATGTATCGAGCCAACGATTGTTGTTTGACTCCCTTTCTATTTGAGAACGTAAAAGTGGAGGTGTTTTCCTCCATTATGTACCTAGATGACCTAAAATTCAATTAATCTGATAGGCAGAAAGCTCTCTTACTTGTGACTACAGAATGGGAAAAATATTGAAAATTAAAAAGACCTAATATTGGACTTGGCTAGCATTTCTATGAAGGTTGACAAAGGACTGCAGTCTTGCTTCCCTATTTGTAACATTGTGCTGTAGTCCCTACCAAACTGGCCAAAAAAATTTAGGAAATCATTTCCATATAAAGCTGAATTTGAATGGTAAGTGATAAATTCATAAAAATTGAATTTCCAAACCAACTGAGTAAAAAATCGTTGTGTAAACTACATTTTACATCTATAAAATCGTTGTGTAAACTCAAATTCATAAGGACAAAAAAAAAAGTTTACTCACACGATTGTTATCATTAATGGAAAGTTAGGGGTCAGGGTTTATTGAACCCTAATCGAAAGTTACTTATTTTACTACAAAACCTTTGTTCATTCGAAAATTATATATTACTAAGTATTTTCACTACATGCAAACAATTTATCTCGAAGACCAGTGGTTCTATAGTTGTCTAACTACGAGAAAATCTCATGTGCTTGCTTGTAAGTTGCATGCAAGGAATTGCTGCCGTCCCCTTTGTAAGCACCTTGGCACGCCGGTTACATGTCTGCCAATTGGCTTTCTGATTATACTAGTCTTTTGGCACATGCTCACACATGTGCCAATTGGTTTTCTTTTTCTTTTTTATTTTATTTTTAGAATTAAGAAAAGATAGTATGAGTAGTTATGTTCCATAAAAGTAGGACCTATTATTATTATTATTTTTTTTAATATGAAAAAAATGTGAATTTACCATATTATCCTCATTTAATTAATAATTTTAATTCTTAATGTTTAAATTAACCTAGGGCATTTTCTGGTATTTTGAATGTTTCACCAATCTTTATCTTTTGCTTCATATATATAGATAACAAGTACATTATGCATACATTATACATACCTACCTTCATCTCATCATAGTCATACAATTATGTAACAAAATTGCGGTTTCATGCACTTAAAATGTTCAAATATTTTGTACAAAGTATTTCCTTATCTTATAGATAGTTATTTATATCCTTGACTTTGGTACTGTTTTAAGGGCAAACCATTCGTGATCAGTGCCGGAGGTAGACTGTAACATATTTTGTGGGGGGAAGAGTGCAATAAGCATAACTTTTCTAATTTTTTGGACTACTACATATATTTAGATGGTAAATAATAAGGAGTACATGGGAGTTTGGGGGGCCATGGCAACCTGAGGCTTGCACCTAGCTCCACCCCTGTTCGTGGTGGTTGCAAGTAAATTTATTCCTCTATGGATCGAATACAATTGTCCCAACTTGGATAAGTGCATGTCCAAAACCTAGTGCAACCTAGACGCCAAAAGATGGATGGAGACCTAACAAGATGTATCTGAGCCTATGGGTTGGCAATAGTCTTGATAAGGGTTTGGAAAGTTGCAATGCCAATTATTTCTTAGAGACGATGGAAAGTTGGTTCAAGTTGGGCACACAGTGGATAAGTGGATATACGTACATAATTGAGTATATTAAGTGGGAAAGTCCTTGAGTTGCAAGCAGACCTTCCAATGGCTGTGATTTTCCAGCATTAACCATTAGGATATGATCTTTAATTAGAAATTTGATCTTCCATTATGAACAAGCTTTATATTTTCAATCATGCAATTGCTAAAACTAGTTTCTAAGTATTATACACGGCTAATGTAAGATAATCAAAAGAGTTGCTGATGCAATCGAAGTGAATGAGAGCTCTCGAGAGTTGGTCTAGAAACCCTGACATCCACATGATAGATATACAAAGGCATTGGCAAGAGAGCCAAGAAATCCACATAATAATCATTGCATGGAAGGCTCTAAATTGGAAGTAGATATTCCATCATCAGCAATCTCCAGTGAGTAATATATATATATATATATATATATCGTGAAATTTCAAAGTCTAACATGTGGACAATTATTTGGATGACATGGAGCATTTGTGACATGGACTTCACAATGTCAGAAAACCTGCTTTGATATATCACGAAGAAAATTGAGGTTCCACTTCAAAACCAATTTGCAATGGGCATTCTATATACTCCTTGAACTTGATCATCAGTATTGAAATGGGATTATAAAAAATAAAAATAAAAATAAAAAAACATGTGCGTGCTTTTCTTTGCCGCTTCTTCCTTTCGACCTTGATTGGGTAAAAAGTCGGTGCAAAAGCTGTCAATATTTTACCTGCACATGAAATACAGTGATATAATTACCAACAAAGAAGAAAACTAAGTAGATAAACTGAAAGTATATCTAGATGAGAAAATGTCAGTTCATGTAATTTCTTTTTAAAACTATAGCCTTGAGCCTATATGGATTAAGTTAGACAGTTGCCTATGCAATACATTTCAGTTTATTCATAACAAAAGATTGAACCACATATTAGGCAACTGTACGGGTACGGGGATTGGGTACGGGTGCGGGGATTCCCTAGATGTTAAAAATCCTCGTTGGGTACAGGCCGGTAATGGTATTGATATCCCTATTTTCGAACCTTGCCCTATAATTATATATTTATTTTTCAAAACCTAAAATATTTAAGAATGAGGCATGAGGTTTAGCACCCTTGACTGGGTTTCAAATTTGGATCTTTTACTGGGATTTATCATTTGTCTATGTTTAGATTTATTGGGTTTGTGTGAAAATTAATGGATTTTGATTGATTTAGTGGTTTGGTTGGTTACAGTCTTAAGTTGTTTTTTTTTAAGTTTATTTCATGCTAGGCTTACCATATTTTTATACCACAATGTGCACCACCTCTCTAATAGAGGTGGAGCTCTCAAATACAATGGGGTCCACCTCTATTAGAGAGATGGTACACAATGTAGTATAAAAATGTAGTAAGCCTAGCATTTTCCTAAAAACATAAGTGGCTCTAGCATGCATATATGAGGTTCTGGTACCAAAAAAGCAGATGTCTTCATGTTCCACAGAGTTAATGAAGCGAACACCAGAGTATATCGGCATGACTTGATCCATGCCTTACAAAGACAATAAAGTCCTAATTCTGACATTCATGTAAATTTAAGTCCCCTCCCCTATACCCACATACACTGACATAGATGAATGTACGTAAGTTGTAAGATGAATCTTTTCATGATCCAATCATTTCACAGCATGGTGCTCATCCCATACGAAGTCTGGCATGTGAAGAAAATGATAAGATTACAGAAAGAACATACCCCTTCGATGCAACAAACATTGGGAGTTAGTTCATTGTGTCTACATTTATTATCAATTCAATAGACTGTAACTTGGTTAGGCACAACTGAAAGGAGTAACTAGGCTAAGTAAAACCCAAGTTTGAATAGAAATTCATCCATAATTTTGGCAAAGACTGATGGATAGGTTCAGAACTAACAAGAGCAACAAACATCGGGAACTTCTTCTTCGTGTTTTTATTAGCTCCTACCGTAATTACTAATGACTACTGCTTAAAAGAATAGAAACATACACATGCATCTACTTAAAAGAAGAGAACCACTCATTGGAAGACTTTCCAAATGAAGACTTAATCAAGGGAATAAGAAAATCACACAGGTTTGAATGTTCTATAGAATCCAAAGGAACCAAGCCAGATCATAGAAGAGGAGAATAATGAAAGGGAAGACGATAGATGTAAGGGAGTGAGGAGAAAATGTATACAAGATGGTTCATAATCAGCTTGAACTCTTAGTATATGAAACAAATTCGAGGCATCAAAGAACTTGGACGCACTAATAGCTAACTAAGTGTCTGCAAAGAATTGTGGATGCTTCATGAGATTCTCAAATAGATGCTCCTTCAAATATTCCAGCATGACCTGTAAATGTAAAGACGTACAAAATAACTAGAAAACCTTGCATCATACTCATAGCCAAAGTACTTTCTGCTTCAGCCAATAGTGTCAAATCCCTATATTTGATTGATACTAATATCAACCTACTCCATGATTGAAATAATTAAAGAGCAAGCAAGCTAAGCTAGGAAGCAATTAATTAAATTAAAACATATGACGGTGATGATGAGGATGTTGATGATGTTGATGATCAGAGATTCAGTCCACTACTACTAGATTTTGATACTCTGGGTCAGAGATGGCTGCTTCCATGACATGGTCCGGGCCAATTTCTCCGTCATTGTCCAAAAAGGACTTGATCAAATTTGTGTTGAAGCCACTCAACATCGCCACCCCTTGTTGTATAGAACGCACGGAAGTAGGGATAACATTGCTCACATTCCAAAACACAATCTGTGGCACCACATCACCATACCCATTGTCCTTGAACTTTCGCTGTATCGCCTCATAATCAGTCTTCCAGCAACGATCATAGCCCAAAGCATCATCAAACCCTTGGTACATGGCAAACACGAACACTCTCCTGATCATCTGATCTGGCTTCAAATGACCCTTCACGGCAACCTCCAAAATCAAATCAAACACCTTGTGCATATCAACCTCCCAGTCCTGGCAGTCCATCCTCTTCACAAGCTCGCCCTTGGACTTAAGATCATCAAGGCCTTGTAATGAATATAGCTGAGGGTTTTCACTGAAATTGATCAATTTTCCTTTCCAGGGCTCTTCACTCAGTTCGGACATTAGTATTTGCAAAGCCGCCAACCGTTCTCCGAAGTTTTGACATACAGGCAAGCAGTTTTTGAACTTGCCCTGCTTTAAGTAGATGTGCTCTACCATTGCCTTCCACTGAATCTCAGCGACTTGGCCGACATCCCCGTCGTTCACGTAGCCTATGATCTCATGTGGAAGCAAAGCACCGGGCTCAATCTTGGAGTTGCCGGCGGCTTTCACGTCCTCCAAATACTTCTTGACCACACAGGGCTCTCGCTTGAATCCCGGATTATAACCCCACTTGTTCATACGTGTGTGATAATTGGAACACTCCAAGACCTTCCTCAAGGGCACCAGAACCTCCTTCCTCAGTCGGTGACGGACTCTGTAGGCGTAATCGGCCTCCTCAACGCCTTCGTATTCCGGGTACGATTCTCGAGGAAAAAACTTCTTGGCGATGCTCTCGCAGAGCAAAGTGGCGTGATCGAAAGAGGAGTCGATGGAAGGGCACCAGTCCGCCGCGGAGGTTATCTCCAAGCACTTAGTAGACTCATCATCATTGATATTCTGCTGCTGGTGTTTGTTCAAGTTTTGAATATCAGACTTCAAGCAATCGGCGAAAAGATCCGAAATCCGGTCGTGTAAGAACCGATAATCCGGGTCCCGCTGGTACCTCTCAACGGCCATTCTGGCCAAGGCGAGGATCGTCTCGCTACCAGCAGAGCTGACGTTTCTGATATCCCCGTAGAGACAGAGATGGAGGGGGCGATCTTGGCCTTGTAGGATCCGGTATAGAATTCCCAAAAGGGCCGTTAAATTGCCCAAGGACCCGGCAATAGACGGGACGTTGCAGGCTAGGGTCTTAGGGTGGTTATGATGGAGCCAAAACGCCGCCGTGTAGAAGCCATCTTGGTCGTTTTTTCCACGGACATTGAGTTTGTTGCAGATGAGCTTGAGGGTCTTTGAGGGATTGTGGGACCAGGCCACCGGCAGCAGTTGCTTAAGATATTTGTGGGAATCGGCACCAGCGTTGGCGGCGTCTGGTACCACTTGGTAAAATAGATCTAGGCAGGGGTTACCGTAGGAGGGGAAGACCTTGTTGGTTAATCTTGTGAGATCTGGAGGACCAACAAGAGTTGTTGGAGCAGTTGGAGTTGCAGCACGAGCCCTTAAATTTTTGATATTCAGTTGTGGAGGTGAACAAGTATTGCTGACATTGACATGGTTCCGGCATGCTTTCAGAACCGAACTGATATACACTTGCACCGGTTTCTTCATCTTCACTGAATTTGTGGGAGGCAGAAACAAAGGAGAAAGGAGGAGACGAATACGGGTTGAAAGATTTTGAGTCTATATAGACTTGAGCCGGGGCGCACGCCATGTAACCTAATATTGTTAGAATCTTTGCATCCCATTTAGGCCCCGTTTGAGATTGCTTTTTTTGGCCAAAAACCTGCTTAACTTTAAAGTTAAGCAATTTAAGGTGTTTGGTAAAATTAAAATATCCCGATTATTTTAAAAGCAGTGGCCTTTTGACAGCAGCTTTTAAAAGCTGACTCTGGGTTGCTTTTCAAAGCTGCTTTCAAAAGAAGCAGAGATGAACATTTAATGAATTTTTTTAATTCTCAAAATATCATCATTCATTTAAAAAAAATGACACCACCTCCACTTTTACATCCAACTCTACCACTTGCACCACCACATTTACTACCTCCACAACCACCGCCACCACCACCACCACAACCACCACATCCTCCTCCTCCTCATCCTCCGCCACCACCACCTCCAACATCACCTCCTCCTCATTCACCACCACCGCCGCCACCACCACCACCACCACCACCTCCACCTCCACCACCACCACCACCATCACCACCTCATCCAAAACCTCCACATCCACCACCACCACCATGTTGCCACTACCACCACCACCACCACCACCACCACCACCACCACCACCTCCACAACTGCCATCCCCACCACCACAACCATCAACTTCGCCTTTATCTCCACCACCAACTCCACTCCATCACTATCACTACCACTACCACCACATGATTAGTGCATAACACTTTTAACATCATGTCTATTTTAGTCATTATTCACAGTTACAACAATTTTATATTAAAATTTACCAAACGGTTTTAACACTGCTTTTTGTACTAACAGCACTTTAAAAATAGTGTTTACCAAACATGGAGTTGAATTACTTTACAGCTAATTATTTTTAAAGCACAGCAGAAACAACTTTTTTTAAAAGTGACAGTAATCCCAAACTAGGCCTTAGTTTATTTTGATATCTTTCTTTTTGTTTTGTGTTCTAATTTGTTTTGATTTTGTATTCCTTTATTGTCGGATGTACATTTATACTATTCAATAGTAGTTCTCTCTCTTCACTCACCGTGATTTATACTTTTTCTTGATTTTGGGTACCCAATGAAATTCAGCTTAAATTCGGCCTGATCTTTTGATTTTACGAATGGTAGGGATGATCTTCTTCTCAATTTTTTCTTCGATAAAATGTCTATCCACCTCAACATGTTTTGTTCGATCATGTTGAATTGGATTATGGGCAATATCGATAGCTAACTTGCTGTCGCAATGCAAAATAGATCTTTGATTTTTTTTTTTTTTTTTTTTTTTTTTTGTTAAAACAAACATATAGTTTTTTTTTTTATATAATAATTAAAATATTACAATATTATTATTTTGATATTGCATGATATTCCTTGTCAAATTATATTTTTCAATATGAAGTCAAAAGTCAAATATACAAAAACTATACATATATATATATATAATTTTTTAATTATTGTTTTATTTGGTCCCTGAAAAACCTAGAATTATATAGAGTGAGCTTAGCTCCTTTAACAATGTTTCGATCAACTAAGATTAATCTTGGGAAGCCAAAAAAAAAATATCATAATTTTATTCTTCATTAATCATTTCATTCATTTTTTTTTTTTTTTTTTTTTTTTTTTTTTTTTTTTTTTTTTTTTTTTTTTTTTTTTTTGTTTTACAAATCTGTTGAATGTAGCATTTATTTATCTTTTAGGTCAAAAACCCCAATTAAATTTAAATATTATAAGAATTATTTTTTAGTATGACACCACACCAAACATAGCTCTTCACTATTTTTACAAACTAACTTCTTAGTCCGACACAGCACCAAACGTAGGTCTGTATTTAATCCTGCTTAGGCCAATCCGAGCTAATCCGAGATAGTCTCATAATTTAGTCCAATCCATAACAGTCAGCCGCGCCAAATGACCCCAAAGATTTTTTCGTAGTGCTGCCTATACAAGACGGAAGCAAACCTGTAAATGATTTTTTTTTTAATTTTTTAATTCTAAAAATGGCAAAATTGTGTTTACCCTTCTAGGAAAAATAAATAAACAAAGGAGTTCTTTTAATATAAAAAAAAAATTAATGGGTAGTAAAATGTGGTTGAGGGTTGTTTTTGTCAATTCCTTTTGTCCATAAAGTGAAAATTTTGAGAAAGGATTTTAAAAACCCACATTTAATTTAAGGCTCGTTTGGGAGTGCTTCTTACCAAAGCGCTTATTCCAGTAGCGCTTATGACATAAGCACTTCTACAAAGAAGTAGTTTGTCGTTTGGATGTCACATTTAAAAGTGCTTTTACACTACATAAAAGCGCTTTTGATATTTTGTTGAGTGTTTGGCTAACACAGTAAAAGTGCTTTTAAAAGTACTTAAAAAAATTTAAAGAATCCCAAAATATTATAATCAACATTGTAAATAAATTCACAGGATCCCAAAATATAAAAAAGTAGGAACTTCTAATCATTTTTGCAAAATAAAAAAGGCATTAATCAGACATAAGAAGATTTGCAATTCTCTCTCGTTCATCATCCATCTCATGCCCATAGATTAGATTTTGTTCTTCAACCATCTCTTCCTCTATAGTAACTCCTGCCACGCCAGAGGCAAAATCTGTGTTTGATCTGCAAGGCGATCGAAAGGTAGATACAGCCTCACGAAACTCCGTAAAGAATGATCACAATTTTACCAGCATAGTTTTACCATTGGGTGCATCAATGCATGGTAATCCCATTTTCCCAGCCATTAGTACTTTCACAGCTCTGTATCTGGTTTACTTCTAAGTTCCCTTGACCTTAAAATTTGTTGGTTGACCTGCACATTATATGCTATTGAATAATTTTTGCCTCTTGACTTGTAGTTGTATATAACATTTTGTTTGAACTTTGAATGTTGTAGTACGGCAGGTATTGACATGATAATTTGTATGAAGGATTCTTTTGTGGCAATTGAATTAAAACAAATTTTTTAGTTATAACTTATAACCAAACAAGAAATATTTTATCATTCAATGTAGCTAATAACTTGATGCATCCTTGGCTATTTGTCAAAACAATTCTGTGCAGAGTCAATAAGCAAAGAAGAAGAAGAAGTGCATAAGATGATTCGAGAATGCTTGGATCTACGCAAGAGGTATCTTTACAGGGAAGAAGTTGCTCCATGGATGGTAGCTAGAACAGACTCCATTGCATCAGAGAAGAAAAGGGTCCCATTTCATTTTGAACCTGTTGAAGCATCAACTGTGAATCATTCTCTTCTCATTCGTAATCTGTCTCTAGCTCTTTGCATCAGATAAAATCTGTCTGAATTTTGACTGTTCAAGTGAGTTCTTTTGTTCATAGCATTTGTTTAATTTTTTCTTTCTTTTAAATCTTTCATGCAGCACTGCTTTAGGATGGAAGACGGTGTTTTGGTTTTAATAGGAGAGAAAAAAGAAAAGAAAGAAAGGGTATTCTGGTATTTAAAAAAATTAAATATGAGTATTTTCGGCATTTTAAAAGTTTCATTAAAGGGAGCCAAGTGCTTCCCGTGTTTTTGTCCTGCAGCGCTTTTAAGAATAAACACCTCTCAAGTGCTTCTTCCAAAACCACTCCAAGTGCTGTTGGATCTCACCCAAAGCGCTTTTGCAATTTTTGCCAAACACTATTTTTAAAAGACAGAAGCGCTTTTCGCTGTTCCAAAAACACTCTCAAACGAGCCCTTAGTAACAATGTGTTTACACATACCTCACCTAAAGGAGAAACAAATTTACACATGAGGAAGACATCATCAACTTTTGGACGGAAAACTAACGGAATGGGTTTGGTAAAACAATTTTAAAGCCTTAAAGAGTGTTGTGTAATTTTTGAAATCTCCAGGATTTAGTAAAAATATGAAGAAAAAAAAAATCTCAAGGTGTAAATATTATTCAAACCATGTTTCTACCACTTTATCAATAAAATGAAAATGAAATAAATCCTTAGGTATATTAGCATCATGTACTACATTTTGTTTTTATAAACAGGAGTAAGAGGAATCAAACATGAAATGTCTTTTAATATTAGGAAGAAAATTATCATTAAACTAATAGCTATCATGCATTTTGTTTACAACTAAAATATAAATCATAATTTATGTATTTATGATATATATTTATTTCTTTATTTCTTTAAAGTTTGCATGTAAACTAAACTTCTCTTGTGATTTGATACTTTGGTTTGTTAAACAAACTTCTTGAGAATGAAACTCCAATGCTCATTTATGGAAAATGAATATGAGATTGTCCAGTTTAGTTTAGACAAGTTTTACAAAAACTCAAAACCAAACTAAATAAATCAGACCATTTACGGTTTAATTTGGTAGCTAGGTGCGGAGTAATTATATATAATATATAAATTATAATTAAAGGTGAGAGGGAGATGCATGGCAATGGCAATGGCATGGCCAACGGACACATCCTTTTTCTTTAAATGTTTTTTTTTAATTTAATTTAAATATTGATTGCATTGGGAATGGGTGGGATTGTTGGAAATATGAGTGCTAAATTGCTATAAAATAAGCAATATAATTACTGCACATAAAACAGATTTTTACAAAAGGAGAATTGAATTAGAAGAACCTCAATTGAGTCGAGACAAGTGTTGGACACTCTAATCTTAAGACGAATTACACCCCACATTGATGTTTATGGTTCACTAGCGTTCGCCTCCTAGGATACAACAACTCCCCTCCTTATAAAAGAAGCATTGCAATTTACAAGGAACTTTGAACCAAAATTCTGCAGGAACCTCCCTTTATGAAAACTCTAATGCTCTCTATATATGGAAGTTTTTATGTAGAGAATTAATTAAATGAATAAAACTGCAGGAGGATTGCTCTATTTATAGATGATGAAATGCTCTTTCCAAAAAAATATCCTAATCTGAAAAGGCAAACAATGCATCCATTGGTCTAAAGAGTTGTCAACCCCAAATTGAAGATGTCTTGAACCCAAGAGTCATGTCTTTAACCCAACAAATTTTATTAATTTCCATTCAAATAGAAAATTAATATTAAATTTCTCACAATTATATATAATATATAAATTATAAGTAAAGGTGAGAGGGAGATGCATGGCATGGCCAACGGACACATCCTTTTTCTTTAAATGTTTTTTTTTTATAAATTTAATTTAAATACTGATTGAATTGGAAATGGGTGGGATATGCTTTATATTGTAACGATCTGTCTCTTTTTTGTGAATGGTTCGTAGGGTAGGGTTTGTAAACTTCGTAACTTAGTAGTAGTACTACCATAAGCCATGATGAATGGAGGGCAGAGGGTATAGGAAAATGGAGCACGTGAGTGATGTAGACTTGGTGCGTTCTCGATCGTTTTGGATTTCTTGTTTGTTTCAACTTGGAAGGAAAGTAACTCAAACTCATCCACATTGAAAGGGACTTTACGCAGTGGGCTTGGAAAGGCGAGAGAGACTCCCTTAAAACATCACAATTACAAATAATAATAATAAAATTAGGAGATCAGAGACCATCGTCATGCATCAGGATTTGTAGTTCCGGAAGATGGAGCCTCAGCAACTTTGTTATCCATTTCCTGCCTCGTGCTAGTAAGGCCTTCCACCTGCTGACAAAAGAACAAAAACCAATACAAGAGAGTGTTGTCCGAAGATTTAAAATTACACCGAAATAAAACAAAGAGTGTTAATGTCCGAAGACTTAAAATTACACACCAAAATAAAAAAAAAGAGTGTTACGTCCGAAGACTTAAAATTACACACCAAAATAAAACAAATAATATTATGTCTGAAGATTTCAAATTACATAACAGCCACTAATAATTAAATTACTAGTCACAGTTGCTTGTTCCGGCGTTGTCGTTGTTGGAGTCGGAGTTCTCCCCACTAGTGTCTCCTCCCCCAGATTCCAAAGAACTTTCAGTGCTACTCAGTAAATATTAAATACAAAATTAATTATAATAATATCCATAACTAAGATAAATGAAAATTATAAGTACTAAAAACTAAAAACAAATAACTGCTTACTCCTTCCCCTCCTCCCACTTTCAATGACTTCTAGCTTAAGCTCTACGGCCTTTTGTTTAATAGTTGCAGTTGTGGCATCTTGCCTGGTCTTCACAACAATGTGGGTGCCCTTCCACGGTTGCTTGGCATTGATAAGTGTTTGCACCACCTTCATATCTGACGCGGTTTCGACATAGATTGTATCAAGCTCGTGAATTTGGGAGAGTACACTTGGTAAACTTGCTTTTGCTCTCTTCTTTTGATTTTTGTCTCTCCTAGCGTTGGATTGTTTAAGGGTGCTCCAAGCTTTTCTTAAGAGGCGGATCAATTTCAAAGAATGAGGAATAGCCATGTAAAATGTGTGTAGAGGATGATGCAAATGAAATATGTAGTTAAATTAGGTTGTGAGTAAAATGTGAAGGAAGATGATGTCAATATATAGGAGGAGGGTGAGGTAGAGGTTGAGTGTTGGGTTTAATTCTGGAGTTAGAAGGAGAGTGAAAGAGGAAATGAGTTGATCTTGCATCTGCTCTCCCTTGCTATTTTTGATGATCGAGGACATTGGAGAGCAGAACCAAAAATGGATAAAGGTTTGTATGAGTGTATGAAATTTGAAATATCAGCAGAAGTACTCTTATTAATAGTTGGATACATCTTCACGTTAGCCATCCATGGAAAAAAAAACAAATTAATATCAGCCATCATGGGGGCCAGTTGGGGGACTGTAGCTAGCTGGTGAAAAGACAAGGCAGGAACGCGATGAGCTTTAACGAAAATATCGCGCAGCGTGGGAATCAACAAGAGCCGGCTCCCTAGGCATGGTTTGATGGGAAGCAACACTGGGTCAATAAAACAAGCTGGTACCTGGTGTTTGATGGGAAGCAACATTGTAAAGCAGCTAGTGTTTCAATATCGCGCAGCGTGGGAATCTTAGAAGCCGGTTTCCTAGACATGGTTGATAGAAACAGGCTTTGCTGAAAGTACTCATTTTATTTGGGATATAGTCATTAAAGATAAACCTTAATCAAATATACTCACTTTATAAAATTTAACAACAAATACTCATTTTCCAACCTGAAAGTACCACGTTACCCTTCGTATAAATACTTCAATAATTCATTGTCTAATTTGTGAATACAAACCCCCCAGCTTTCTCTTCGCCCTCGCACTCAAGGAAAGGAAAAATGAACAACTTGTTCTTGTTGTCTTTATTGGCTCCTGGTGTAATTACTAATGACTACTGCTTGAAAGAATAGAAACATACACATGCATCTGCAAGATGATTCATAAAATAAAATAAAAAAATTTCACACGTATTTGAATGTTCTATAGAATCCAAAGCAACCAAACCAGATCATAAAGCAACAATATTATTAGATGACCTCTACAAAGCAACATTCTTTATACCGCACCAACAAATTAGATGTAATCATCTAAAAAGACAAAATACCTTGATCTGCATTGAAGGTCCTTAGGAGTGGGCATCAATCCAGCCAAATCAATGACACCAATTAAAGCGATACGGTTTGGTTTCGTTTGGTTTCGTGTTCTAAAAACATGCAAAAAGAAATAGAATTGGCTTAGGCCCAAACTAAACCAAATCGTCTTAATTGGTTTGGTTTGATTTGGTTCGGTTTTCTTCTTGACTTTTGTCAAAACCAAACCGAACTGAACCGTTACATTGTAATTGGTTCAACCGTAATTTTGAGGTGAAACTGATCCAATCCGGATTGTGTCCACCCTTAGATGTCCTACTCCATCATAGGGATGGGGGAATTGCATCACGAAATATGCCTAAAAGCTAACCTTACCGGAAATTCCCAATAGCCAACTTATAATTCAAGCACAAATTCGAGGCATCAAAGAACTTGGACGCCCTGATAGCTAAGTGTCTGCAATGAATCGTGAATGCTTCATGAGATTCTCAAACAGAGGATCCTTTAAATATTCCATCATGACCTGTAAATGACACAAAATAACTAAACAACCTTGCATCATACTCATAGCCAAAAGTACTTTCTGCTTCAGCCAATAGTCAAATCCCTATATTATTTGATTGAAATGTCAACACAAATAGATCTTACATTGGAATAAGGTCAATGTTGTTTAGCAGAACCCTCAGAAATATGCAAGTAATATCAACCTACTCCATGATTGAAATAATAAAAACCTTTTATTATCTCCTTTCCTAATACATTTACAGTTACCACGCGTGGCATCTAAAGTAGCAACCATTATCAGATTCTCCCACCCTTCTGCCGCTGCAATTTTCTATATATATATATAGACACACACACATATATTTATATTCAGAACACAAAATGTTTGATCCAGAACCACACTGTATATTGTGTGAGTATTGATGATTAAATTACTTTTGTTTATGTGGGAACCAAATCTAACGCATCATGGCCTAGCCCATAAGCCTCAACTAAAAGACGTGAGATGATCGAACTTCCCTCCCCTCCCACTAGTGGAATGCGGAACAAGGGATACGCAAGTCACTCATCCGATCCCATTACCACGAAGTGGAGGATGGGACGCGCAAAGCTAGGGAAGTGGGGCTAAACCCAAGACCTCGGAGCGCTATAAAAACCCAACTAAACCTCCAGCAAAGGGACGTGACATTCAACTGAACACTAAGAGTACGCGACACAAACACTGACTTGAGCGTCGGAATGGCTTTTGCAGGTACTCACCCCCTCTCCATTGTTTGACCTCGGGAACGTAGTCCGGAGTTCTCTTTTGATCAAGGTAGCGTGCGGACTTCAGTCAAGAACCTGTGGAGGTATTTCTTCTTGAAAGAAATCATGCTCCAACAGTTGGCGCCGTCTGTGGGAATCTCGCAAAGTTGATCATAAACATGACTGAACCCGCACAGGGAACTCCAAACACCTCCGTCCCGGGGAACGCGATGTCCACTCCTCGATCCGAAAGCGCAAGATCCAACGCCCAAGATGGGGAACCAAGCCTTGCTGTTATCCAGTTGAGGGAAATCATGAAAGAATTGTGCGAAACAAGAAAGGTAGAAGGAGGAAAAAAAAAAAAAAAAAAAAAAAAAAAATGAACTCCTCGGATTTATTTGAGAAACCGAAGGCGCACGGGCTCGGAAGGACAGCTAATGGGTACTGGAGCCTGAATTAGTAGCTAAAGTGCAAGGAAAGAAAGGAAGAACGAAAGGTAGAAGAGAAAACAAAAAAAAACAAAAAAAACAAAAAAAAATTTCGTGAACTCCTTGGATTATTTGAGAAACCGAAGGCGCACGGGCTCTGAAGGACAGCTAATGGGTACTGGAGCCCTAATTAGTAGCTAAAGCGCAAGGAAAGGAAGGTAGAAGAGAAAAAAAAAAAGTTCCTGAACTCCTCGGATTATTTGAGAAACCGAAGGCGCACTGGCTCGGAAGGACAGCTAATGGGTACTGGAGCCCGAATTAGTAGCTAAAGCACAAGGAAAGAAAGGAAGAAAGAAAGGTAGAAGAAGAAAAAAAAACAAAAATTCGTGAACTCCTCGGATTATTTGAGAAACCGAAGGCGCACGGGCTAAGAAGGACAGCTAATGGGTACTGGAGCCCGAATTAGTAGCTAAAGCGCAACGAAAGAAGGAAGAAAAAAAAACAAAAAAAGTCGCGAACACCTTGGATCAGTTGAGAGACCGAAGGCGCACAAGTTCGGAAGGACGACTAAGGGGTACTGGACCCCTTAGAGTGACGAGAGCTCAAAACCAAAGCTGGGATGGGATCGGCCAGGAGAGAGAAACCAAGGATTGGCAGCACACCCCAACCCACGTGGCCAGGTATAGGACCAGAAGCGCACCTCGACCCATGGGATCTGCAGGAGAAAGAAAAACATACCCATGGGATCGGCCAAGAGAGAGTCTCAATCCATATGGGATCGGGCAAGAGAGAGAAACCAAATATGGGACCACCGAATTGGCAAAAGTTTGGAAGCACACCCCAACCCATATGGGATCGACAGGAAAGAGAAAAGCATACCCAACCCATATGGGATCGGCTAGGAAAGAGAAAGTAAGAAGCATGGCCCACCCGAATAGGCGAAGGTGTAGAAATCCAAAATAAAAATGGGTTCACTGCATGGGATTGGTTGTCCGCATTCGGATACTCCAAGGGATAATAGTCCACAATCGGAACTTGAAAACCAGCGTGCATGAAAATTCACATTTGGAATGTGGGAGCAACATGCGTAAGTTGGATAGGCCAATGAAAATCAAATTCTTGGGCTTGCCCAGCAAGCCCAAAGAAAGAAAGAATGGCCCCTTTCGGGCTCAGCCGCGAGCCCATCACGGCGACATGCTCTCAATCTGAAGAAATCACTTTCCAAAGTCCCACCTAGATCATTTTTCCCTTTCCACCCGCGAAGCGTGTAGAGAGAAAAAAAGGGGGGCACTGTGGGGACCAAATCTAACGCATCATGGCCTAGCCCATAAGCCTCAACTAAAAGACGTGGGATGATCGAACTTCCCTCCCCTCCCACTAGTGGAGTGCGGAACAAGGGATACGCAAGTCACTCATCCGATCCCATTACCAAGAAGTGGAGGATGGGAAGCGCAAAGCTAGGGAAGTGGGGCTAAACCCAAGACCTCGGAGCGCTATAAAAACCCAACTAAACCTCCAGCAAAGGGACGTGACATTCAATCGAACACTAAGAGTACGCGATGATAACAGTAGAAGAATATGAAGAAAATGAAGAAGAAAGAAGAAGAAGAAGAATAAAGAAGAAGAAATCTGATGACTGTATATTGATTCTCGTTAACCATGATTACAATGTAATAGTACTTATATAGCAAACTAACAAACTCTCTTTACAACTAACAAACTCTCTTAACAATCTAACACTCTCTTAACAACCAGACACGTGCCATATGGTTATATGGTTATCATTCCCCCTCAAACCCAGCTGAGCTGCTAAGTTGCAGATTCCTGCAATGTCTCAGAAAAGTAGGACCATGTAATCCCTTTGTGAAGATGTCTGCTACCTGTTCTTCAATAGGAATATACTGCATAATCAAGTCTTTCTTCTGTACTCTTTCTCTTACAAAATGAAAGTCAATATCTAAATGTTTGATCCGAGAATGATACACAGGATTTGAACTTAAAGCAAGGGCTGAAAGATTGTCACAATGTATTGTAGGAGGCTGTGGTAAGAATACCTTTAAATCAAGTAAAACTTGTCGAACCCAAGCTAGATCCGCTGCTGTATTAGCTAATGCCCTGTACTCAGCCTCAGTTGAACTTCTAGAAACAGAATTTTGCTTCTTAGACTGCCAAGGAAACTGGATTATTGCCAAGATAAACCACAAAACCAGTAGTTGATCTGCGAGTATTCACATCTGAGGCCCAATCTGCATCACTATAGGCATGAAGATCCCAAGCTCCGCTTGTAAAAGTCAAACCATGATCCAAAGTACCATGAATATATCTCAGGATACGCTTAACCAACTGAAAATGTAAATCTGACGGTTGAGTCATATACTGACAGACAGTATTAACAGCATAACAAAGATCAGGTCGAGTGAATGTCAAATATTGCAGTGCCCCAACAATACTCCTGTAGATGGTTGGATCAGATAAGGAGTTACCCTCCGAAGCCAAAAGCTAACAATGTGGCTTACATGGAGTAGTACAAGGTCGACATGTATCCATACCAGCCTTTGCAAGTAAATCTCTAGCATATTTTGTTTGACATGCAAAAATATCTCCATTATCATGATAAGAAATCTGCAATCCTAAGAAGTAGGTTAACCTCCCCATATCTTTCATTTCAAACACAGCACTTAATTCATCAATAACCTCTTGGACTAAACTATCTTTAGAACCAGTCAAGATGATATCATCAACATAGAGTAGAAGAATGACACTATCTGAACCAACATGCTTAACAAAGAGACTTGGATCAGAATGAGAAACAGTAAAACCAATGGCTGGAAGATGACCTGTGAACTTTGCATTCCAAGCTCTAGGTGCTTGCTTTAGCCCATAAAGAGATTTTCTCAATCGACAAACATGGGTTGGATATGCAGAATCTTCAAAACCTTGAGGTTGGCGCATAAACACTTCTTCTTCAAGATCACCATGAAGAAAAGCATTTTTCACATCAAGTTGTCGAAGAGACCACCTGTTCATAGCAGCAATACTCAAAACCAATCTAACTGTTGTATGCCTTACAACAGGACTAAAAGTCTCACTAAAATCTAGACCAGGAGCTTGACTGAAACTTTGTGCAACCAAGCGAGCCTTATGTCTTGCTACAGACCCATCTGAGTTCTTCTTGACTCTATAAACCCATCGGCTACCAACAATGTTTTTATCCACAGGCATAGAAACTAAATCCCATGTACCTTCGGTGTGCAAAGCTTCAATTTCTTCCCTCATAGCCTGTATCCAAACAGAGGACTGAGAAGCAGCCTTATAAGTAGCTGGTTCAACAACTTCATGAAAAGGTGGAATAGTAGTAAGATAGCATTGATAATCCTCAAATGGCTTAGTCTTGACAATACCACTCTTAGACCTTGTCTGCATATGATGCATAGAAGGAGGCATAGATGGTGAAGAAGATTCATGAGAAGGCAAAAGAGCTTGTAATTGTTGATCACTAAGAACCTGTAAATTGTCTGTAGAGTCTGCACCCAAAGCAACTAAAACTGAATCATCACCAAAAGATGCATAAACATGGGAAGGGACATCAGAGGAATGTGAGGAAGCAAGACTAGGATCTGAACTAGAAGCCAAGGAAGGCACATGATGTGAAACAGAAACTACAATAGGTGGAGCCTTGAAAGAAGATGGAGTACAAGAAGAAAGATTGCTAGATGGAGGTGAAGGCTCGGAGTGCCTAAAAGGAAAGACACTCTCATCATGAACCACTTGTCTAGAGAGAAGGAAATGGTGAGTAGTAGTGTTATAGCACATAAGACCCTTATAACCCTGAGAATATCCCATGAAAACACACTGTACAGTCCTAGATTGAAGTTTATGTTCATTAAATGGTCTAATATATGGATAAACAGCTGTGCCAAAGACTCGTAGATGCTGAAGAGGTGGAGGCTTATCAAATAACTTCTGAAAAGGAGACTGATTACCAAGAGCAATACTAGGCATGAAATTGATCAAGTAAGCAGCATGTGCCACAGCATGATACCAAAATTGACTGGGAAGATTGGCTGTAACTGACAGAGTTAAGGCAGTTTCTATAACATGGCGATTCTTTCTCTCAGCAAGACCATTTTGCTGAGGAGTGGAAGGACAAGAGAGGACTTTATTTGTTGGCCAAGATAGGCAACTGGAGCAGAGGAAAAACAGGAGGCACGATTCAAGACAGAAGAAGCAGCTAGAGGAATGTGATAAAGACCTCGATTACTCTTGCCCTGAAGAACAATTTGCTTGGTGAGCTTGTCTTGTATGCAAAAACCAGAGGCATCAAAGGTGATAAGACAATTGTTATCTTTACACAATTGATGCACCGATAATAGATTGGCTTTAAGTTTGGGAACATGAAACACATATGGCAAAGATAAAGCTTTGGTACTGGCACAAGAAATAGAGGTAGTGCCAAGATTAAGAATTTCCAAACCTTCCCCATTACCAACAGTGACATTCTCAGTCACATCACAAGAAGTAACATTATGCAGGTGAGAGGCATTGCCAACCATATGATGAGAAGCTCCTGTGTCAGCAATCCAGACTTGCTCTGGAGAATAAGAAGATTGAGCCGTCATAGCAGTTAAGGAAGATGGCGGTGCTTGCCCTTGAAATGCATAGTTAGAGCGGTGATAACAATCCAAAGCAGTATGCCCTCATTTACCACAGATTTGGCACTCAACAACAGGTGAAGGAGCATCCGAAGAGGGAGCATTGCGAAAATAACAGTTCGTCGCTGTATGACCACGTTTGCTGCATATTTGACATTCTGGCACAACTTTGTATGAACTAGAACCACCATAATTGGAAGAGGAAGCACCACGAAAACCAGATGAACGAAACTGAGATTGCTGATTCCGGCTGCCATTAAACCTTCCACGGCCAGAAGAAAAGCCACGATAAGAATGCACAAGAGGCAGAGAATGAGGAGTAGGCAATAAGCCTTGACTAGAAGCAACAGAAGAGGATTGAACACTAGAAGATGAATTCGCAGCATACAGACCTAAGTGATGAACAATACGAGCCTCAGCAGTTTGCTCTGCAGCTAGGAGTTGAGCACGAAAATCCTTAAGAGTGATTGGAGAATCACGAGCAATCAATACAGTCTTGATTATGGCATACTCTGGTGGTAAACCATTCAACGCAGCAATAACAAAATCATCATCGGAAATTCGCACATCAGCTGCACGCAATTGGTCACGAATGTGTTTAAGACGAAGCAAGAATCGCTCAATGGAGTCTCCACCTTTTTGAGCAGTCTGTAGTTCTGTTTTCAGATTATTAATTCTTGCTCGAGAAACAGAGGCATAGCGATCACAGAGATGAAGCCAGGCCTCTCTAGCTGTTTGACTCCCGATGACATACTCAAGTGCTTCATCTGACAAAGATGCAATAAGAAGACTCAAGAGTGCCTTGTCTGTGCGAATCCAGTCTTTATAGGCCGTAGTGACCTCAGAAGTAGTACCTTTTTCACCAACAATGGCGAATTTTGGAGGAGCAACAAATGAACCATTGAAGTGGCCGAACAGATCGTAGCCCTGGAGTACCGACTCCAGTTGATAACTCCACTTCAAGAAGTTGTCATTGTTAAGCCGAATGGTAAGCATGCCCAAAAGACCATCAATTTTGAGAGAGGAAGCCATGAAAGCAGAATTAGGGTTTCACAGAACGAAAATTTGTTTTTGGAGAAAAATTGCAGAAAAATTGAGAGAACAGGATTTGAGATTGACATAAGAAAGAAGCAGAGAAATAAGGAAGAATAGAATGTGGAAGCGAAAAGACCTCAGAATCGAATCGAACCTAAGCTCTGATACCATGATAACAGTAGAAGAATAAAGAATAAGAAGAATAAAGAAGAAGAAATCTGATGACTGTCTATTGATTCTCGTTAACCATGATTACAATGTAATAGTACTTATATAGCAAACTAACAGACTCTCTTAACAACTAACAAACTCTCTTAACAATCTAACACTCTCTTAACAACCAGACACGTGCCATATGGTTATATGGTTATCACGCGACACAAACACTGACTTGAGCGTCGGAGTGGCTTTTGCAGGTACTCACCCCCTCTCCATTGTTCGACCTCGGGAACGTAGTCCGGAGTTCTCTTTCGATCAAGGTAGCGTGCGGACTTCAGTCAAGAACCTGTGGAGGTATTTCTTCTTGAAAGAAATCCTACTCCAACAGCAGGTAAGGTTGCAGTCCGTATTCCTTCGATGAATTATGATGTGAGACGTGAAGGTGAGAGGAGTCTTTGGTTCTAAGAGAAGCATAAAATGGAGCAAGCAATTATACTAGTAAGATTAATATTAAATAAAGTCCAAACTTTCACCAAATACTCAATAAACATCCCATATAATTAATAATTAATTGCCCAAGATTTTTCAATTTCAATTAAAGAGCACGCAAGCAAAGCCAGGAAGCAATTAATTAAATTAAAACATCTGATGACGACGATGATGATCAGAGATTCAGTCCACTACTATTAGATTTTGATACGAAAGACGAGTGAGAGCCATCATATGTTTTGGGTATTGAAATTAGCCAAGACAGGAGTAAAGGTTCAGTTGTATTGTCTCAAAAGGGTTACATTGAGAAGATACTTAAACGTTTTGGTATGGAGAATTACCATGGTGAAAGTGTTGCTATTTCAAAAAGGTGATAAGCCTAGCAAGGAGCATTGTCGATCAAGAGAAGGAATAGATGAAAGCTAAGCCTTATGCTTTTATAGTTGGTAGTTTGGTGCATGCACAAGTTTGTACAAGGCCTGATATTGCTTTTGCATTGAGTGGATACACTTAGGTCTACATCTGTTTATGGTTTTATGCTTGCTAGTGGGGCAGTTTCTAGGAAAAGTCAGAGGCAATCAACTGTTTCTAGTGTGTTCGTGTATAATGACAGTGATAGTGATACAGCATTCATCCTCCCATCTCACTGAATCTAATCTGAATAATTAGTGATTATTAATCATTCAATAAAGACTCTTGTTGAGATTAGAAATGGTCGTGTAAATGACATTTTCCACAAATAGATGGCAGAGACAGAAACAAAAGGAACACAATCGAATACCTGAACTAAATTGATTTTCAGTTAATGCTGACAAACTGACAAGGATGGGAAACCGACCTACAAATTCAGGTATCAAACCATATCAAATGAGATCACTACGTTCAACCTGTCAAAGAAACCTGTTTTCATAGAGTATAAATTTCCAATATAAAGCACGATATTTTTTAGAAACAACCGGAATTTCTTATCAAAAGATGAAAACAGAAAAGAAGCCTACATAAACTGTGACATGTTAATTCAAAACAGACGGGAACTTACAGTCTCCAACAAGGATGATGCAACATCGCCAGTCCTTATATTTGCCCTAACTGGAGCATCGATAGAGGAATCTTGGCGTCTGTAAAACGAGCAAAATACATACAAATACTTCAGAGAGAGAGAGAGAGAGAGAGAGAAACAAAAGATGGCATAATTTCAGTGTTGGGATAACCTTTCTCAGATTGTTTTCTCTAAGTCAATAAAGGCACCCGCGCAGATGAAGAGCACACATCCTTTGTGTCAATCTGTGAAGAAACATGGGATAAAAAAAGTAAAAGTACGAACTGATTTTCAAGGATCTAACCCAACATTTGACAACACCAAAAATCAGCTAACCAGAACACAGGAAGACATTTGCTTGGCTCAGCAGCACTAGTCAAGTCTTAAACAAAAATGTGCGATCAATACATAATTTTATCCTTGAGCTAGTACATAAACAGCTTACCACAAACTGAGACATTTATCTTAAGCCACTGATATAAACAATATGAAAATGGAGGTAACCGAGACATATATCTGATGCCGTTGATATACCTGAAAATTTTCTCCTCCAAATGCTTTCGAGCTCCCTTCTCAGGAACATTCATATCTAGATCAGAAACAACAACTCAGATCAAAATACAATGAATCAATGAATTTACCTCCAACATCGGTACGCATAAAAGAGTAGTAAACTTCCCCCAGAGAGAGAGAAGGAGAGATAAACATACAAAAAGGTAAATGAACCTTTTTGGTAATCTTGTCAAGTTCATCAATATGCACAATTCCCTGCTGTGCAGCTGCAGCAATGACAGTTGAAAGGAAAGTTAAGATGCTAAACTGAAATCAGCTTACTAGACATGAGATCAATTTTAACAAACCACAATATGACAAATACACACAAATAGATTTTATATGCAAAAAGGGACTGAGCATCTTCTAATGAAATGAAACCTAGTTTTCCTTTTCTATTTTCCTTAATACTTCAGCGTTAAACTAAAATTATTGGGATCATTTAATTGCTCACAAAATTTGGCATGCTGATTTCAATCAAAATACTGCCAACAAACATCATATTTTGTTAGTCGACCAAAAAATACATCAGATTTTGTTGGTCAAACTAGTGTGGAAAGATTGATGATCATATCTGTCTCAGTCCACCAAGACTGCCTCCTGTCAAAAGCATGGAGATAAGAGACGTCACAATTCCACCTCCATGATCCTTATGTGTGTTACGTATGGAAGATTGCATTGCATTCAACATGTTCCCATATGTATTTCCATGTCCACGCTCAATGGCTTGGATGAAAGCATAAGTCATGGCACCAGTTGAAGTAATCTTTGACAGAGCCTGCAGACATGAAGTGTTAGCTTTGTTTCTTATAATATCCTTACGTTAGAAAAAGGCACCATGGCTAATGTAGTTTAAGTAACAGTTTAAGATTCTGTCCACGACTTTACTGAGGTATCGGCAGAGGTTTTATCATCATTACATCCACTAAAGGAAATGCCCACTCTGAAATGACTAGTTGGAACATCGACTCGTTCATTGGTGCTGCAATGGGTCTGCATACATCACCTCTGAAGAACGAGCTACCAGCATATTTATGGGTGGAAGCTTCACTAGTGTCTGCTCCAGCACCCATGCTCGGCTGATAAAGCATGGAAGATCCAGGTGAAACAATTAAAATTCTCCAAACAAGAAATGTTATGAGAAAGTGATCCAAGTGAAAACCACCATGAAAAATGGACCCATTCTTTTTTATCAGAAGTACGAAAGCTAAACCCTTCTCTCTAATATGAAAAAGTTATTTTCTTTTCACTAATTACCTGTCTCTCATGTTATTTATAAGTTAGCAAGATGGTTTGTATATGATCATCAGAATCTTTTAGAAAAAAAAAAGTTAGAATTTTTAATAAGATCCACAAATAAAGATATATATATATATTTTTTTTTCTCCAATGGAGGAGAAATCGATGGCTTCATATGAATTTACTTCACAAGCAATATTTTCAGGTAAGATATTTAATAGTTAAATGACCCTTTGATACCCTCAATGCTCTCTCCCAAAGATCACCTGCAAGGAAACATGTATCAAGTTACAAAACAACCCCAAGTAATTCGTCAAGATACGATTATTTATGTAGCTAAACTGCCTCTAGCTTGAATCGAAAACAGTAAGATAAAAATTACCAAAAAGTGAGAAAGAAAAGTTTCCAGGAGATGCTAGCAAACTTTTACAACACCAATACAGTAATCTCATAAAACCAGCACAAAATGACTCGACCAGCCTGGGCCAGCAAGTGAGGATACCCAACATGTGAAACAGGTCAAGACCTATCTGATGATGAGAGTGCTAGCATGGCTAACTTTGGCATTATTAATTAATCAAGATCCCATGACTTTTGAAGATGTTGTGAAGTAGGGGTGGGCATCGGGACCGGAAAACCGGAACACCGAATCGAACCAGTGAAAAAAAAACCGAAAAAAAAATCGATTGACCAAAAAAGTCAACAAACCGGACTAAACCGATTCCAGTTTCGATTTTACACCGCACCGCACTGGACCGGTCAATTTTTTTTATTACAAATTTTTAAAATCTAATGCCATATTTTAAATTTTATAATCACTATTTTTCCAAGTTCAACTTCAAAAAATTTCTAAATGTATGAATTGGATTATTTGTTAATTTTTAAGCCAAAAAAAAAGTTATTTATTATAATTTTTTTTTAAAAAAAATTGAAATAAATTAATAATCCGGTTCAAAACCGAACCGGCCGGTTTTTGAAATTTTTTTTGCCTAAACTGGACCAAACCAGACCGATTAAATAGTACCAGTTTTGGTTCCGATTTGAGGTGAGAACCAGACCGAATCGGACCCTGCCCACCCTTACTGTGAAGTCTGAAAAGTGGAGACAAGCTATGGATCAAGAGATACAATCCATTGAAAAGAACAATACGTGGGAATTAATGAAGCTGTCACGGGAGGAAAAACCACTGGAGTGAAGTGGGTGTTTAAAACGAAGCTCAATGAGAATGGGGAAGTGGACAAGTACAAAGCACGACTAGTTACTAAGGGTTACTGTCAACAATATGGAATAGATTATGCAAAGGTATTCGAACCAGTGGCTCGTTTAGACACCATTCGAATTGTCATTTCCCTTTCTGCTCAAAAGAATTGGGTGATTTACCAGCTTGATGTCAAGTCTGCATTTCTGCATGGGGAGATCAATGAAGAGGTGTTTGTTGATCAGCCACCTGGATATGAATAAAAGGGGCATGAGTCAAAGGTGTATCGACTCAAAAAGGCTTTATATGGACTTAAACAGGCCCCCCGAGCCTGGTATAGTCGTATAGAGTCATATTTCATCAAGGAGGGATTCAACAAGTGCCCTTATGAGCATACCTTGTTCATTAAGACAACGAAAGGAGGTAAGATCTTGATAGTGTGTCTATATGTTGATGATCTTATTTTTACTGGTATTGATGAAACAATGTTTGAACAATTTAAGAAATCTATGATGGTTGAGTTCGACATGACAGACCTTGGAAAAATGAGATATTTCCTTGGTATTAAAGTGATACAAGGTTCTTATGGGATCTTTATTTGTCAACAAAAGTATGCTCAAGAGGTCTTGGAGAGATTCAACATGGATCAATGTAATTCAGTACTCAACCCCGTGGTTCCTGGTTTAAAACTCACAAAGGATAAAGGAGGAGTCAAAGTTGATAGCATTATTTACAAACAGATGGTGGGAAGCCTCATATATCTAACAACCACACGTCCTGATTTAATGTTTATTGTTAGTTTGATTAGTCGATACATGGAGCATCCAACTGAGCATCATTTGCTGGCAGCAAAAAGAGCTCTAAGGTATGTAAAAGGGACTCTCGATTTGGGGATATTATACAAGAAGGGAGGAAAGGAGAAGCTTATTGGCAAGGGTGGAACAATGAAATTTTCAACGGGTGGGCTAACTAAAGTTATTAGCTTAAAATTTAATGATTATTTTTGTTGGTACTTACAAGTTATTAGCCTAACAATGAATTTTTGTTTTCACTACACATGGTGATACCTGATTGGCTTAAAATATAATAGTTGTAGAAATAATAGTGTTGAAACAATAAATGAAGTTTATGGAGTGGAGTCGAATTAGGGCTCTTCAATGTAGGGGTGCACAGATGCATTTTTTTTAAATATTTGGTATCACAGAGAGCAGGTTTTTATAAAAACTTTCAAAAATAACCAAAAACTCAATTAAATAAACTCAAATGCCCTCAAAATTAAAACCCACACATAAACCTAAAAAGCAAAAAAGTGTTTAGGAGGTTAACTCAAAATCAGAGATGATACTCCAAAAAAAATTTCTTTTTTCGCCAAATAAAAAAGAGATACGGTAATATCAAGTGTACATCATGTGCGACAACCATGCTGGTCCAACATGATCTCAATTGCACTCCACCAACTCACCTAAGAAACAAATGTTGGAAGTTTGAATTAAATTCAAGAACCTTTGTCCCACATTGATAGAAAGTAGAAAGAGTGAGGTCCTTATAAGTGTGAAAGTGTCACACTTAGTAAATGGAAGTAGGCCAAGTAGAAGCAATTTGGGCTTCAAAATCGATTTGGGCTTTGAATATTATATAAAAAATATATAATATTTAATGATCAAAAAGATGGGGCACTTGGGCACTTTCAGATTTAAAATTATTTTTTGGTTTCGAATTAATAATTTTTTATTAATTTAGATTAGTTTTATTAACTGTTTTCTAACAGTTGTGACTCTTCTGATAAGGTTTCAGAAGTTTATTTAAATCAAACAAGGCCTCATACGTTCAACACAGAAAAAAGCATTCTACAAGCATTTCATATTGTCTGAGAGGAAAACAAACAACGTTCGCCAGATTCTAAGTCCGAGTGCTAGGGCTTAGAATACAGATAGTTGAATCCTGGGAGGCAGTCACCTGTAGAACTTCAAGCACCGAGAAGGGGTGAAATTACTGTCTTTAGAACATTGCATCAAATCTGCAAGCCTCTATCTCAAATTCAAGTCAGTTTTATTTATTGTTTATATACTGTATTCTGTGTTACAGATTGTTATAAATTCTGTTTATATAATTATTTTAATCAGTCATTGATAATTGTTTTTCCAACAACAAACGCTGCCCCAAAATAAGCCAACTTTTTGTTTTGATCCTCAAACTTCAAAGATGCCCATGGAAACATAGTCCAGGAGCCAAAACTATAACTTTATTATTGGCTTACCAAGAAGCAGAAGAAAAATTTCGGAGTACAACGTACAAAATGACAAGATCATGTTGTGGATTTGGTCCCGTTGAAAGACAAACAGGTTGTAAACTTTCAAAATCTTCAGATCATACACTGGTTCAAATTGCCCTGCGTCCCAAGAGCTAGGCTTCACTGCAAAAGTAATATTAAGGTCTTCTTGTTGGGTGTAGCTTTTTTTTTTCTTACGTGATACCAGTGAAAGTATATCCACTAGCAATAGGATTGTCAATACATATCACTACTCATAAATGACATCCCACATACATTTGTTTTAGAAAAGCAGTAAATCTAAATAGCTCAACCTCTCTGTCATAATCCTTAGAACTCTGGTGCTCGCCATGGCTGCAAAGTTCAATGGTTTCGAGCTCAGTTTTTTTTTGTTGGGTGAAACTTCGCTTCTTAGGTTTTATGTGGGTTTTTAGTTTTGAGGGTATTTTAGTCTATTTAACTGAGTTTTCTGCTATTTTTGAAAGTTTTAATAAAAACTAACATTTATAAAAGTAGGGAATAAATTCTGGCTACTTTTTATAAAAACTCATGCATCCACTACACTGTGATTTTGGACTATCAAATGCGACAAGCACTTCGAACAGTGAATTGACCTTTGTTATCATAATTTAATATCAAAGGAATCCGGAGGTTTCCTGCAAAAGGTAAAAATCGAATTAAATCCACTTCTTCAAGGAAGAAAATGGTTTGTAGCAAACGGACATTCCACTAGTTGGTATCACTAAGAAGGGTTGAGGGACCCAGTGATAATCTTCCTCGCTTCACATATGCTTTTTTAATTTTTATTTTGAGTACAAGCGATAGTTTAAACTATAAGAAGAGGAGGGTTTTTCATCCACACACACAACTAAGATGTCATGGAGGTTCGAACTTGAGACCTCTAGTCTGCGAATCAATGCCCTTTTTCCACCAGGCTAGACCCCGTTGGCCATAGATGGTTTTTTAAACATAAGAATCATGGGACTTCACATGAATTTCTAGGACGACGAATCAAGGTTCAGAATCAACCTTTATCCTTGCTTTGCCAAAAGAGTGATATCGAAAACATACATGAACTTGAAGCCTAATCCCCTGGTTTATTTTATAATCACAAGGATTTCATTTATAGTACACGTTGATTTTCTCCTTCAAGGAAAAAGCATTTTATAGAAAGCATTTTATAGCAATAACTTAAATATTTTGCTAAGTAAGTTAAAATTTTCATTTTTCAAGAATTTTGTATTCCTCATTTACCATTTAAATTCAGATTTGTATGCAAATTATTACCTAATTTTTTTTTGGCACGTTTGGTATTTAGATGAAATGGAATACATCACCATGTTATAAATAAGGAGCAAAGTCCTTCTCATCCTTCATAGAAATCCTAGCTAAGTCCTATATATAGTAGGTCTTGTTTTCAAGGGTTTCATCCTTTTCTCATTTCCTGCAAATCTGGTTTTTTGAATTCTAGGTTTCCTTAGAAAATAATGGAGGAAATCTCCTCCATTCTTAGGTTTTCAAACAGAAAGAGAGTCAAGGGACAATTGTTGGCTCAAAACCTATCGAGATCTCAGATCTCATTGAATCAATGATTTACCAGAAGAAATGACTCCCAATTGAAAGTATATTCTCATTCCTCTGCTCTCTTTTTTTCCTACTGTTGTGTGCTTTGCATTTTAATTTTACTCAATGTTGATTTATTTTTCAAAAGTTATAAACTGTTCACTGGTGATGAAAATTTTCAGGTTAAGTCAGTTGCACGTTTTATCGATGTCACCAACTGAGGAAGCAGGATATCTTGAAGAACTTTATGTCTCAGCATCCAGAGTTATTCAACTTACTTATCACACAGCCAATACCCCGGGCACTATCAAGGATGAAGACATACATGCGTTAGGGACTACTCTTGGATGCCAAAAGCCAAGCTCTAATTATGCCAGTGTAGTTCCATCCACCATGCATATAATCTAGTTTCTGACCAACTCTCATTCACTCACCGGTGACATCTGACGATTATCTTGCAGACATTGAATCTGTTCTTACAAACTAGTTTTGTCAACCATATGATGTTGTAAAATATAGAGCTTATCAAAGGGAGAAGTCTTTTTTTTTTGTCTTTTTTGGTATACGTACTATTATATCAAACTGAAAGTGTACGTGAAGTGAATTTTTATGTCTTGAGATGGCTTAGAAGTACTGATTGATTAATGAGAAAATTTTCCGCTCTAATTTCTTACTATAAATTTCTTTACTTTGTGCATTGACTCGTTTATCTTTGAAATTATCCAATATATATGGATGCGTAGCGAAGCTTCACTTTGCTTGGTAATTAGAAGACTTAAAATATAAAGAGGAACAGTTACATAAACTAAACATTTCCGCATAGATCCTTCTAATAACAATTAAAAAGGGTAACATAGAAAGCAATAGCTAGTTTTTTTGAAGGATATATCAAGCTTTTGGAATGCTTAATTTTGAAATTAATGTAAATCAGGTTGCTGGAAATGGGCTAAGCCTGGCCACAGGGACACAAACCAAGGGATGAGCTCTAGGAACCGTGATCCCAGGCGTCTCTTCCATGTTCACAGAACCTCCACCCCTAACCTTCCAATCAAAGCATTGAATTATAGCAGCCACAGTTGCCTGCACAACCTGAAGAGATAAGGTAGTTCCAGGAAAAATTCTTCTTCCACTCCCAAAAGGCAGAAAATGAAAATGCTTGCCCCCTCACATCCAAAGGGCTCTTCTCACTGCCCTCCACAGCAAGAAACCTCTCTGGCTGGAACTCAAGTTGGTTCTCCCAATGATTTGGGTCCCTATTGATAGCCCACACATTCACAAAGAGCCTGGTCTTTGCCGGAATAGTATATCCATTGACAGTACACTCTTCTGTGCTCTCCCTTACAACCATTGGGCCTGCTGGGTGAAGCCTCAGTGTTTCCTTTACTATTGCTTGGAGGTAGGGAAGGTTAGCAGTATCCGACTAGTTTTCTCCTTTTCTTTATTTTTCCTTTTGGTGGGGGGTTGCAGGATTTCAACCCACATTCAACTTTTGGGTTTATTATGCTCAAAGTTGCTTCGAACTCTAACATGATTTGATAGCCTAAGGTTAAGTGGATGTGGCGGAGCTACAGCCAGGCCTGCCATGGCCCTGGCCCCCCCCACTTAATTATTAATCTCTTGTAATATATTATAAAATATATGATATAGTAATACAAAAACTGCAATTAGATTAGTGATGGCCCTCCCAGTTGAAGATTAAAAACCTAGTAGAAGTGATTTTGAAATTTTAGCCCCTCCATACTAAGAATCCTAGCTCCGCCATCTGTATGCAAACACTAAAAGAATTCTAAATAGAATACTGTCTGGTCTTTCAAAAGGCTTGTTTATATTACACCCCCATATATTTGAGATTACACCCCCATATACTGTCTGGTCTAGTTTGGTAATATTTCTGTTTCACATGCTCTAATTCCTTTGGTTGATTTAAAACTTGCTCAGAGTTGATGAAGAAAAGAAACCCATAATTTTGATAAAAATTCTGATAAACGAATCGGGAGATCTTTTTGCTCTTTTCAGAGGTTTGAAATTTTTGTAGCGTTGGTTTCTCAGTGTTGATTCTCATTTTCTGGTGTCATTTTCTCTTTGGTTTTGTATGAGTCTCATGCATTAATTTAATCATATTTCACTTTTCGGCCCCTGGAAAATCAAGCAGACGCTGACAAGCGATGTTGGACAGAACTCAATCGAGCAGGTTAGCAGGCTGTTGCTGGGAGCATATTTGGTGAAGGAACATCTCTTGCCATACTTGAGTTATGGATTTGCCAATAGAGTTGAAAGTCGAGAGGGAGCTGAAGTTGCAATCTATGATTGTAACACAATATCCCAGCATCAATTGACTTTCAGTTTATCTACTTAGTTTTCTTCTTTGTTGGTAATTATATCACTGTATTTCATGTGCAGGTAAAAGATTGACGGCTTTTGCACCGACTTTTTTTCCCAATCAAGGTCGAAAGGAAGAAGTGGCAAAGAAAAGCACGCACATGGCCTAATTTTTAATCTCATATATCAATACTGATTATCAAGTCCAAAAGAGCATATACAAAGCCCTTTGCCAATTGATTTTTAAGTGGAACCGCAATTTCTTTCATTATATCAGAGCAGATTTTTTCATATTGTGAAGTCTAAGTCACACATGCTCCACGTCATCCAATTAATTGTCCACATATTAGACTTTGAAATTTCATGATATATGTTACTCACTGGAGATTGCTGAGGATGGAATATCTACTTCCAATTTAGAGCTTTCCATGCAATGATTATTATATGGATTTCTTGGCTCTCTTGCCAATGCCGTTGTATGTCTATCATGAGGATGTCAGGGGTTTCGAGACCATCTCTCTCATTCACTTCGATTGCATCAGCAACATCTTTTGATTATCTTACATTAGCTGTGTAATACTTAGAAACTAGTTTCAGCAATTGCATGATTGAAAATATAAAGCTTGTTCATAATGGAAAATCAAATTCTAATTATATATCCTAATGGTTAATGCTGAAAATCACAGCCATTGGAAGGTCTACCTTCCAACTCAAGGACTTTCCCACTTAATATACTCAATTATGTCTGTGTGTCCAACTTTCCATCGTATCTTGTTAGGGTCTCCATCTTTCGGCCTCTTGGTTGCACCATGGTTTTCTGTTTTACAGCATGAAAAGAAAAACCTATCCTTAAAGGCTCCGATGCTAGTCAGGAAAATATCCTATACGTATTATATTTATATCCCAATTTGGATATGCACTTATCCAAGTTGGGACAATTGTATTTGATCCATATATAGAGGAATAAATTTACTTGCAACCACCACGAACAGGGGAGGAGCTGGGTGCAGGCCTCAGGTTGTCATGACCCCCGACTCCCATATACTCCTTATTATTTACCATCTAATATATGTAGTAGTTCAAAAAAAATAAGAAAAATAAAGGAAATACTTTGTATAAAATATTTGAACATTTTAAGTACATGAAACCGCGAGTTTGTACATAATTTGTATGACTACGATGATATGAATGTAGGCATGTATAATGTACATGTTACATAATAAGAAAGCCAACTGGCAGACGCCAAACCGGCGTGCCAAGGTGCTTACAAAGGGGACGGCAGCAATTCCGTGCATGCATACAAACTTACAAACACATGAGATTAGTTCTCGTAGTTAGACAACTATAGAACCACTACTGGTCTTCGAGATAACTTGTATGCATGTAGTGAAAGTGCTTACTAATATATAATTTTCGGAATGAACAAAGGTTTTGTAGTAAAAATACGATTAGGGTTCAATAAACACTAAACCCTAACTTTCCACGAACGATAACAATCGTGTGAGTAAACTTTTTTTTCCTTATGAATTTGAGTTTACACGACGATTTTTTACTAAGTTGGTTTGGAAATTCAATTTTTGTGAATTCTGTATTTATCACTTACCATTCAAATTCAGCTTTATATGGAAATGATTTCCTAAAATTTGTTGGCCAGTTTGGTTGAAACTACAGCACAATGTTACAAATAGGGACGCAAGACTGCAGTCCTTTGTCAACCTTCATAGAAATGCTAGCCAAGTCCAATATTTGGTCTTTTTAATTTTCAAGGGTTTTATATTTTTCCCTTTCTTTAGTCACAAGTAAGAGATCTTTCTGCCTATCAGATTCATTGAAATTTAGGTCATCTAGGTACATAATGGAGGAAAACACCTCCACTCTTACGTTCTCAAATAGAAAGGGAGTCAAACAACAATTGTTGGCTCGATACATATTGGGATCTCTTATCGGATCGATAATTTACTGAAAGTGTATGTGAAACTTTTTGTCTAGAGATGCATGGTTGTAAATACTCGTTATCTTTTTCAAAAGTTTTAGAGTGCTTTCATATTTCTGTGTTGGAGTGTCAAAGTGATGTGTAGACCAAAAGTTTAAAAAACACATTGATTGATTTAAAGGTTTGAGAATTCAAACAAAGACTTTTGAAAAGTTCATATAGACCATTTGTGATAAAAACCCTAAGGAGAATATTGATGAATCTAGAGATTATTTTATTGAACGAGCTACAATATTCATAGATCTTAATTGTCTTTTCTTTTTCTTTTTTCTTTTTTCAATTAAAGAAAAGCATTTTATAGCAATATTTTGAATATTTTGCTAATTCTGAATTCAATTTTCATGAATTCTGTTTTTCTCAATTACCTTTTATACTCATCTTTCTATGGAAATTATTACCTAAAATTGGTATCACTAAGAAGGGTTGAGGGACCTAGCGATAATCTTCCTCGATTCACATATGCTTTTTTAATCTTTTTTTTAGTAGAAACGATAGTCTAAACTACAGGGAGATAGGGTTTTTTCACCCACACACACAACTAAGATGTCATGGAGGTTCGAACTCGAGACCTCTAGTCTGCAAGTCAAGGCCCTTTTTCCACCGGACTAGACCCCGTTGGCCATATATTCTTTTTCAAACATAAGAATCACGGGCACATTAATTTCTAGGACAGCGAATCAAGGTTCTGAATCAACCTTTATCCTTGCTTTGCCAAAAGAGCGATATCGAAAGCATACATGAACTTGAAGTCTAATCCCCTTGTTGATTTTATAATCAGAAGGATTTCATTTATAGTACATGTTGATTTTCTTCTTCAAGGAAAAAGCATTTTATAGAAATCATTTTATAGCAATAACTTAAATATTTTGCTAAGTAAGTTAAAATTTTCATTTTTCAAGAATTTTGTATTCCTCATTTACCATTTAAATTCAGCTTTGTATGGAAATTATTACCTAAATTTTTTTGGCACGTTTGGTTAGATAAAATGGAATACATCACCATGTTATAAATAAGGAGCAAAGTCCGTGTCATCCTTCATAGAAATCCTAGCTAAGTCCTATATATAGTAGGTCTTGTTTTCAAGGGTTTCATCATT